TGACAGTAAAAATATTTAATCAAACTCCACAGTTTGGTCAGCGGAATAGGAACATCAAATTCTTTTAGGCACGTAAGCAAATTGTCAACAAATGGAATTATTTATTTTCTATTCTCTAAAGTAGGACGTGACCAGCTTATGCCTCATCTCCGAATTCCCAATTGGGACTTAAGCTCAATGGTGTCATCAGCTTGTTCGTCTTCATAATTTTCCCGGCTGTGCTATCTTGCATATCAAATAGTTTAACTTTCACTGCTAATTCTACTACGACAACGTGGCGTATGCGTAACTTTTTAAAATTTAAACCTTAAACACAGATGGTGGCCAAAAATAACAATTTTCAAATTAATTGCCTGGGAATTTATATTGATATATAAAAAACAATTAAGGCATTCAATCAAATTGGTATTTTACAGATAAGAGCTCCACTTAAATGCAAATTCCAAATTGATTTTGATATATTTATTGCAAACGAAAAATGAAGTTATAAATTATAATAGAAATAAATGGTTCTCTCCGCACGCTTGCATTCATTTAAATTGGTTTTTATCACAGAGTCATGAGTCCATGAATGATGTTTTCCCAGCGCCAACAATTTTCCAACCTACCATTTTCCCACATGTCCATTATAGAAAATTGTGGTTGGCCTGAGTTTAATTATGCAAAGCCTGTTCATTATGGCCAATCTGATTGTGAGTGCCGGCAGGCAGAGCAGTGTTGCTAAGTCACATTTAACTCAGATAAGAGCCAGTAAATTTATAGCACATTTTGACCGTTGGGTTCTGCACATAATTTCCTCGGGCTAAGCCCAACAATTAGGTGAGCCCAGTTAAGCAAATTGCAATGCATAAACTTCAGTTTGTGGAAGTTATTTCTGCACTAGGAGAATGGGAGTGGGAGGTTGGGCCGCCCTTTGATTGAGTAAAAAAAAACTTCAAATCGATAAACCACAACTGTTTCGCCATGTGGCTTAGTGCGGTTTCACTCCAATTTCCCTGCATTACAATTTGTCAGAAAATTTTACCATTCCCTATTTGTGGTTAGCAGCACGTGCGACAAACATTTCCATTTCGTGAGCCTCCCTCTGATAAAGCAACAAAACTCGCCTGATAAATGTTGGCGTTTTACAAAAAAAAAAACGTAATCAAGCAAGGTCACGGATTGATATTGGCCACGCACACTAAAAATACCATTAAAATGGAAGAAATTAGAGCGCAAACAAACGGACATGGCAACCGTTCACAGAACACAGTCACGGAAATAAATAATATAAATCAAGCAAATAAATTATGACGTTGAGAGTGTGTCTGCTGGATAACAACAGAACCAGTCGAGAAACGTCATAAATAAATAATTTTACTTTGTGTGCTATTAATTTGCCAACGAAATATGACATACATGTATTACAAACAGCCACAAATAGATCAAAATCATCCTCTTTTATCTGGGAAAAAGGTGTTGAAGTAGCTCATCATGCCAGTAAACTGGTGTGTAAACGTTGGTCCTAAGTGATAAGTGAATGTGTATGGGAAAAAGTTTGGCAAGCTGTTTATGAACATTTAATGGAGATTGTCAAGCTTAAATGGCTGTCAAGGGGGAAAGGCCATCTGACAGGCAGACAGGTTAATGAGCCATGTGTGGTCAAGGAAAACCCGAAATCTAGACTATGAAAGTAGCTTACCTTGTGAATGAGTTGTGTGATTGATACTTTGTAAAGTATAACATCAATCAAACTAAAGAAAAGGAAACGAAAACGAAATCTAAATCTAAATCAGAAGAAGGCCAAGGGTGCCATTTCTATGACATACGAGTAAATTTAAAAACCTCTCCTGTGGAAATCCTGATGTAGTTCCTTTCCTGTCTTGATTTACTTTTAAGAAGCAAATATGTTCCGAACTAAGTGACTTATATTACGTCTTATTGTCCACTTAAATAACAGTTTACTTTGTCAGTTGAGTAGGAAAACCGGAAATCCTTATAAATTAAATTGTCCTTCCGAAATAGAGAGAGGGAGATAAATCTGAGAAACAGATCGCTGTTAGCTGTTTGCTGTTTGCCTTATTTATTTAAGTTCTGGCTCGACTGAGCCCGCTGTTTATGTTGCCTTGGCCAAGAAGCAGCTGAGCCAAGTTTTGCCTGCTGCTCTTTTGCCTCAGGACTCGTGCATAACTCATTCGTTTTAATATTCTCCAGGCATTGTTCACCCTCCGGTTAGCATTTTATTATTTTTCCTTTCCCCTTTTTTTTTCTTTTTTTTTGGGTTTTGGTAAAGAAACTGGGCCACCTGAGTATACGTTTTAATGCCAAGCGAAATTCAAATAAAATTGCAGCAACTGGCTGACAACCAACAATTTAATTAAAATAATAAATTTTATGTAATTCGCTGCAGGCAATGTCAAGCTTTGGGGATTTTTATTGAAATTTGTTTTGTGATATAATTCACAAAGGTTTTTGCGTGGGTTTTGTACTTGCCAACTCTTAGAATAATTGCTTTTCGATCGGGAAACAAGAGTATTCCAGCTGTCAATGCTTCCATTGCATTAATTAGCAAGGAAAATATTTTTCAGATTCCCCAGAGAGCAAGCGACGATTGTCATCCTTCCGAGGGAAGGCAAGCTCTGAAGAAAGGAAAGTGAACAGGAATAAGAGTCCTCAGCAAATGAATTTTAATTGCGTAAATAACTTACTTGGTCATTGTGGTACAGTGGGAACTCGAATGCGTACTCCATTCCAGCAGGAAGAGGAAAAGAAAAGCCAAGGCGGTTGACAAGTTTAATCATATTTTTCCTGCCGGAAACGGAAATGATTCCGGGTTATGACCTGGCAAATGGCGAATTATGAATGAATTAAGTCGCAAGATGGCTTTTCACGTGCAAACATGAAACCTTTTCTGTTCCTGGCACAATATTGAGAGTGTACGTTCCGGGTAATTGGGTGCGTGTTGCCGTTTAGTGTCAGGCACTTTATATACCTGTGAGAGACAGAGATACAGGTGTGAATGCTCAACTCACCTCTAATTTTACCCCCCCATTCTGTGGTTATTCAATTTTTGGTTGCCATTTGGGACGCCTTCGCCGGGCTAAAAGTGTATTTTTCTGCGGCTGTCAGGTTTAATGAGGCACATGCAAAATTTATTTAATAACCTTGCCACGCATAATTCACTGCACTTTATAGTCATACTAAAGCCGGGCGTATAAATTTTCATTTCTCTCGCCGTTAGTTTCTAATTATAATTTATTGATGTTCTGCGCTCATTTTAAGTTTCCGCCTGAAAATAATTAATAAAAATAAAAAAAACGAAAATACCAAAAAAAATAAAAAGAAAGCTGCGGCAAAATTAAGGCCATAAAACACAAAGCAAAATGTTAGCATATTCCATTTTAAATTCAGCAAAATGTTTATTTAAGCGCTTAAATATTTCAAGCAATCCTTGTGGGCCTTTAAACTTGTTTATGTTGACCATGTTTTCCTCATAGAAATATATGTAAATTCAGCAGATGGCCGATTAATAAATCCAATTCAGCGTTAAATTTACATTTTTGCTCGTGCGGAAAACAAATAAAAAGGTTTACGATTTTGTGGGAATTTATTAAAATCACAAAAATAAAGAAACGTTCTTGCAATATATATGAGATATTTACAAGGACCTTAGGCTCCCTGGGGTAAAGTCCTTTCCCCAGGCAGGAAGTTTACAGGCTTTCCTTTATAAAAAAGAAAAAAGAAAAGCCATTTGAAAACGGAATAATCCTTAAAGCGTAACTAGAACTCAATGCCGTTTGGGCCGCATCTTGATACGGGATATTCGATGATTTAATAGCAGGGCCAACGGAGTGGGCAGCTATTAAAAGCATAGCACTCGCCACTTGACAGCGCAACCTTGCCACACCCTGCCGTTAGCACTTATCGCCCTGCTACCTACCAAGGAGCAACCTTGTGCCAAGCACAAACAACTATTTTTTAGAAACGGCTTCGCTTTCGGCTTCGCTTTTGCTTTATTGATAGTGTTTGGCAGGAATACCGAACCGAAAGCCTTACGTGTCAATTTATTATAACTTATTCAAGGCCATCGCTGCTGCTGCTGTTGTTTTTTTTGCTTCTTTGGTATCTGCGTGAAAAATGCCATAAAAAATGAATGCTGACCCAGGGCAGGCAACACGAGGCACTTGGCTATGGGCATGTGAGTGGGCCACAAAAATTGTGGCGGGAGGGTTGGTACAGGAACATGCTCACTATATTTGTGTTTATTGCACATAGCCTCCTTCCTCGTCCTCAGCTACTTCCTTCCTTCTTCCTTCTTTCCTAGCAAAACTTGCGCTTCAAGTTTATTAGCACAGCAGTAGAATTTGCCCTTTGCCATCTTCCCTTTTCTAGCCCTTCTTCTGCTCTTTCCTTTTAAGCCAACTACTCCTCCTCTTGGCACAGGGCCAAAAAATTCCGAGAACTCGCTCAGCTCGATTCAAAATCGATTGAGTGGCTCAAGGGGGAGGATATGTGTCCAAAAGGAGGCGGGGGCGGTTGGGAATGCAGCCCGACGAAAACCCCTTTGAAGTTAATTGTTTGAAAGCTGCAACCGAAGTTTTAAGAACTGTCGATGATGTGCCAAAGCAAAAGTTCGCCCGTCATTGAAGCTACCCAAAAACATGATAGCCAGGCCATAAAACTCATTTCATTCGCTTCGTAGTATTGATAGGGAAAGAGACATAAGTTGGATATAAAATATGGCAAAGAGGGTCCATCAAGGAAAATGTCACGAAAATGGACGACAGTTTCAAAGTTTATCATTTGGAATTTTCTTTAAAAGCTGATGGCTTAGGCTGGGAATTTCCTTGAGCACAAAGTGTAAGCTGATATTGATGAAGTAAATGTATTGAAAAATATGTAAGCATACCATTTTTGAGAAATGTAATCTTTACCTTTATATTTTCCCAAACTGATATTGACCATTCACCTATGAACCACCATTAATTTGCCATGTCTTTTGTGTCCACTTTTAATTGCAGCAAAAGCCGCAACAAAAATCCAAGCCGTCTTTCGAGGCCACAAAGTGAGAGAAACCATGAAAAAATCGGAAACCAAAACTGCGACCAACAACGGCAGCGCCGCCGGAGCAGCTCCATCGGCAGCAGCCGCCGAGGCAGCCGCATCCGCAGAGCCAACCAAAGCGGAACTCGAGGCTGAATTCGATCCTAACGACAAGGGTAAGTGAAAGTGCCAGGACGAAAAAGCCGCTCAAACGGTGCGGTAGCTTGGGCACATGATCTAATCAAAGTCCTGAAAGTGTAACCAAAGTGTGCACTTAAAGAAAAGCTTTGTAAGACTCATAAACAGATTCAAAATGAAGATAGGTAAATAGGAAACCAAATATTACTTTACTAATAGTAAGGGAATATGGCAATTATTAAAATAAAATTGATAAGTATCAAAAAGGTTTCCTTAAACTTTTTCCTAAATGAAAATTAAACAATTTCCCTGAGTGCCCCAAAGGTGTGGCACTTTCAAAATGAAAAGGGGAAACTTTCTTGAAAATCGTCTTTGGAGTTGCCGCAGCTGCACCGCCCACTGATCCCTTCGAGCATTGTAGATTCCCCAGCACACATTGTCGTCGAATCAGCGGGTTTACACAACTTGGACTTGCAAGTTGGGTATACAAGCTGAAATTACAGAACTGAACAGGATTCCCGCCTGCCAAACCGGCATACAAACTTTCGGTGTTACGCAATAAACCAAGTATTTTTCAGGAAAAATATTTGTCACTTGGCAGCGACAAAAGGGAAAGTTTCTGGGAGGTTTCTGTAGAAGTTTACGCCAGGGATTGAGATTGGGATTGGATTGGAGATGGGACTGGATCTGGTGGTGTCAGGCATTGGTTGTTTAATCGCAGGCCACGAACATAAATAATGAAAATCTTGAAGACAGCTTAACCCTATTAAGACGTTTCAGGCGTTGACAGTTTTCAGCTATAATTTGCCTAGGGCACAATGAGTCGACGAGGGCGCAGTTGACTAAGTTGAGTAGGAGGAAGCCGTTGGGTTGGCTTGGGTTTGGCTCATTAAAAAGTCAGAGGCTGTCATCGGGGCGTATACGCAACCGCATTAGGGACTCCTCAGACAGACAACGATTTCAGCGTTTCCATTGCAAGTGCTCACGTGTGTGAGCATAGCCTGCACAAGGCTTAATTATAGTGCCGGTTGGGTCTCGAAAGGCGTATCCTTCTTATAGTGCCATGCCATTCATACGTACATTTGTGAGACGGCTAATTAGACTCGCCTGAGAACTCAAAGGATGCGATGAGCAGCACGTGGAGGACTTTTCCCTTCTTTGTGACCGAGCACACATACTCAATTAGAGGCGTTGAATGGTAGTGTCGTGAATGGCTTTGCTCTGGGTTAAGTTAATTTAAAAACTTTGACCGAATAAGTCATAATCAGGAGTGTCTCGTAAATCTTAGAAGATTTATGTTATGGCTTACAGAAATTTCATTATTCATTGTGATAATCAGAAGGAAGGCAAAGAATGTTTATGGTTTTAATGGAATTCTTTTTTTTTTAAAGGGCTTAACAAACAGATGGAGAACGATTCTTCGTTGAAAAGGATATCAGTTGTAAACAACAAAGTTCTCTTCTATATGAAACCAGAACGTAGGCAAACAATTTAAGAACTCCGCCATCAGATTGCTGAACTCCCTTGTACTGCATAATTAGATCCACTTCATGGCCTTATCCCATATTTAACCAACATGGCAGCCACGCCTGCCCTATCCGAAGTAAACCCGTTTAGAACTTCATCATTATTCACAGTTATCGCTCGCAGGCGGCCAACAACGACAAGCTAATGGTGTTGGCCTAGTTGTAAACTCGCCGTCGGCATATTGCGAAATTGTAAAACAATAAAAACAACGACCACAAAGAACTTTGTTTAGTAAAGGGAAAGAGCAAAAAAAAAATATAGAGAAAATTGAAGCACACACATATGGCCAAAGCAAAAGCAATTTCTGAGCCCAAAACTCCGATTTTAGCCCATTTGGTATGCAAATGCGAGCCAGCACATGTCCGTGCATGCACGCACACATGCACCACAAACACACACACACACACAAATGTAAAAGGGACACTATATCGAAAGCGATTTAAGGATATTTTCTTGTACGTGTATGCATTCCATACATTTGGCGCAAACGTTTTGCGGCTTTTGGCCGGGCATTTGACTTACAATCCTTGCCTTTTGTATGCATAGACCAACCGGAGCCAGGGGACACAACTCACCTACGCAATTTTGGCCCCAAAGCCTTGCTGGCCAATTTGTTTGTGTCTGAGTGTTGGTGCCCTGGCTGGCCTGGAATTCTATTCTGTTTGCATAATCGCACTACCACTAATTATTGTTCATGGGCAACAAAAACAGTGGGGGCCCAAAAGTCAATGGTAATTGAACAGCATCCGGATGGTTGTCTGCGTTAGTTGTCGGCGGATTCCATTCGATTATGATGAATTATGAATGTACATTAGGCTGGGTTTGCTTAATTTGCGGGAAATTCGATATGCCACGTTGTTTGCCGGAACTTAATTGGATGAGGAAAAAATGCGGTTTATTTATGGAGATTAAAAATAACACTTGATGTAGATATAATTTGTGATTTTTTGAGATATTTAAGATATAGGAAGTAAAAGTATTTTAATTCATTTTAATCCAACTGCCTTTAAAAAGTTTAACTCCAGGATAAGCATGTGATTATATATAGCTCCCTTGCCATCTTGAGGACATCAAAAGCATGACCATAAATTCATGTGTCATTTTTAAAGACCTGTTCGTGATGTTGCTGTTAGTTCTACCCAGGAGCAGCAGCAACATGACCAGGAGCAACATCATCAACTACATCAGCAACTGCGATAAAACAGCCGAGCCGAGCAGAGCAGAGCGCGTTCTCCTAATTGGATTTTCGGTTTTAAGCAAGCTTGTAATTCCATTTACACCGTCGGGAGACCCACAAAAAACCAACAATGTCAGGCCAAGCCATTTAAGTATAATGTTAAGTGCTCCGGCTGTTGTTGTCCGGGTGAACAAAAAGGCGGATCCAGAAAAAAACATGCGACAAAATAAAAAAAAAAAAAAGAGGCAACGACAACATTGACATGAAACACGCAATAAGCAGCAAGCCAGCTAAAAACAATGTTTCGACCGCTGAATTGGCGATTTTTTGCTTGCCCCAAAGAAAGACCACACATACACACGATACTATATATATCTAAAGATATAGGTGCCCCCCGCAAGGCAGACCAAAATAGACAAGAAAATGTGGGAACACCGTATTTATATCGTCTCCCATGGCCACAATATGCTGTACAAATATATATGGGTTTCCTCCAGTGACAGGTGGAGGTCAGGTATTTATTTAGCTACTGGAAAACGTTTAGCCGACTTTGTTGGTCCTCTTAAATATTTCAACAATGTTAGCACCTTTACGGTGAAAATTTCCTTTCTGCTCTTGGCCTTTGTCCAACGTGTTTATTGAGGATAGAATAAAATTCAGTTGGTTAATATTTAATTACTCGCTTGGAAGCGATTTGCTATGGCATGCAAATTTCACCTAAGGCCTATGCTAAACAATTAATGAGAAGTCACAAATTCAGAAGTTGTCAACTTAATAGGTGAATAATATCAGGAATTTGAAAGTGTGCAACATTAATTTCAATTTCAATCCGTTTGAATAATTCAACTGGCATCGCCTTAATCCAGTTAATTATGGCCAGGGATTAACTTAAATTCAAGGAAAGTTTTTAATGAGTTTTACGGCAGGGTTTTGGCCATATTGTATAATAAGCCGTAATAAGCTTTTGTGCAAAGGATTAATATTAATTAAAGTTCTTGTTTGAATTGCTCGAACAGGACACCATCTGTGACTATTAGTTCTAAAATAGATATCATTCAGTGTTGGCTTAGGTACTTTCGTTCGACAAATTTGCACAAAATCTACAAATGTACAGAGGATGGAAACCAATAAGTGTGTTTCTCAACGGGTGGCTGTTTGTCCTTCCACAAGATTTATTTGCCTCAATAACAGCGCCCATGGAAATGAGAAAGACCTTTAGTGGAAGTGGAAAACCTCAAAGTGGGCGAAAACTGAGCAGTGCGGTGGACAGACCACAAGACTTTGTTCTGTCGGAAATTGAAAAATGGGCTTAGTCCTTATGGCTGCTTGGGTCACAAGCAAGAAGCAAAAGTAGATGGCCAAAAGTGAAATGACAAAAATCTTGGCAACCGCAAAAGCTCTTCTCCTTCTCCATTTTTGGCAAAACTGAAAAACGTTTGGCTCAAAAATTCCATTTAGCGGCTTATTATCGTTGCTTCATTTGTCACAATTTGTCGTTATTTGCAAATGCCCGCAAACGTAGGCAACGGCATGGAGTCTGTGAAGGTAGGCCATGCGTTTTCCGGCTCTCAATTTGCTTGATTTAAATCAAAAAGCGAGCCACAGCTGTCAGATGTTGCCGGACCATGTCCTTCCGAGTGGAGTTCTGGATTGGGTAATTAAAATGTATATTTATGACAGCAACTTAACAACGTAATTATTACTGCTGGCCAATGACAATGACAAACGCAGCCCTCAGTGCACACTCTTGGCAAGAAAATGTGGTGCAGGCAATAAATTATGAAGTTTTTTCTGAGATTTCAGGGATAAGTATTTGTGTTGGATTTTCCTTACTGCCTGTAAGTTCTTTACTTTTCTTACTTCCTACTTGAGTATTTAATTTCTGGGTTTTTATAACAGAATAACAAAAATTATAGGAAAACTGAAAATGAATGTTGACTTTCTCTGTAATTATTTTCTATTTCCTATTTATTTCTACTTAAAAATAACACCTAAAACACCTTTGCCACTCTATCTACTAGGATCATATAGTACTCCCTGGAAAGCCATTCGATTTTCCAACTTACAAGTGTTTCAAATTTTCTACGTTTGTTATTGCTGAGAAATAGAAAAACCAAAAATATTCATTCCATTTTATTTCCCGACCCAAATCGAGTGGATAAGTTATAGAAAATGCCTGGACAGTACACCAACTACAAGTGCACCCGCTTAGCATTGGTCCTGCTGCGTTGCATTTGGGCCATGTTTTACCTCTGGGGTATGTTGCATGCTGCAGCCATCATGCCGATTCCATACGAGCACTTGCAACCAGGCTTGTTCACGAAAAAACGTATCTATATAATGGACTATAGGAGCCTATTTGATTTCAAAATGAGCAAGGAGATCTCCAACCAAGCCCTGGTGCTGCTAATGATGTTCGGTTTGTTTCGAAGCTGCCGTTGCAGTTTTGTTGGATCTCGGAACTCGGTCCCTAAAAAGGATAATTCCGGTCTGAACTATTGGCTATTGATCTTCCAGATTCCCTACATTATATACTTTCTCTTTTACTATGCAGTAAGCATCTTGATAACTCTGTATGCATTTCTTCTTCTGGTATTTAGAGATCAAAGTGATAGAACCTTAATTGTGGCCTGCCAAGTGTTGACTGGCATGATCTTCAAGCTGCTGGTTTTGGCCAATTTCTATATGGTCCTTGTGCGTATCTGGGCCTATTTGAACATACTCCACGTGGAGGCGGCTAAGGGAAAACCTAACTATGGCAACTTCGGTGATCACTTGAATTTGTTCTTTCGACTTTGAGGAAGTACGAAGTACCTTTCTTCAATTTTCGTTCTTTTAGTTTAAAATAAAAATGGTCTCTTAGGCATTTTCGTGGCTTGAAGTTGGATATGGGTGTAAAATGATTTAGTTTTGGTTCGAGGACTTACTTTCTTAAGTTTATATGAAATATTTTCATTCATATAATGAAATATCTTCCAAATGAAAGTTAGAGTATTACCAATTCCTTATTTTCCCAACCAAAACCTCTTGTTTATTTACCTTTGCTCATTATGTGCGTGTCTGGGACTGTTTTTGTTTATTATTTCTGACACAATTACTAAGCACACGTCACGGATTTGCACTTTCGCTAATGGAACTCACACACACATTCGCCCGGACACTGTCATATTTCATAGACCCGCTTTGTTTTTATTTTCCCTCTGTTTTAATATAAATTTGCATTGTTGCGAGAATGTGGGTCAAGAGCGTTGAATCCTCCCCCACACACACACACACGCACACAGAGAAGAGCAAATATGGCTAAAAGTGATACACGTGTGCTGCAGTTTTTATTTTATTTTTGCTCCACTCAATATTCGCAATAAAAAGGAAACCGAAGGACAGGTGAAAAGTGCAGTTGATGTGGCTTATGATTGATTTCATATCCTTTGGGGATTTAACTCAATGGAAGCTGAAAATTCGTTTATAAAAAATAAAAAAGCGAAAAAGGAATCCTTGGAATTGAAAGGAATGTTAAAGAAGAGCAAGAGAATCGGTCATGCAAATTAAGCAAACTCCAGGGGGATAGCGAAAAACGGGCAGCGTGTTAGTCAGTCAATCAGGGCGACGTGACCGATTGCCCCGAAGCCCTGGACATGCAAATCCAAATCCCTTGGCCAATATCAGCCAAGGTGTGCAGGTGTACCGTACCATCAACCCACCTCCCACGCCTTTTCAGGAAGTGCATGCAAGGCCCACACAGAGGCAGTGACATTTTGCCAGAAAGAAAAGCAAACTCAATTTGTATGCCCCGCCAGCAGGCAGGCAGAGGCAGTCAGGCAGCAGGACATCAGGACATCAACCAGATAGCAGGACCAAGGCAAAAGCGAACCAAGTTTTCAGTACGGAAAGGCACAAAAAAGCAACATGCATGTGCGGCCTGCTGACAAGTTTTCAGACACTGTAGCTTAGATTTTGGACTTATGCGGTCCTGTGACAGGACACGCAGTGTACGTGATCGGCTTTTAACATGTGTTGCATGGCCGGCGACATGTGCAAATCTCTTGCGAAAAAAGTTTGCACTAAGAGAAACAACAACGGAGTAATTGGCAGTTCTAAGGGAACTCAATTCTATAGCCTTGTTAAGGAAAAACCACATATAGTTCCTTTTTAAACTCATAAAAGTAGGAATTTTAAATTTCCACCTAAGATATTTTTCTTTGTGTATTTTTTGGCAGGGCTTTTTGGCAAAGTAAAAATAGAAAATGGAAAAAATAGAGAACAAATTTTCCCACAGGTAGAAGAAAAAACCCTTAGCAAGTAAATTCTATTTGCGGAACAGCCGAGAGCCGCTTGATTACTGACCAGGCAGCCGCTACAGCTCAGCTCGGATTACACTGGCTAACTAGTTGGATGCCGAGAGGATCTCCAGGTCCTGCGCCTCTGTAAATGTCACAGCACGCCTGTTGGCGGTCCACACAGCTATTTGCACGTCTTGCAGATATTTTTAAATATTTTATAAATAAACATAAATGCAGCAGCGGCGTATGGCACGTGCCGTACGGCCGGGTCACGTTGCGTAGCCGCCGTGTGTGCGTAATTTGATAAAATAGCACATGCCATAAGTCCCGGCTCCTCCAGGGAGTCCTTCCGGTCCTTGTATAGTTGGACTGGTTCTGCCTCAATGCTTATCTTGGCCTAACTCCAATTATGCTTAGCGAATTAACACAAACCCAGTTCCTGCTGCCCTCCGGCAATATTTGCATGACCAAGTGGGCCAGCATGGCACGCAGGCAAACGCGAGATTTGCGTTGAGGAAATTGGCCAAGTTAAATGTATGCATTTTTGTAGCAGCAAAAATCTCAACAAAAAACGACAAATTTTTAAATGAGAATTTTCTTGAAATTTGCATAAATGCACAAGAGCAATGGGAAAAGTTGACAAAAATGGGAAAACGACAGCTGCAATGATGTAATCTTGCGGCTGACAAAGCAGAGAAAAAAACGCGTTTTCACAAGAAAACTAACCACTCCTCACCGCCCCCAAAGCTATGCATATTTTAATGGTTTTTCCTGTCGTGGCAAGTACACGTATTTCCTGCGCATTTTTACACAATTACGGGCTAATTAGAATGAGCTTGTTCTCATGGAAAAACCGAGTTAAGGTTGCACGTAGTGAGAGACACGCGTGACTTAACCACAACCACATGAATCCTGCCCAGCTGCGAGCTTAATTTTGTGGTCAGTCCGGAGTCCCTGTCCATCCATCTACTCGACCATCTCTCCTATGCTCTTGGTTTGGATTATTTATGCAGGAAATATGCGTCCCGCTGCGCCCAACGTTGCGTATACGTAATGAGATTAGAAGGGGGTCGAAAAAACGTGGCCAAAAGAAGCGTATACTAAACACTCTGAAGAGCGCTGGGGGAATAATTCGCTTCGTGATTTCGATTATTTCCCCGTTTTTTACAAGCAATCTGGGATTCGTGGAGAAATTATGGCCAGAGTTAAGCTATAAAATACGTTGGCGGTGGTTAGATAGGGAATTTAATAGTGATGCGGTGGGGAAAGAGTAAGGGAAACTATAACAATAAATTAAAGCGAAAACCGTATAAACACAATTGAAGCCAGCATAAGGACCGAGGCTAATTGAAAAAAGTTTACAACAAATTCCGGAGAATGTTTGAGTATCATCTAAAGTTTCAATTGGCCAAGGAACAGCAGACAAGTTTCGAAACTCTTTCGTATATATATATATATATATAGATTTCTTTCTATTTTTTTGGGGCGATGGCCAAGTGGCCACTTAAGCGTAACTAGAACACTAATTTACACAAACTATCCGCTTTCATCTGGTCTCTCCGCAGATCTCTGCCATGCTGCATTGAAGATTCAGTCCACTTTCCGTGGCCATTTGGCACGCAAGCTGGTCAACAAGGATGCGCCCGAGGACGAGGATATCCAGGAGATAACCAAAAAAGTGGCCGAGGAGTTGGACATAGATTTAACCGATCCCGAGCTTAACAAGGCTGCAACCAAAATTCAGGCCTCGTTCCGCGGCCACAAGACCCGCAAGGATGCCAATCCCGAGTAAGATGGTTCTAACCATTTTCAATTTTGTTGTCGGTCCTGGCTTGCCAAGTCACAGATGAAGCTTAATTAATGCTTATGCAAGTGAATAATTAAAAAACAAAGAAAAAAATTTGGTAAATTGTAAATGTGTAAAAGGCCAATCAAGATGAGGGCACACGATTGTAAACTTTTTAGTGAATATGTTTTTAGCCTCAAAACGGCAAACCCCAAATGATTCTCATAATAATTAAATACTAACTTAAGTCGAGGGCAATGTTATATATCATTTGCAAAGCTTTAATAAATTAAAAAAAAAAAGAGATCACATTTTGCGGATGATAATTCGAAATGAGATAATATTTACAGAAACATATTTGCAGCTTGTCTTGTTTGATTATTAACCTATTAGAGTCGTAAATTGTTTGCGTTAGTTAAAGTTTAATTAAAACATATTTCGTTTTTATAGACTCTCCAATTAATCCCAAGACAGTAACTAAAATCTAAAGTAAACTAAAGTTAAATTTTCAAAGAAAACAAAAAAAACCTAATGTTACAAAAAGATAAATAAAAGGCACGATGTTCCATAAAAATTTATTGTAGGAAAATGTGAAACCAAACCAAAAATACAACAAGAAGACAAATGCAAGGAAAATGCTGAACAAATTTTTGGGAAAACATTTCCATTTTGTCTGGCCAATGCCAAAAGTAAAAAATTAATAGTACCTACATGCGTATGAATATGAAGTAAAAGCAAAGTAAAAGAAAAACCAAAGAAACTCAATGTTGTTTCAAATTAAGGCAAATTAGGGGTACCCAAGCAACATGATGCAGCTTCGAGACGTCAACTCAACAATTTTTCAGCCCTCGGGCTCTATATATATATATATATATTAACTGAAAGAAAAAGTCAATGAAACATGAACATAACTAATCTGGTGGCACAATTTTCGTTTTTCTACCAAGTGTATTACATATTTGTCTACTTAACAATTGATCCTCGAGTGGGAAACTGAAATACACACATCTACATATATATATATATATATATATATATACATCTATATATATATATATAATATACCTAAACAAAAGCAAAAGACATGTATTAGAGCGAGTTGAATTGGAAAATATTTTTTTTCGGCCAAGGCTGAGAAAACTGTTACCATGTGGCCAACCGAAGGCACTAAAGAAATATTTAAAATTCAAATCAATTAACTACAAAGAATTAACAACAAGCTAATGAAGATAATTGAAATTATATTAGAGATCAAAGTCAAATTCAAATAAATTGCATAAAAATTATTACATTTAAAAACGCAAATGGCTAAAACCAGTTATATGTGGATAAATGAAAAGTAAACAAAAATGAAAAACCAATTATGAAAGCAAACCATATACAAGCCGAACAAACCAAAACAAAGAATGTCCCAACTAAATTTTAATTGAGTAATAAAAATAAATACAATAAAAATTAAAGCTCTTGTTGTTTTTAAAGATTGAATAAAAGGTAAGTAAAAATAACTTTATTATTGTTATTTTATTAAATTAGCAAGATCAGCAAGAAAGTTTTAACCTGTTTTTCCTAACATTTTACTATCAAACTTTTTAAAGAAAATAGTCTTTAATTTATATATTTTTAAGTTTAAACTCAAAACAAATCTTAAGCCCTCACAGTCAAGCACTTAATCTTAATAGCATCATCACATAATCATAATCATTTGCTGGCCAGTTTGGCATTAGTTCTTAACCATTCTCAACCACTCACTGCACATGGCCAACATTTAACGATTTTTTGTTGCCACCTCAAGAGCTGGAGAGCAGCTCCACCCAGAAAACAGTGGTTTCCTGCAGCGATGGTGGTGGTGGTGGTGCTTCTGCTCCTGCTGCCACTGTAACTGTCAGTCGTCAAGGACATTTGAACATTTTAAAGGATGGTGGTCCAAATATACTCGAATCACTGCTGAATTTTCCCAAACAATATATCTATATATATATATAAGTACACAGGGTTCTTGTTCATTTTACTGATGGGTCGTTGGGAAGCCACTATTTTCAGGTGGCTTTGTTTGGGCAGAATTTTTTTGAGACTTTTGGTACCACTGTGCCAAACGACTGACATGAACTTCAGTGACAGTTTTAGCACGAGAAATTTTCATGACAATGACGTTGATGTGGCTGACTCTGACAATACTTGACCTAGATGGGCCTGTGTAAATTTTCTAGTGGAGGTAAGTCCCGGGCACTTGAGACGTCAGAGGACCAGTAAAGGGACTTTCCAGCGCATTATCCTTTTGCGCCAATGTTTACTGTTTTGCAAGCGTACAGAGTCAAAGGCAACAAATATTTGAGTTTCTGCACCTCTCTCCCTGTCTCAAAGGAGATGATGTGAAACATGGCCAAGCGGAAAATTCTCAGTAAAATTCAACGTCTCCCCCTGTTCAAATCCGCAGAGAGTGCATCATCAAAATTGTTTGGCTGCAAGTATAGGTGTGACTTTCAAATTGAACTTGCCACCGAAAAGGACACACACAGAGATAGCGCGAGAAATTTGCATTCCATTTCATGGTGCATGTCAATTGGGACATCTCTATCTCTCTCTGGTGGCTCTCTCTCTCACCACGTGGATGGTATAAAGTGCTCCGGAGCATTCAGTTAACTGCTGTTCTTTTTTTTTTTGCGGCATTGCTTCACGGTTCGCAAATATTTCACCCGTTGAATTTATGCGTGCTAAAACAGAGATGGCGAGAGAGAAGCCATGCGGCTTGGTGGTGCAACATGGCGAATGCGCAATTTATGAGGCTTTCAAAACAAAGCGTTGTGTAAGTGAACAGCAACAGTGAACAGAGGACCTGAAATGGAGCAATCGCTGGTGCATTGAGTGCCCTGAAAGGGAAACAAATGTCAATTTAATAGCAGTTTACAACGCGCCTTTGACGAGCACTAAATTTATTGCAGCCAACCCACTTTATTTGTGTTGGAAAAGAGCAAAAAAGTTAGAGAAGGTTTAATGTTTTTATTTTTTTCTCATAAAATCCTCACCCACAATTCCTTCCAGTCACTGCTCCTGCAAATTTATCGCACATTTGCACTAACACTCACACACACACACACACACATCAACTTTCCATTTCTAAAAACCTCTTTTGCGCGGTGACAGCCACCAGCAGGCATTGCCACCAAATCCGTGCCAAATAAGCAACGGCATCCAATCGCCATCACCGGATGCTATGCCCTCAACACTCCACTCCGCATACCGCATCCTATATCTCCATCTGCTTTAGCTGCTAAAGTTCGCACCTTTTGTGCAGATTTCAACCACGAAATACGCCATGGAGACGCAGAATCCTGGCCAACTCCGAGTGTTTCTAAAATACGTAATGGTTATGGTTATCGCTGCACAGTTACTGCCACTTTCAGTGTGTAAATGTGTCTGCAATCGGCGTCTCTTAAACTTACTTTTACTAACTTTTTTACTATGTCTTGATTAGTATCACTTTTTAATTGTTTAAAAGTTCTTTGGTTGAAAAATAGTTATGTACTAGCATGGCTAAGGTGTTTTTGGTAGGAACTAAACACGAAATGATAATTTACTATAGTCCAGCAACAGATTTTATACCTGAAATGCAAACTAGCTGAAAGGTCAACAAAGTTTATGGCTATAACTCTAAACCTTTTGAATAGTAAACTATGTTTCTCATTAATTTCCATAAAATCTAAATAAAAACTTTGAACTACCAAAGGACAGAGAAATGTTTTGATAAAATGAATATCATGTATGTGGCCAAGTGACACAAAATGTTGATTATTTTTATAACTATGTGGAAAAATTGTAAAAAGCAGACCTACCCTCTTAAATCGAATGTGTTTATTCAGAAAAAGTTTACTTCAAGGTTGAAAAAACATATTATTTTGGTATATCCGCATTAATAGATATACAAAATCATTATTACTAAAGTTTTATATTCAGCAAAACAGTTATCATCAGTTTAATAGGCGGCAGGCCAATTGTCTTGTCTGCAGGCTTGTAATTCCTTGGCCAAGTGCCATGACATTCTCGTCCTTCTACATAACTGCTGCCTGTAAACAAGTTGCTTTCTATCGTTTTTCCTTCCCCTATGTTTTCCACATTGATTGCTGAGACTCATTATGACAACTGGCTGCTAATTTTGCCCTGGGCTGTTTAGTGTTCTTTATTTTTTCAGTTTGTTTTATATATTTTAAGCAGGTTTAATATAAATTTCACCAAGTGAATCCAGACTATTTTTATCCTTTGGGACTATCTTGACACAAGATTTGTCCAGCATTTCAAAATTTCTGGGACAAATTATGATTGTTTCGTTTTTAGTCGTTTTTTCAGGTTTTTGGGGATAATAACCAGTTATAACTTTATCTATCCTGAAGCATTCTTTCTTCGTTGGAATGTAGTACTGACCCCCTAATAATTTTGGTTAAAAAGATAATATTAAATGATATTAAATATTGATATTACTTACTTGGACATATGATTAGTGGAGGCTTGGTCGGTGCTGGTACGCATTTTCGTCTTCTCGGATTTATAACATAACCTTCTTTACATACCTGACCCCAAATGAGGTCAAGTAGACCCACGACGAGAAGGAAACAAATAAAGATTAGCTTCATCAAAAATCCGAAATTTAAATGAAGTTTGTGTTTGACAATCTGATGATATTTATACTAAGAAAATTTGTATTAGATATGCTGATTTTTGCTGGCACAGAAAAAATAAATCAATTTTAAATGGATTTATGAATTTTTTCAAAACAAAAGATAACTAATAATGTGTAATACCATTACAGATTTTTGTTATAACCCATGTAACTTCATTATCTATATCAAAGACATGTTCCTATATAACCCCTAAACAACGAAAATCGACATTGAATATAGTATAACTTCATCAAGGAAGAACTGTCAATCATAGTTTTTCCCAGCTACGCCCACAACAAATTGTATGTCATTTTATTTAATTATCGGGTGGAATGAGGCCACATATGTAGATATGTAATCGGATTGGAAAGGGTGGGTGGATGTCCCCAGGGAGGTCTTCGTTTTGCATTCGGTCAGGTATCTACCCGTCTGTAATTACTTTCACTCAAACCAGAACGAAACGGGGCGGTAAATTTAATTTACCGCTCTATTATCCAATTTGCACACGGCAGACGGAAATTCACAGATAATAATAATAAAACTAAAGCGAGGAAATACAAAAAACAAAATGGAAAAATCGATGTACATTCAAGAATTTTTCATGCACACGTACTCCCGTTTGCGGATATTTTGACAGGCAATCTTGATTATATTTTGTTGCACACAGCAGCTCGCTCGTTTATATTTGTTTTTGCTTTTTTTTTATGTGCCGCCTGAATGCATAAATGTAATGAAAATTTGTGTTCTTTCAGTGGTTATATTGACTGGTCAGCAAACAATTCGCACACACAATTGTTGTTTGTTTTCCATTCATTGCGAAGTTAGCTAAAAATAAACTGACATTCAATGATTAATGAAAAGTCTTAAGGGAAGACCCTTAGACGTACCCTTTTCCACCTTCAATATATCAGGCACTGCTTGAACTTTATAAGAGTTTTGATTGAGGCACAAATTGTTGGCCATTTTGTATTTCGATCTAAGAGCATCGAAAACAAGTCGATAAAGGGTTGTATGAGGAAATCCCCAAAAGGTTTTTCAACACAATTGCCCAGAAGTTTTGCTTTGTTTTGCAAAGAGAAACCCAACTCAACCCAACGAAATGGCATTTAATTTTTCATATTTTTTTGCCTCCTTTTCATTTGTCTGGAAATCCTTTTATTTCCGTAAATGTTATAAATTATGTTTATGCTTTGTGGGCTCTGCCGGGATTAACCTAAAAATTAGTTGTCATTACTTTTAATAGTCTCGCCTCACCTTTTTTTTTTATAGTTATTAATGTTGCATGCCTTAATGGGCTCTTTGGGTTCATTAGGTCTGATAGGATTGGGTCCCCATTGTCTAACTATCGCATTGAAGTTATATTTTATACACTCTTTTGTCATTGTATACCACTGTCTGGCCAATGGGCATTGTACTGTACCCACCAATGGCTTTGGAAAATCATAATCAATAATACACAATCATTGGAGAAAGTTCCATTTTCCAGTTTATGTGTCCCACTTGTCGCAACTTATTGATTGGTCAAGGTTTGGGTTTTTAGGCTCCCAGGCAATTGTCACAGAACTGCCAAGTTCATTCGATCCAGAGGGAGCAGTCCGAAGGGAAAATGACAAATTACTGCGCCACCACACCTGTGGCAATCGAAGAAGGTAAAATGAAAATTTAGCCACGAACACGTTTGCTGGCCACAGGCCCAATATACTGATTGAAATCTATGATAAAATTGGGTTCTGTGTTAGGTTTTTAATGGATTCTTAACAAGTTGAATTTGGTTTAAGCCTTATAGCACACATATTTGTACAAAAAATTGTAGAATAATTCATAAAATTTGAACATTTGGGTATATAACAGAAACTTTTCAAACTAAAAAACCGACTTTTACCCCTTGAAAAGCCTTGAAATTATATAATTCATGTGCTCAACTTTAAAGTTTCCAAAACAACGCCCCTTAGGCCTTCTGATGGCTGCTTCGTGCTTCACATTTTACCATAATGCCCAACACAGTTGACAATTTAAACAAAAAGTCGTGCGTCAACGGGGCGTATACATGATATTCGCCAAAAATAAACTTTTCTTTGTGTTTAAGCAAACTTCAGTTTTAAAATGTTGCCAGTCAAAGTGTACTTTCAAAATAACGATAGATAAAGAAACCCCTTACAACAAAAAAAAAATTATATTTATTTTTCTCTTTTTTAGGCCTTCTTGGAGATGCCAAAATCCCTTCAATAGGCAAAGTTTAACAAATCTAAGCCTTTAAGACTTTTCTTGTCTCTTCAGAGATTCCTAATCTTCACGGAATTCGTATATAAACACCTTTGCAGTGAGAAAACAACTTAAATACCGCTTAATGGGCCTCAGTCAGGCCCGACGAAAGTCAATTCAATTTGCATAATTTCCATATTAATAGCACTGGATGGCCCCACAAAAGAGATACAAAACTCAAACGATGGAAGTGTCACTCTTTCTCTGTTTCATTCCCCATCTCTGTCTGTTTCGCTGGCATCCTGATTGTATCCTGAATATCCTTCTCGCTCAATGGACCATCGTGTAGCCAGAGGTTCACACAGACGGAAGGACACAGCCGCTGTTTATGACAGCTGTGATTGAGGCCATCATTGACAGCGTTAGCTGTTCGCTGGAAATGGCCAGTTGGCGGTACAATCACAATCGCATGGGTTGTCCTTCCGTTAATGGAAAAATGCCTGCAATTGTCCAGTACGAGAAATTAGTGGTTACATGGAGAAAAATGTGTAGTTCAAAGGTGAGTGGCTTGAGTTCCTCAACTGTTTTAGGAAACTAGTTACCTAGAAATCGATTTATGTATATCAAAACATTTCTACAATAAATAATCTTTTACTTATTTTTTACTTTCCTCAGTTAAAATGGCTTGAAAAGACTCTAAAATATTAAAAAATATCATGACATCTCAGCTCGATATCTCTATTTCACAGATACTCCTAAGCGAAAAATCTCTGAGATGTCTCGCCATGTCCTACGCTCTAGAAGATGGCTTTTGAGCCCCGTCTAATAAGGTGACAAATTGGGATGGAAATCATAAATCCACACAGATAGCTGAGCAGCAGCACCTACATTGTGCTCGCTGGGAGGGTAATAAAGCAATCTGTGGAATATCGGGTCGACAAACTACTTGGCACTCCGTTGCTCCACAACCAGGACAATCTTGCTGGTGCAGCCAGAGGTGCTGACACACAGCTCCACCTATGACAAACATGTCTTATCAACATTTATGGCACTTTTATGAGACCCTGGCAGACTCACGTGCCCGTTAAACTTTGGCGTGAGTTCTGCGAAAAAGCATTGGAGCGCAAAATGGAGCAATAATCCTGGCAAAGTTTCCAGGTGAAAATGCGAGGCTGAAAGGAGTCCACATGCATAACAAATAGCTCGCACTGCAGCTTACTCGTTAATTTCACACGCTGAGTCCTTTTCATTTCGTATGTTTAATTTTTCCGGCCATTAAATTATTACCTTGCCATATATCTATATATATATAATATATATATATATATGTGCCCTAGTCCGATTTAACCTTCGACCAACTCACCTTGTTTATAGCATCAACAGCCTCATGATTATCCATGATGATGGCGCACATCTGAGTTCTGATTGGTATAAAAAAGTGCTATGTTTCACATAGCCATCAAGGCTGGGCAGCAAAAAACGTTAATACATTTCCAGAGAAACAGGGTGACTTTCCTGGAAAACTCATTCTAAGTAAATATATAAAGGCTTAGGCTAATTAGAAATTCCTATAATTTGCCTATATTTACTTGTAGGCCGGTACCTATATACCCCTTAAATCCCATTAAATATTAACAACTAGATTACCCTGTTTAACTGCCAATTTCAATTGCACCGCTATCATTTCTCATGGCCGGGAAACGTTGCAGGAGCTTTAAATATTTGATAGAGCAAATAATTTGATTGCGAATCGGCACAGGGCAGAGGTATTTTGTAGTCTGATTTAAGAATATCACAACCAGGTAGGTATTCCATTCCACTGGCCTAATGAACTGTATATTGCTATCTATATAAGGGCCTCTTTTAATTTCCTCTGTGGACTTCTGACTGACCATTCGCGTCCTACGGGCATTTATGGCTTTCATCTGGTAATCAATGTAATAATTGCCAAGTGCTTTGATTACCGTACTGTTGCATCATTTTCGTTCGCCTGAATCGTAGCTTTAATTATGTGGAGCCCTCCACTAATGAGTCGCCCAGCTCGTCGATGGGAATGGTTCCTAATTAGTTGGTTTGGTTGCTAGGTGGGAACTCTCCAAACGCAGGCAATCGACGAAGTTAAATGGACCAAAGCGAAGGCAAAAGGTTAACGGATGGCCAACGATGGTCATTAAGCCAGATCCATTTGGTTGCGGATGAAGAAAAAAATATCTGATCGAGCTAATGTTATACCGACCAATCATGGCCACTAAAATTTCTATTTAGGATTTCCCTTTCTAATTAAGTTGTTGGTGAACATTCCTGAAAATTAAGCTGGTTTGTTGCTATTTATTAAATTTTCTATAGGAAAATGCTAATAACTAATAAGCTAAACCTAATAAGTCTTCCTTATTATACTTACTTACTTTCGTTTTGCATAATATAGTTTTTTTCGTATTCATGAAATCATTTATATCCCCACCTGATTTAAGGAGCTTTAAATCCCCCACGTGCTATTATCCCAGGCACATTTATCTCACGGGGAATCGTATGTAAATCTAACTGAAGACCTATTGCATAACTTGTCACAAATTCGTCGGCAATCTGAACAAATGCCGCCTGCTTATGCTAATGTCTTTCTCGTGTCCCGAGGCGAGACTCAGACAGATAACCGCAGTCACAAACGCCTGTTGTTACCTTAAGCGAAACTGAAACTGAGTGTCAGGCGTCGCGAAACTGACGCAATGCAAGACAAAAGGTCAAATGTCAAGCAGGAAATATGCTAAATATGCATAGGGCCTTCAAGAGATACGTGAAAAGGGATAGAGGAAATGTGGATTTTGTTTGCTAAACAACAAACCTAAGACCAAACCTTAAGCCAAACTATATGTTTTCTGTCAATAAGATGAGGTAGATATACCATAAGCTTAGAAAAGGATGTGGGAACTGGGTAGAACTTAGACTCCAGTGACAACCGAAGGTGCAAACAAGGAAACTAATTGAATTTATGCTAATTAGCAAACCGTGACTGGGGCATGAAGCGTTAATTATGGCAGCCTCGACATACGGGGCGTATACGTAATGTAAATGAAATTCTAATCAATTGCTTGGCAAATTTGCATAATGGCCATGAAGCAATGGCCCAGGCCGAGCAAGTGGAGCAGGCCAACACGCATTATCAATCACTAATCGATGAAATCGATAAGGTTAAAAGTAAACACGCAAAAGGGTGGAAAGTTGAGCCCCATTTCCCAGCCCCCGACTATTTCCTGTCTAATTAGGCAAAGCGTTGTCTCTACTCCGTGTGTTTAGTTACCAATTCAATGGGCTTCCAGCTGATTGATTCGCCGCCATATATTGCGCTTTTGAGTGCAGTTTTTGGGTCCGCAACCTTCTCGTCTATTTTTCCCGTCCTCTCTTTGTCGCCCTGTGGGAACCCTTCAATCATTTTTATTTCATGATTTATTCATCTAGACACTCGAAATGCTTTTCGTTCGGTTGGATCTGCGGCAGCCGCAACATTTTAATGGCATTTTTAGCCAGCAAAGTGCGCACATGGTTATATCCTTATCTGACGGCTTGGGGAACGGGAACAGTTGCCAATTTTTATTTTTTCTGTGCTGTAACATCGCGTTTTTGGGACTTTTAAAAAGTTGCCCATCTTTAATTGTAATTGCAATTTTATGTTGTCGTTTTTTCTTGTCCCTTAAGAGCCCTCAGCAGTGGGCAATGGAATTGAGTTTTTAAGAAATTCTTTTTAAAGAGGCCTCAGGTGTTTGTTAGAAGCATATACTAAAGAGGGTTCTTTTTTTTAAAAGTTAGACAACATTTTTTAGGAAGTAATATTTTTTAATGGGAAAACTACTTACACATTTGTAAGGCAAATACTTATGTCAACGCCTAAAGGGAAACATTATTTAAAAACAATATTTACATTAACTATTTGTGGTACACAAATTTTCTACCCGTCCTAAACTAACCCATTAGAACTTCCCTCTCTAAACTTACCCCCACCAAGTTATCCAACAATTCCTTACATTTCAACTCAAGAAGCTACAGATAAATTTATTTAGCAATGGGAACATTGGAATTGAAAGTACCGTAGTAATTTTAAGCGCTCAAATGTTAAGACGTGACTCACTCAAAAGTGAGCTAACCTTGCCACAGCAGGCAACTGGTAACCGTAACCTAAAGACCTATATTAGGCAAAATGAAAAGCTTTATTTTTAAGCTTTTAACCAGGATGCTCAAGCTCTGGTAAAAAACCCCATATTTTAAAAGGGGGAAATCGTGCTTTACTTTTCTAGAGATAAACAGTTCGTTGCTTTATTTCACTTAAATAAACATATGTAACTTTGATTTTTGTGCATCGTTATACAGTTAATTATCTTATTCTGCATAAAATATATATACACACTGGTATATACACAGATTTACATAACTTAAAGCTTGCGATAATTAGGCTAACTGATTCTAAATCGATTCTGCTTATCCTAAAAGAGGAGCTGCATAGCACCCCCAAGCTATAAAGCTTAAATCAACGCAGATCGGAATCGTCGACGCGAACTGGCTTGCGAGAAAGATAAAGAACAATGATGGTGGTCAAGGCGCTGACCAGGAATATAACGTCGAACCAACGATGATAGAAGTTGAAGTGCAGATTTCCCAGCACCTCGGTGATGATCACACGATATTCAGCAGGCATGTTCATTCGCATCAGCAGCACCGATGAACAGAAATACATACCCATAATCTGGCCCAAAATTAGCACGATGATGTTGCTCGACTTACTCGATGAAATGCGGTAAAAGAACTACAAAAAGGTAAACTAAGCTTGGAAAACTGATATTAATTTGCAAACATACCTTTGTGAGCGTCAGCAACAAGCCCCTAATCGAGGTGACTACAATACAGCCAACGAGGAGAAATGATATATGCTGATTCCAAAAAGCGAAGTCTATGTCAAAGCCACACCAATGAATGGCAATCTCTAGGCCACGTGTCACTGGGTCCTTTCGGCCCACTCTATCGAAGATGATGTTGATACAACACTAAAAAGTAATATTATTAATGAAGAAAAAACCCCTTTTTTTAATATGTAAGACCTACCATAAATATCTTATAGACGCAATAAACACTAAAAAAGTGGCCCAGAACATTGAAGTACTTTCCCTTAAGTGTTTGAGACCATCTTTGGCGTTCTTCCATGTTTTTCAAGGAACTTAGTTCCAAGAAAACAGAGCGCAACAGCTCCTCCAAGCCATAAACTTCCTGTTTTAATTGATTTATATCTGAAAATATACAACTTATAAAAGGAAATTTGTTTTAAGGAATAGCAGCTTCAACAACCTTCGCCGTTGTTCGTATTGCGTTGGACTGCTGACGTTAGCATATCCCAAATTCTGGGTTTGGCAGGGTGCAGTTTGTTGTGATTATAGACGGCCAATGCAATTCTGCGTTTCTTGGCCGTCAACATGTCCACCGTCAAAGCCAAGCGTCGCTCGAAGCAGATGATGTCATTCCGAGACACTGGCCTGCCAAAAAAGAGAAATGATTGCACGTCACACAAAGATAAGCGGAATTTAAGCAATTCGATTACTTGATGAAGTAGGCCATGCTGGTGTAGGGATAGTTGACGGCACCAAAGCCAGATAGAATGGCCATTACGGTTACACCAATTACACTTATCCGGGAAACGCCCTGTTCGATCGTAAATATGCCGTGGGAGGCACTCAACAATGGAAAGGGCTCACCAATCCGCCAAAGACCATAGAGAAAGATGAACCAGCAGAATGTTGTTAGAATTCTGACCCATCTATCGGAAACTAAGAAGAAAAAGTCTAATTAAACATGAACAAAAATATAAAAAAGTTTACTTACAAAAGGAAATGCTGTGTATCACAGAATAACAAATATAAATGGGTATCACAGCCGTTGTCATCAGGAGTAGCAACGTGAGACCCAGTCGCCAATGGAAGTACCTCGAACTGGACTCCAGAACGTCGATGATTTCAAATATGATCAACTCAAACATGGTTATGGATAAGGCGAATGTGGATGAAAAGATCAATTGAACGGATATGTGGCGTATCTCATAATGCTTGAAGAGTTCCTTGTTGAAAAACAGCCAGCCGCCGGCGAAGAATATCATCTGCAATCAAGTAAATGGAGTTATTCCATTTCAAATGGCTAAATTAAGACTCCCACTTGCCTGCGACACAAATACGATCACACAGTCGCCAAGGAAGGCCATCTTAAGGCCTTGTCTTCCTTCAGCTCGGATATGTCAATTACTTTTTCGCCTGCCTGGTCACTGGCATTGTTTATTTAAATTAATTAACTCAAATAACAACTGTTCTAAGAACTGAAAATGCCAACAAGCAAATATAAACAAAAAAGCCGTATGCCTATGAATCGATATTTCGATAGGAAGGCTTGTTTATATACTAAAAATACTATTTGGTATTTAATTAAGACGTTGGAAAGTGCTGACACTTTAGCTTGTTTGTTATTATTGTTAAATAGTCTTTTGAATATGTGGGTAAATTAAACATTTTAAATATTTTCAGACTATTTTTAAATATATTTTTAGAATCTCGTATCTTAAAGTTTTGTAATTTATTTTGACTTAGCCAAATGAAAGCTTATGCATTCGGCTATAGCCATTTTTGACTGTTTGAGAAAATCAAACTCTTGTCTACAAATGAATAATGTGGCAGCACTCCTAGCAAAACGGGCTGATTGGACAATGTTTATCAAATGATTACCTGCTGGATGCGGGTCCAGATGCTTGACAAAATCTCAGGGAAGTGGAAAGGACAGCGATGGCTTGTTATTATCGCCAGCACGAGGACACTGCGGTGACGGTACCGAAATTCACGAACGAGAACTCCAGCGGCGGTGTAACCTACTACGACATCAAGGTGCGAGTGGGCAAAGTGGAATGGGTGGTAGAGCGGCGCTATCGGGATTTTGCGAATCTACACGAAAAGCTGGTGGGAGAGATATCTATTAGTAAGAAGCTGCTTCCACCGAAAAAGGTACGCCCCCAAAGAATATGTAGATCTATATTATAAATAAATGTGAATAATCTTCTATTTTCAGCTGGTCGGCAATAAACAGCCCTCGTTTTTGGAACAGCGGCGTGAACAGTTGGAAACTTATCTTCAGGAACTTCTTATTTATTTCCGAACGGAATTGCCGCGGGTTCTGGCCGAGTTCCTGGACTTTAACAAGTACGACATCATTTACCTTCTGCAGGATCTTGCCAAGCTTTTTAATGAAAGTGGTGATGCCCTGCTCAGCTCTAAGAAGGAGTACAATCTTTCAGCCCTAGAGGTGAGTTGGAAATATCAGTGTTTTCTTTGAGTTTCTTGTTAACGTTCCTACACTGAAAGATGTCTAAATTATTAGTATTTGTTTTAAGACTAAAAAGCCCATTGCAGCTTAGAAATATTCTAAATAACCTTCTCACGGCAAGAGGCATTAACTATTCCCTGGGTACTCTTCACAAACATCACACTAACTTCTCTGCAGAGCTGGAAAAGACCATCCAATCTGAAACCAATTTTAAGAATATCTGTCACCTTAAGAAGTATGTCCGAAAGCATACTAAATGGCATCGAGAAAATGACTGTACCAATCTGCATTACTTCAACTATTTGCTGCTAGATCCTCGAGTAACAAATAACTTGAGGGAGCGAGCCAGTAGCCTTCATCTGATGGATGTTTGGTACACCTTCCTAAGAGCAATTTTCTATGTTGGAAAAGGAAAAGCTAACCGTCCCTATGTTCATTTAAAAAGAGCACATAAATTGCTGAATGAAACTAATAGCATAACGTTAGCCAAGGACCCGAAATTGGCCCTAATAGTATCCATCTGGAGGGCTAAACGTGGAATCTTACTAATGCGTGCTTTTCGAAGAATTTCGTCACCAGATGCGGAAACTCGTGAGGCATCTATTATTGATGCTCTCGGTATGAATCACTTGACCAACCGGCGATTGGGTGTTTATTGTGGTCAAGCTCGAAGTAGTTTATCCAATAAAGAGCGAAAGTATTTAGGAATAGCTCTGCTTTACAAACTAATGCAGAAGTTTCTTGAGACTGAAGAGAGGGAACTTTATCCTTTACCGAATACCAAAAGTGTTGACTTCAAGGTTGCAATGGAAGCTTAATTGAACTTAAAATATATATATACTTAGTAAATTTTGTAAAATTTTGGTTTGTATTTCCCTTTTACAGGTCTTTGCTATTAGTGAGCGGCTAAGTCTTCCCTGTCCGCCGAGTCAGGATCGCGGTGGAAAATTTGACTTCTCGCATGTGCTGGACTTTTGCACACAACTTGTGGCTTTAGTGGTCACTCCAGTCAAAGACAATGGAAGCTATGTCCAGGACTACAATACGGTAGATGTGCCTATCGGTCGAAGTAATATCATTCCGAATAGACTAAAATTCAATCTTAATGCCTTTCGCAATCTCAAGACGCTAAAGTTCTCGGCGTTGTCCACGGAAAACATTGTGGACATTGAGCTTCTGAAGCCAACTCTCCTGACAATCTGTGTCCATAACACAACCATACAGAATATAAATCAAGTGTTGCTTTGCGACAATCTGCACAAGCATTGCGATGTACCAAGTCTACTGCCAGAGGAAATTATTGCATCCTCCTCCGGTTCAAGTTCCTCCACTTCTAATGGTAGTGCATTGGTTAGTGCGGACGCGTGGCAGGAGATAACCGAATTGGATTTGACAGGCAATCTTCTGACCCAGATAGATAGCAGTGTAAGAACAGCTCCAAAGCTAAAGCGCCTAATCCTCGAGCAGAATCGAATACGGACCGTCCAAAATCTTGCCGAGCTTCCTCAACTCCAGTTGCTTTCGCTGTCGGGAAACCTAATATCAGAGTGCGTCGATTGGCATTTGACGATGGGAAATCTTGTCACTTTAAAGCTGGCTCAAAATAAAATCAAGACCCTAAGCGGCCTGCGAAAGCTGCTTTCACTGGTCAACCTGGATCTGAGTTCCAATCAAATCGAAGAGCTCGATGAAGTTGATTATGTTGCCAACCTTCCTCTTTTGGAAACTCTTCGGCTTACTGGAAACCCACTAGCAGGCAGTGTTGGTAAGTTTTAACATTTATTTAAAAATTCTACAGTTTTTAAATACAATTTTATAACCACACAGACTATCGCTCCCGTGTCTTGGCTCGATTTCACGAACGCGCTGCTGAAATATCTCTGGACAATGAACCTGGTAATCAGCAGGAGCTAGATACTGCTTTGGTTTTGTCAGCTCTATTGCAATCAAAGCAGCGACAGCAGCAGAAATGATCCTTGTCTCACCGAAAGGTTCTCTATTCCATTACTTCAAATATCTCTAGAAAATTTTAAACCTTATAAATCTCAACGTATTATTGGTTGACTTTTCTTCCGTCATGCCACAAATAACAAATTTTTCAATGTAAAGGTTGTGGACTTTTAACAATTTAAAAATTTTTTGTACTATTATATTCCAATGTTTAGCCGTAAAAATTATTTATTTTATGTGTTTCATATGTTTAAAACGATTTCTGTAAAACTTTCAATATGTTTATATTTTATGTCCACCCGATGTGCAATAATTCAATGCTCACCTCGAAACAAATAGTTAAGTCAATAAACTAAATTATACATCCTGACAAATATAGGTTCTTTAATAGACAAATTTGTTAACATCCTTAGTTAGTATTGTAATACCGCAATTATTCCTCGCTTCTGATGATTGATAAGGATATGGGCAATCTAGCCTGATTATACTTAATCATTTCAATTATAGCCGTCCATATAAGTCTTATGCATGTGTTCCGAGAAATCACAGCATTACCAACCACCATGCGCAAAGTTCTAGTATTTCTTTTGATATTTACTATTCGGGAACAGTTGAAACTCGTCCGAGGTGGTCATAATATGACACTGGTCAGATCCGTGTTGACAGTAATCCGTAGCAGGGAGAATTGGAAAAACACTCCCATCTTTATGGGGGGCAATACGAATTCGGATGAGTTAAATAGCCTGATGTTTTGGCTTCAACATTCAATGGAAGTAACTTGTCACACGGTGGACACATCTACTCCGGCCCATAAGGAATATCCACTGGGTCACTATAACATAATTGCAAATAATTCAGTCTGTTTATTATTCTGCCACAGCACCCAGGAAATGATATGGTTTAATTTGAATAAGGGTCTTCGAAGATTGCGACGTATGCGGCTAATTGTCGTTTTACCCAACAAACGAAGTGGATCTTATAATGCTATAATGGCCATATTCAAGAAGCTATGGCATTTTCAGTTCTTGAACGTAATTGTTCTTCACAGGGATATGATCTACTCTTATAATCCTTATCCAGTAATATGTTTCTCTAAGGTGGACCTAGCCTCTTATCCGCTTTTTCCGCCATATACACGAAATTTCCAGGGCTATGAGGTGTCCACTCCCGTGGAGAATGATATTCCTCGAGTTTTTTTTGTGCGAGATCTGAAAACTGGATGCAATCAAATCAGAGGATTTGGATATCGGACATTCGTGGAATATTTACATCGCCATAATGCCACGTTGCGTGTGAGTAATCCCCACCAGGACCATGCTACCACCAGTAGTGTGAATATGGGAAGGATAATGCAGGAGATAATGGACGGTCAATTAGAAATCTCTTTGCATCCATATGTTGATGTGCCTGAGACTATGGGAGATCATAGCTATCCGTTGCTGGTGGCTTCCAATTGCCTAATAGTTCCGGTCAGGAATGAAATACCCCGTCACATGTATCTAATGCTGCCTCTAAACCAATCGAGCTGGTTACTTCTGCTTGGTTCTGTAATCTATATTAGTGGAGTTCTCTACTGGATTCAACCTGGACGTGAACATCGCACCTGGGAACAAAGGATTGGATTTAACATTCTGGAAAGCGTCAGTCGAATAATTTATATCTGTTCTCCCTCAAGGGTATATACCCCATCGCTGAGGTATTTTATAGTTTCAATACAGCTCACGATACTGGGATTCGTGGTAACCAACCTCTACAGCATACAGCTAGGCAGTTTCTTTACTACTTTGGTAGTCGGCAAACAAGTTGACAGCATGGAAGACCTTATCGAGCAAAAGCAAAAAATTCTAGTCAAACACTACGAAGTCAGCACGTTGTTGCGCCACGTTGAACCACATTTGGTGGACGGTGTAGCTCGTCTTTTAGTGGGCGTCAATGCCAGTGAACAGGTGACTGCTCTTCTGGGATTTAATCGTAGCTATGCTTATCCCTTCACCCTGGAGAGATGGGAGTTTTTCTCTCTCCAACAGCAATACGCCTTCAAACCAATCTTTAGGTTCTCATCAGCATGCCTGGGATCCCCGATTATAGGTTATCCGATGAGGAGTGACTCCCATCTACAAAGGTCCATCAACATATTCATCATGCAGATCCAGGCTGCAGGACTGTTACAGCACTGGTTCGTATCTGACTTTAATGATGCCTTGCGTGCTGGTTACGTCAGACTTCTGGACAACGTCCTTGGTTTTCATTCCTTGGATATTGATTCTTTGCGCCTGGGATGGGCAGTTCTTGGATGTGGCTGGCTATTGTCCGGCTTGATTTTTCTCTGCGAACGCTGGAGGTTTTACCATCGTCCCTAAATTGGTTCACGATAAATATCATAATTACAAATATTTATGTCTCACCTGTCAATAAAATATTTTGAGCTTTCTATGGTTTCTGCTATTTTCCAATTACTGCAATTGGGGTTATTATGTATATTAAGGCCACTAAACGTAATTACCAAATGTTGTATATTGATTAATTCAATTTACTTTTTATCTATTTATATTTCCCAAGGTTAAATCAATCAAAAATCAACTTAAAAAAGAGTGAATTTATTAAAAATACAATGTATTTGCGTTATAGACAATATGATTACTTTCAATATGCAAGTAAATTTGAATGAATTACAGATATTTAAAATGTAAAGATACAGATTACACCGGGATAAATGGATCTCTTGCATACTACCTGGCCGAAACCTTTGTGCAATTGAGATTTTAATCTTTATAATTATTAATGTCAAGAGCGGTACTTAATATGCAGTACTTAACTAGATGCTATACAATTTTATTAGCAGTTGTATTATAAGTTCGAGTTCAAATATATATTACTATGCTACTGTCAATTGCAATGTCTATGATGAATCCGAGATATGGCCAATATACGATTAAGAAATTTAGGATATACTTTAACTAGTAGTTCTGCCAATGAAGAGTGTAGTCGCGTGATTTTAGCTTGCCATGTGGCCTATATCATTGTGAGTGATGATGGTGTTGGGCGTGATAGTGCTGCTGCTCAGCGGCGGCCACGGCATCGAACATGGGTGTGTGCACCTCGCCCAGAAACTGTGGTGTGGGCGGAGCATTTGGTTCGGATAGCTCTCCAATGAGAGGCATATCGATATCCGTGGCCAACGAACTCTGCCCGTAGTTGCTCAGTCCGTAGGGTTGTTGTTGTTGATGCTGCTGCACAACAGAAACTTGAGCATAATCCGGAGTGGCCTGCACCTGTTGCTGAGTATCAAGCATTACGGGAGCAGCCTCCATTTCTCCAAATTGTATTGGACCGGTCTGCTGTACTGGCATGCTCTGATGAACGGGCAGATTCTGCACACGTTCGTGCTCCACTGGCGCCGACAAGTATTCCTGTTGAAGCCCCGCTTGAGGCTCATCTGGTTGTTCCTGCCTCTGCATGTGTTGCTGCTGCTGGTGTCCCACATCCTGATGATGCTGCTGCAAATGATGTTCATCCTGTGGCGGCATTATGTCGGAGTTCTGGTCCGTTCCATCGTCGGCATTCTCGCTGATTTCCGCACCTTCGCCCGAAGTTTCTCCATCACGTCGAACCAGACCCAACATATCCAGCATATTGCGTTTCACGGCATTTTCATTTGCCGCTTCCAAGCTGGGATAGCAGGTGCTAAGACCACAGTTGGCCAAATGCTGAGCCATTTTGTTACCGTTGCCGGTGGCAAACCCGCAGATGCAGTGCATCTCCTGTGGCATATTGACTTCCATTGCATCCACAAAGTTTCCATTGCATTCCACGCCATGTCGGAATTGAGCTCGCTCGCAACAGGTTTGATAATTGCATTTAACGCAATGCAGCCAACCACTGAAAATATCGAAAAATGTGTATATTTTTAATGAGAGCTAATGATAAAGAGCTAACACCACCAAAACCCTATATTACAATGTATTACCTCATATTAGCCTAATGAATTTTGGTGATAAGACCAATCAGGCTCTATTAAGTCAATTAGCTGTTGGCTTATAAACCTCTTCCTGGCGTTCTTAAATGTCATAATCAAAACAACCACCATGTGCAAAGTGCTAACAATTCTGTTCCTGTTCTCAATACCGAAGCTTACAAGAAGTGACTACAATGTGACAATGTTAAAATCAGTTCTGACTGTCATTTCTACCAGGGAGCAGTGGACGAATACTCCAATATTCATGGGACACAGCAGAAAACGAGACGATCTCAGTGATTTCTTTATTTGGCTTCATCAAACAATGGGAGTTACTAGTCTAACGATAAATTCATTAATTCAACCTGAAGAGCTAAAACCTTTTGGCCACTATAAAATAACTAGAAATAATGCCATCGGTTTATTTTTTTGCCACGGAAGGCAGGATATTCTGTGGTTTACTCTGGATAGTGGCCTTCGAAAATTGCGACGCATTCCCTTGATCATCATGCTGCGCTCGCAAAGAAGTCAATCGCATAGAGCTATTCAATCTATATTCACAACACTGTGGCAGTATCAATTTCTTAAAGTTCTTGTCCTACATCGCGATCAGATTTACTCTTACACTCCGTATCCGACTGTGCGTTACTTCAAGCTAAATATTCATTCGGATCCGCTTTTTCCATCTGCAACAAGGAATTTTCAGGGATATGTGGTCTCCACTCTAGCGGAGAATGATATTCCAAGAGTGTTTCATATCCACGATCCTAGCACTGGTCGCAGAAAGATGCGGGGCTATGCATATCGCGCGTTTGTAGAGTATTTGGATCATCATAACGCATCGCTAGAGCTAACCAACCCTGACGAGAAACTTGACCCAACAACTAGTGTAAATATGAATCGTATTTTGGAGCTAATAATAGAAGGACAATTGGAAATCTCTTTGCATCCGTACGTTACCACACCAAAGAACACAGTAAAGAGTTACCCCTTGCTAATATATCCAAATTGTTTGATTGTGCCAGTGAGAAATGAGATTCCAAGACATATGTACCTTTTACGGCCATTCCATCTGTACAGCTGGTATATTCTCTTGTTCGCAGTTTTTTACATAACCGGAATACTACATTGTATGAGTCCAAAACTGCATGGAAGTACCTGTGCGCAACAGTTGGGCTTGAACTTTTTGGTTGCCATAAGCAAGGTCCTTTTTATCAGCTCCCCCGTATCAGCATACGGAGTTACATGGCGCCATTTCATTGTTTTTGTACTACTGGCTATCCTGGGATTCATCACCACAAGTTGGTACAACATTGAGTTGGACAGCTTCTTAACAACTCTGGTTGTGGGCGAGCAAGTCAATAGCATCGATCAGCTCGTCCAGCAGCAACAAAAAGTTTTGGTCAAGGAATACGAAGCTAATACTTTTCTGCGACATGTTGAGCCCCGATTAGTGGAAAAAGTGGCTAGGCTCTTAGTGAGCGTAAATGCCAGTGAACAGGTGATCGCCCTGCTCAGTTTTAATCGCACTTATGCTTATCCTTTTACTGAAGAACGTTGGCAGTTTTTTGCCATGCAACAGCAATATGCCTTTAAGCCGATCTTTCACTTCTCATCCGCTTGTCTGGGATCTCCACAAATTGGTTATCCAATGCGAATTGACAGCCATCTGGAGCCGTCGCTAAACATGTTCATAATGAGAATTCAGGGTGCAGGTCTACTACATCACTGGCTGATCTCCGACTTTAACGATGCCATGCGAGCTGGCTATGTGAGGTTTCTGGATAATGTTCTGGGATATCAACCTATCGACGTGAATACATTACGACTGGGCTGGTGTGTTTTGGGAATTGGTTGGTTGCTGTCTACTTTGATTTTTATTTGCGAACGCTGGCACCTTTACCCTTGGCGCATTTTCCCTTAGCTTAGGTAATAAATAAAATAAAAAACTTGTTTGTACTTACGTGTAATGTGTTTCCTCGCTGGCGTAATCGGAATTGCACTCGGCACAAGTCTTGCCCTCCAAGAAAGCAAAAAATACTGGCCGCTTGTAGGAGGAGAAAGGTGGCTGCTCGCGATGATGTGTGCGAATCTTTGGCGGTGGAATCAACATCGAGTTGTTGAGCAAAAGACGCACTGGTTTATTGGTCTTAAGCATACTGATATGATGCTGCACCGCATGCTGCTTAAGATCACCCTTCTCAAGGAAGGTAAGTGAGCACTTCTGGCAACGCAATGAGGGATCCCTCTTGTTGATGTGCTCATCCAAATGCATGAAGTAATGTTCGATCCGCAGTTGGTTAACAACGCCACGCTTTGAGAAGTAGAAAATCTAAAGGAAACGATTCAATTGTATCATTAAAGATTCTTTGAAAGTTAAAGTTACTCACATCCAAGCAGTATGGGCATTGCAGGAAGTTGTGGTGCTTGTGGTCATCATAAAAATGCCGCACCAAATCGCGGTGTGAGGATGAACGATAACCGCAAGAGTGACACCAATATGGAAGCTCAAGTGTACTGTGCGCCTTCTGGAGATGGGCCGTCAAAAGGTGCAGAGAATTGTGACGTTGTTGGCAGATTAGACAGTAATACGAGGGCGAGCCTTCCGTCTTGGTCTCAGTTGGATGCATAATCTGGTTGTGCTTGGCCAAAACGGACTCCGTGGGGTGTTTCTCCAAGCAGAAAAGGCATTGAAACTGGTGCTGCTTGTCCTCGGGGGAAATATGGGAAACCAAGTGCGTCTGCAGTTTCTCATTAGAATCGAAGGAGTCGCCGTTCAGACAGATTGGGCACTCTACGGTCTTAACGAGATTGTTGTGAGCAGTTCGCGGAGTGCTGAATGGGAAGATCTCATAGTATTCATCTGTGCCATCGCTAATGCCGTAGTACAGCTCCTCTAGGCCTCTAAGATCGTCCTCCTCCTTCTTAATTACCAGTGGAACCTTATCATCCTTATCCTTAGGCTTTTTAACCAGTGATTTTGAAAATGCTTTCGATCCCGATAAAAGTCCGGCTGCCTTGGAAGTCATGGCTTTATCACCTTTCGGCTGGTTGGTGCTTCCCGGGGGCCGTCCTGGGCCCTTCTTAATTGGAACTTGAGGTGGCGGTGTGCTTAAGGCATTTGGTGGACGGCCGCGCTTAGCTCCAGTGGGTAGTGAATCCCGGTCGCGATCCTTTTCCTTCTTTAGAATCTTATTAGAAACGATATAGTCGGCATCATTGATAGCTGAAAACAAATAAAAGCTATTTACAATACCATACGAAACATCCCCTAGTATACATACTTGTTACAACTTAAATATTATAAATTAGACCATTTCTTTTAGTCAGAAGCTGCGAATGCAGCAAAACAAATAATTTATTACATGCCATATTGCGTTTGATCACTCCAAATGAAAAAGAAAATTAAACAAAAACAATTCTTAAATTTCTTGCAAGTTTATTGGTTGGTTTTTTTTAACTTAAGAGTGTGTTTTTAAATATAAGTTAACACGCAAGTTGCCGAAATGTAAAACTTATGTTGTATGTGATAGTACACTCTACTTCCAATGATTTTATAAGTTCACAATGCATATGACTCGATCAAAGGATTAAGATTTTGACCTGAGTTCATCATTTTAGCTTTGATTAAGGAAAAAGAATTAACAAAACAAAAACATTTCACTATGGAGTGAGAAACGCAGGCACTTTCTTAACGGGTCTATCATTACGAATTATTCTATTCACGGCCTAAATGAAAACTGGCTAGAAAAGTACTATAGTACTAACGTTTCTTAAGGCGTTTCGGGGCCGCATTGGCCGGAGTCTCCTTGTAATTGGCAGGCAGAACACTCCAGTCCTTGAACGGATTAGTGGCCACCTAAACGAGAAATACATTATTCTCTGATTGGAATTTTTTTTCTTGTTCTGCTTACTTGATACAGGCGTTGAGTGATGGTTTCATTAGTGGTTACCCTCGTCTGTTCGGCGATGTGCATGATAATGTTGTTAAACGCCTGCAGAGCATATGTACCAAAAGATTCTCGCCAGACCAGCTCGTCAAGGAATTGCTGGATCATCTGGCGAGAGAGCAGCGATAGTGTGTTCTGGAACATGCGCGGCACAATCCGGCGCAGATATTCCATTACAGCAGAGTTGTTATGCTTAGCCGTATTATCGGTAGCAGCTGCCTGTACAATATTTTTGAATCCCATGCTAAACAGGGTGATCTTGTCCACTGTCAGGTCAATGCAAATTGTGCTGTCCTTGTGCACCCATCGCGACAGTGGCTCCAGAATGGCCTGAAAACGTTTCTTGTAGTTGCGATCGCCATCTGTGATTGGTTCCACTGCCCGCAGACGAATGGATTTCTCCGCGTAGTCATAGACGCCCAGAACCTCTACTTTCACCTGGCGCTGAGAGCCATCTTGGGAAGTGGTTCCCAGTGAAATTACTCCAACCTATGGAATATAAAAACTGTAATTGAAGATTCTATAATATTTCGATCTAATAGTTACCTCTACAAACTTTCCGGGTCCTCCCAACTTCTTGCATTTTTGATGCACTGCGAGAGTGCAAATGGCTCTCAGCCAAGTGTATATTCCCTTAATGTAAACACTGTCCACCTTCACCCACTGCACCACATTTTGTATGCTGGTCTGGCAGGCCCAGTGGTATATTAGCTTCAGCAGGAATGTGGGCGGGTGCTGGGCTCCTTCAAAGATGGAATTGTTGAAAACAGACACAAAGCGGTATGGGCAACATTCGCTGATCCAGACATAGCCACCAGTATATGGGAACTTAGTCACATCCGAATAGATGCCTATAAAATGTAATATTTAATTAGGTATGTGTTCTATAAATGAAATTAGTTTTTTACCACTCACCCAGCTTAAGTTCGCTGTTGCGATGGTTGATGCAGTGCTGTTGAGCTCGAAGAAGCCCCTCCTGGAGCAGCCACTCGCAAAACTTATTGGGCGTCAGCATAAGCACCAATTTGACCTTTGAGTCTAGTTTGCTGCGGGTGGCAGCCATATCCTTGATCTTGAGGAAAGGCTTGGCCAGCACCACAAGGGAAGGATATGTCTTGCCTTGCATTTTGTTGTCCTTGCTCTCCTTCCCGTCTTTGCTATCCTTGCTTTCGTCAGTGCTGCCTACCACCAGGCCGCCCACCGAATTAACTTCTGCGGGTCGGTAGTTTTTAGGTGGCGACTCAATGTCCGGTTTGGATTCCTTTAGCGATTTTCCGCTGCCCTTGGGTATAGGGGAACTCTTCCCAGAGGAAGAGCCTCCACCTGCGAAAGCAGATGACTTCTTACCAAGTTTTGGAGAGGAAGATGAGTTTCCCACGGCTATTGCTTTTTTACCCGCAGACAGAGCCAGTCGTTTAGCCAGTGGAACATCATCGTCGCCCTCGTCGGAGGACTCCAGGTAGGCGATGTTGGAGGGTTGCCGTGGTGGTCGACCACGGCCTCGCCCTGAACCACTAGATGGTGCCGAGGGTGTCGGAGGGGGATCCACCGGCTTTGGAGGCTTCTTAGGCAACGTAGCCTCCTTCAACTCCTGCAGCACCTTTCCCTTGAAGGAATATGCCTGGAACACCTGTCCGTTGAACAGCTCCTTTCCCTCGTTGGCGCTTACCGCGTTTTTGAGCGCACCTTTTACCGCATTATGCTCATTGGTAATCTTCTCGTAATACGCTAATTGTGCCGGCGACAGCTCCTCTACCCAAAACTCCATGTCAAGGGAGATTTCACTTCTCGTTACGCGCGTCATTTTAGAGACAACTTTTACCTGACCACTGGGCCAGTAAGGGCGTTATTTTTAAACAATTCAGATCTAAAAGAATTTTTTCTCGCTTGAATTAGCTTTTTTTGCGTGGATGTACCTGCTTGACCATAACAGTGTGACCTTAGAGCAAGAAACAATGCATCAATGTGACCGTAAAAACGTTTAAAAACGTACTATTTATATTAAAAAAATATTTAAATATTCGGTTAACATTTTTATTATTGTTTTTCATCAATTTATATTTCAAAATATTATAATTCATTTTATGTATTCATTTTCTCATAGTATCCAATTGCTTAAATTTTGAATACCCTCTATGGCAAAATATCGATTAGTATAAAGGAACGACCAGCCTATCGATGTTTTAAGAAACGAATGCGGCCCTGAAAACCTGCGCTTAGTTTCAAAAATAATAAGAACTTTTAATTTGTTTTTCATTGAATAAAACTTTAGTAATTATGAGAATGAGAATTTAAAAAAATGTTTTTATTTTTAATATTTATATTTATTTGAAAAAAAAAACTTAAAAATAATGACATCAGTTTGCAAGTGCAATTAGAGGGCAAATTTTTCAATGGACTAAAATCTATTTGCGTTGTTTTGTCACGGTGAAGTGTCAGCATTTCAATTTGAATTTATGACCACTTGTAAATCATTGGCTCATTAGCTACTAAAGCCCCCCGATTAAGTAGTGAGCAATGGAACTTTTTTTTATCACAATGGGTTGTCGCTTTTTATTTGCAGCGCGCGTTTATGCATTATTTATGTCATCAATGACCCTGTCATAAAGAATTTCCTTCACATTGAGTCCCCACAGGAAGTCGATGTGATTCCACTTCTCCTGCGGCAGGCGATATGCACTCTTCAGAGCACTCGGATTCATGGTGTAACGTAGACGATCCACGTCAATTAGACTGGCGAAGTAATCATTGTCACTATAATACAAATAGGTGGGCACCTCAATGCTCTCCACATCGTACTCCGGTGGGGTCTTGCTACTGTACTCCTTCTTATTGCGCGTTGATCCATAGTCAAATTGACGGAAGTAACCGGAATTGTATTCTTGCAAGTAGTGGAAGATCTGATTTACCGAACAACCCGCAGGCGTGGTGGCCATAATTTCCGGGAGCATGGTTTCGTTAATATACGGCGAATTCCAGCCGCCCAATAGGAAAAGGGTGTTGGTGCACATGAACTGAGAAATGGCCTGATCGTTGCACATAATTGCTCCGAACATGTTCATAAGCTGTGTACTCGGCAGAAATTCAGCGCTACCGAAGACCTCTACAAAGGCATTGGGTTGTCCCAGCAGAGGACCACCAACCGTGGCCAAAGGACTCTCCATGTGCTCCATCCAGGCCACTGGAGCCAGTAAATGGGCGGAGCTTATGCGATTCTTAAATCGCGGAATCATTGAGTTGGCCACGAAGAACGATGTGGTTCCTTGAGAGTGCCCCACATACTTCACTTGCTCAACACCCGTGCGGTAAATGACAAAATCTATCATGGCGGGAAGATCGTAGATTCCAATGTCGTGCCATTCGAAGTTCCAGAACGGCTGCAGAAGCGGGGATTTGGTGGCGTGCTTCTTGGAGTAGGTATTACCCCTAGCATTACCCATCCACACATCATATCCCTCTTCAGATAGCAAATAGGCTAAGCCGCTGTGGGGCCCTGCAAGTACCCAATCCGAGGAGGAGCACAAAAGACCATGCATGAGGAAAACCACAGGGCGCGGGCCATCGTCACCAGTGTTTTTGGAGTATGGGATACGATGCATGGTTAAAATGTAACCATCTGAGGTCTGCACCTCGTGCTCCTCAATCTCATAGCCATGTCCTTTAACGATTGAAACCTGGAAAAAAGTAAGTTAGTAAGGAAATTGAGATGCCAAGATCCTTCAGAAACTTACAGTGGTCACTGAACTGGCTCGCCCCGCATCCGCAGGCAGGGCTGTAGTCAGTCCCAGACTTAATAAAACCGCAATTAATTTAACCACCAACATTTTCTATTCCACAGGTGCAGGTGCTTTGACCACTAGCTTGGCCGTCCGTGCCTTTTATATGCCCCCCAGGAACTTGATAAGGATTTGGCTGGAGAATTTATGGCTGTTTATTTTTGCCCGAAAATCGTTTGATTTGCCAAGACTGATAGATCGTGTGGGAATTTCGATCCCAGTTGATTTAGTTGGCCAGTTTGCAGTCAGTGGCGATAACGTTTTTCTATCATTACGGTAATCTTGATAGCTTATGATTGCGTATAATTGCTGTGAGTTTAGTAGCAATTACTATTTCCTGTTAGTACTCAAGGTGTTCCAATGAACTGGACATTATTAAACGTTTAATCAGTTTTTATTACGAACTGCCAACACTAACCCTAACTTGTTTTTTTTTAGAAGTTTACAAATTCTGTTGACAATGGTATATCGGGGGTGTTACAAATATAATCTTTCGATTGAATTCGGCATTAATTCTAGTTTAAGCTTTCTTTTATTGGAAGAGATTTCTTTCGAAAAAGAGCTTGTGCAAAGTTATGTAAAAACAAATATTCCAAAAATATTTGAAAACCCTATTAGATAAATGAGTAAATCAATTTACTTCCTAAATGGAATTTTGGAAAGTAGTTCGCGGCAAAATAGTGTGGCCATGTGGCGAAGGGTCTAAATACTTTTTTTTGGACGGTTTTAGGCGTTTTGGTATTATGATGAAAATAAGGCCGACAAAAACACACAAAATAAAAATAAAGCCTACAATAATAAATATAAATAATGAGGGATAGGGATCGCCGAGACAGAGAACGTGACAGGGAGAGAGATAGAGATCGGGACAGAGACAGAGATAGAGACCGTGATCGCGACAGACGTCACCGCTCCAAGTCGCCCGCCAGAAGTAGCCGGCAGAGCTCCAAGTCAAAGAAGAAGAAGTCTAAAAAGTCGAAGAAGTATTACAGAAGGAGTCGCAGCAGCAGTCGCAGCTCATCGCGCAGTTCTTCCAGCAGCAGGAGCAGTTCCCGCAGCAGGCACAGTAAGAGTCGGAGCAGGGACCATAAATCTCGGTCCACGTCCCAACGAACTACCAGAGGTCCGAGTTCCGAGAGCAACTCTAGATCTGCCACCACGCCAGCAACTGCTCCCGCGAAAGCCATTGATCTGCTGGACACAAAAGTGCAAAAGGCACTTGAGACCATAGACGAGGACAACTTTAAGCCAGCGCCCTTTTTCAGCTCACGGGACTCTAAGGAAGCTTCCGAGAAGGTGATCATAGACCTGAAAAACGAAACGGTCACAGTGGCCAACAAACCAACTATTGCACCCCGAAACGAAGATGTAATATTCCATCCAAACGTGAGTGGGTCACTTAGTGCTCCGATTTGCACGCTAATAGTTTTTAAATTTTAAATCCCGCAGTTCCTTGGCGACCCGGATCACAAGGCAGATAAGTGGCTACGAAAGCTCTACAATTACCGTCAAAAGTACATGCAGGAGTAGTTGAGTTTAGACTCTGTATTTAAGAAATAATAAACCTATGCCTAGAAAATATCGCTACCGGTCTTTCTGGCTCGTTGCAAGGCCTCCGACGGAGTTAGTTGCTCATTTGCTGAGGGCTCCTTGGCGCTGCCATCAGCCTTCAAGTTGCCTGCCTTGTAGTCCTCAATTATCTTTTGCGAATAGACGGCGTTGAACAGATCCAGACTGGTGAACTCCGACTGGACAACATCCGGCGCCTTGTACGACACGTATGGCTTCAGCTTGCAGTCTGTGAGGTCGGGCACAATTATGTCTGGAATCTTCTCAGGGATCTCCACGTATTGTCCGTCTACAATTATTCCCGTGTCGCGTACTCCGCGCTTGTGAATAGCCACCGGTGGATTGGCCATCGTTTTTTGAGCTTCCTTTACCACGCGCGTTCCTCTCTTGTTGTAAACATTGAATTTACGGAAGTTCCGCTTGCCCTCTAATACGGATGAAGTGCTGATAGTCCTTTGCTGGCATCGAAGTGCCATGGGCACCAGTTTAATACAATTATTCATTCTAATTTAGGTTTTCGGCGAGCAAAATGGTTAAATAACAAATGCGGCTGTAAATTAACAGCTGATAGATGTGCTAGAGGTGGCACTTCTCCGATAAGCAAAAAATCCCAATGGGAAATTTGCTTAAAATTTTATTTTCAAGAAAATTTCGTAATGAACTTTTTTTTTGGAATTTGATTAAATTAAACACGTTATGTTGAATTGATGTATTATGCAAACAGTCTTAGCTATATAATACAATATGTTGTTGTGTTAACACATTTTTTAAGTGTATAAGTGTCCATCTCTAGATGTATCGATTAAATTGGCCGTCAGTGTTTAAAAACTCCTTAGTACGGCTTGTCATTCATATCAAATAATTAAAATTATATTGTTTTTAAATAATGTCGTCGCCGGCTGAAGAAGAGGAATCGGCGGACAGTGTCGCAAAACATGATTTCATCGAACTGAAGAGTATGAAGGACTTGAAATCCTGCGAGCAGCAACAACTGCTGCAGTACGTGGAAAAGCTGCACGGAATTATCCGAAAATACGACACCAAACTGGCAGCCTATAAACAAAAACTAATTCACTTCGTAAGTCCACATTGTCATTACCAAAAACCATCTTAACTTTGTGTTATATCCTTAAAGCTGAATCAGGAAAAAAAGACTTCCAGCGACAAATCCATCCAAACCAATGAATTGCAATGCGAGGAAAGCCAGGACTCCCTGGAAAATGAAGAAGACGGCGATCAAAAAGACAAGCCCAACGATTGTGAGTCAAGAGTTTCTTTATTTCGACGAGTCTTTATATTATTGCTACAATAGTAGTGAGTTCCTACTTCGATTTGCTGGCCACAGCGGCCACCAGCGCAGCTCCACGCCCTGATCCGTCCTCCGATAGCATAATATCCCATTCCTTATCCGCTTTTACTAGCTTTTGAAGGGTCTGTCTCATGTAGGCATCAAACTTTGGATGATATCTGTAGACAGAACCATCCATGCCGACTATCACACGACGGTTGGAAGTCCTATTGACCAGTCCACTTACTCCGATGGCCACCAAAGTGGCTGCACGTTTGGCAACGCACTCGCAAATGTACCTTAGAGTCTGGCAGTCCTCTACGGAAGCCTTTTCTATGCCAAACAGCTGCTTAACTATCTTTCTGGTGCTAGCGAACTCTGGGAACGAGTCGTCCTCGATCTCGGATATATAGCGCGTCTCAAAAACTTCCTCGTTCTTCTGCAGGACGTTAGCAAATTCCGGTCGCCTGCTGCTCTGTTTGAAGATCAGTTTGCGCTCGAGGGCACGCAGCAGAACTAGTCGCACCAGGTTTCCCAGGTACATTCCTGCTGTCATTTTCTCGAACAGCTGCTCTGCTCTGTTAATGGACTTTTCGTCCACTTCGCGATCATACTCAGTACGCACAAAATCCAACTGCCCACCCTCTCCAAAAGCGCCCCACTCTGCATTCACAATAACCTGCCGCTTTGTTTTCTTAAAATCCGCGTTGAGCAGATCTACATTCTCGACATCCTCTACGTAGCAGGCGTTGCACCCGGTGCCCACTATCACGCCTACCCGGCAGTCCGCATTGCGATGAGCGCAGGACATGAGGGTTCCAGTGGTATCGTTGAGTATGGCTACCACAGCAATGTCTGCATCTCCGCGCCTCTGAATGGCCTCGTGCAACATGCGTCCTACATCCTCGCCCTCCACTCCAGGACAATCAAAGCCCTTTGTCCAACGCACCAGGATACCCTCCTTAAGACCCAGCTGCACGCAGGGAAAAGAAAAGGTGAATCCCAGGGGCAAGTAGGCGGTTTTCATATCATGTTTTTCCACAAACTTTGCTAAGCAGCCGGCGATGTGATCAAAAAGCTCTTCTCCTGGACCCACCATCAGGTCCTTGGGCACGGCGTAGATTTGAGAATCCACTGTGGCGTCGTGATGACCTTTTAGGGAGACAAGCAACACCCGGAAGTTGGTGCCGCCAAGATCCAGGGCTAGGTACTTGCCCATCTCATCACCCGTGGGCAGATCCTGTACGTACGTGGGAAAGCACTTGACATTGGCCTGTGGATGCGTGGATCGCTTAAGACCACGGGCCACCTCCAGGCAAAAGCGACTGTAAACCTCCTGCACCTGGTAGTCACTCAGCACAAAGGGTTGCATAAGTTCTCGCACTTCCGCGTCCAGCATTTTGCTTGGCTAATCTGGCTGTCTTAGTTGTAACCGCCTCGAACGATGAGTAACGACTAACCAGGCGCCTGGTTAGCCCACGGCGATTTGGAACTGCTTCGGGTGCCTGATAAGAGCTGGGCGATGAGATGCAGTGCGCCAGACGTGGAAACAACTGCTGCCATTGCAATCTGGGAGCTGCGTAGCAAATTAAAAACGAAAACACACCTAAGTAGCTGATTTGCGGATTCCAAATCTGAAACTACAACTGCGCGATATGCTAATCGCTTGGGTCACGGCAATAGCTGGCAATAGCTCCTGATTTGACACCCTACAAATTATTAGTTAAAGCTGGTTTACTATTTGGGTGGATCATTTCCTAGTCATTCCGAGAAGGGATTCATTAATAAGACACCAAAAAGCTGACCTATGTGGGGAAACTAAATATAATAATTTCCGTATTAATCAATTCAGATTAATTAAACTTCTTAATCGCTTTTTTTTCTATGAAGAGGGTTCAAAATTCGTTGAAAAATATTCAAGGTTAAATTTTCCTTTTCCACTTGTTGAAAACCTTATTGAAGACAATAAAAGCCATAAACTGTCTCTGGGCTATATTAGCTGCACCACACCTCCTAAGCTATCGGAGAGATAATGTTGTTTCAAGGAGCGCATCTTAAACGCTAGGCCCACCCACTTCCCTATCTATTGAGGAGTATTAGTGGGGTCTCAGGTCGAGTAATAGAGCGTGCGTCAAACATCCGAGCCCGCTAATGCCCGAGATTAGCGCTAAAGTGTCGCATGGGCTAACGCCACTACCGCTGACAAAAACCTCAACAGCCCTTGACATTACATTTAATCAAATTGAAATGATTGCGCAAGTATTGGGAACATATTCATGTTATATAAATAATTAGTTTAGGAAAATGTTTATAAAAATAACACCATAAAAGACACCATTTGGTTTCACTACCTTCTAACAGCTATTAATATCAGTTTTTTAAAGATAATAACTACTTTACAAGCATTAATAAGGAAATGGTATTGGTAGCTATAATCGTAATGCCATTGGAATTTTATATAGTTTTAAATAAGATTGGACAGCATGAAACTCTTGTTTTTTTTTGACTAGCTATCGCCGCTTTGATTTTAAATTTAAACTATTTAGAAGCTGCCGTAAAGTATAATACTATTCAAGTTCCTTGAACCTTATCAATAATTATCAAAATATTATTTTCTTAAAATCATCTATAATTACAGTATCGGCGACAGACGCTTTTAGTTTTGTGGACGAGATGCGGCAGGCGGCCAAGCACGCCGAAAACCTGAACAACTTCGTCTATGAGCCGACCTCAGGCTTGTACTATGATCACAAGACGGGATACTACTATAACGCGGTAAATAAGCTATAAACAGCGGACGTAATCTTTATGACGTTCCGTTCTATTCCGCGATGCAGCGACTGCACCGGTGACTTTTAAAGGTTATCGTGCCGGCGAGCCTACATCAATGGCTCGAATTGTTGTTAATAATCCGCCCATTTTTCTCTTCCAACCAGGAGTACGGATTGTACTACGACGGTAATACCGGTTGCTACTACAGCTACGATAATGCCAAAGACTCGTACGAGTTTCACTCGCAGGCCCACGTACAGGTGAGTGGGTGTTGCCATGGGCTTCTATGCCACACGACCACATTAACCAACGTTCTTCTTCTCCTCGCTGCGCAGCCTGTGAGCGACTGCGCCTATAGTAGCCTTTTAGCTGGGTTTCACAAACTCAGCGTAGACCGAATGCGTAGCAATGCATTAGGTAAGCGCCAAGGTCCAGAATGTGCGATAAAAACGTGGATTTCTTTTCTTCACTTGGTTGCAGGCGAACAAGGCGACCAATCCAGAACCAGAGGACGAACAGGTGGAATTCGATGAGCTGGGAGGTGTCATTACGGACCAGGACACTTTGAAAAAGATCAAGGCAGAGAAGCAAAAGGCCAAAGATCGAGCAGAAAAGTCCAAGCGTAAGGCCAAGGATAAAAAGAAAGGCAAGAAGCACAGCAAAAAGAAACGCAAGAAGGAGCACCGTCACAAGACGAAGAAGCGTCATAGGGATTCCGGCGATGAGCGGGATGAAGACGCCGAGGAGGGCGAGCTGTCGCAAAGTACTGACCCCAGTTCCGATTCCAGCGACAATGAGGAGACCGGTAGCAACAGCGACACGGAGGACAGCAATGTGCCGGTCTTTAAGGCTGCGGGACGCTTTCAAGGTGTTTAGGAAATCCGCGTTTTTATCGCGTTAATATAGTTCAAATAACCAATTAATTCTTTTTTGTAGACATTGCCAAGAAGTATCCACCCTCGCTTCGCATCATTGTCCAGGAGACTAATGTTGAGGCCTTAAAGGTGGGAAGCCTACACCTGATAACCTACAAAGGTGGCTCGTTGGGACGTGAGGGCGCTCACGATGTTATCATACCGGATGTTAACGTGAGCAAGTGTCATTTGAAGTTCAACTATGAAACCAAGTTGGGAATCTACAAGTGCCTTGATATGGGCTCCCGCAACGGCACCATTCTTAATGGTTCTAAAATGTCCTGTAGTGCCATGGATCTTGTTCATGGCAGTGTCATCACATTGGGGCAAACGAAACTCCTGTGCCATGTGCACGAAGGCAACAGTACCTGCGGGCTCTGTGAGCCAGGTCTGTTGATAGAAACACCTACACCAGTTGTAGCCACAGCTGGCGCATCCACCGCAACTGTATTATCTCACAAGGAGCAGCTAAAGAAGCTGCAACGCAAGTATGGACTAGAAAACGAAAGTAAGTACCTTTCAAGGATCACGTCATTCCTCTCCAACTTGACAATCTTATTTCGAATTTTAGAATTTGTTGAGCCTGGCAATGGTCAGTCCAACTACAATGATCGTGCTGCGACAAGGCGTGTCAAGGTGGGCAGCAGCACGGATAAAGAAAAGACTGAAGTGGCTTGTGTGAACACGTAAGTTTCTGTCTAAAAATCTTACATTTTGGTGGTATTGCGTTTACCAATCTTGTTTCTTCTTAGTGAGATCGGCAGCTCAAATAAGGGTTTCAAAATGCTAAGTAAACTGGGGTGGCAGAAAGGCGACACTCTGGGCAAGACTAACGCGAGTGCTGGACTTCTGGCTCCGGTAGGTATTCCAACTGAAGCCAGTGAATCATCTTTACTCATCTTTACAAATGTTTACAGATCAATGTGGTAGCCAATGAGGGCACCAGCGGTCTGGGAAACACAGACACCGTAATCTCTAGCTCCAGACCTATGGACAAAAGGAAGTTGGCCAATTTGAAGATCACTCAGGCACGATATCAACGCGCAAAAGACATCTTTGATCAGTCCGATGACAGTGATTAAGAAATGCATTTTTATTTATATTGGAAACACATTTAATTAACAATTACTCAAACATATTCATAAGTATGTGTATATATATAAATGTATGTATATATACATTGGTTCTATATATGTATATATTAATTCAAAAATCTTGCTATAAGGTTAAGCTATCAGTCAATTAATTAATTTAGCTTCGCTTATGAACAAAAAGTATAGAGGGAAAGGTAATGTTAAATAAATATGACGTCGCGTATGTCTTTGTCTAAACTAATTGCGAGCGAAATGGGCATACAAATCAATTGTTTAATCTTTAATGTAATTACCGTGTAGCCTATGTTAATGTTAAATACAAAAGCCTCTTAAGATATGTGGTTTCTCTTGCGATACATGCTGGATAAGAATTGCTGCAATACGTAATGTTGTATGGTTGATAATACTTTGCCCTGTATGTTAAATGTATCCGATAATATGTAGTGTAAGCTTGGTTGGCAACAGCCTAAGGCCCATCCACCGTTTACAACACGAAAACGCACAACGAGAATCTTTGGATGTTGGAACTACGAAAGAACACGCTACATAATGTGACCGGGAGAAGTATCCGATCCTCTAGCAGCTACCCTGGGACTTAACTCCAATGAAGTACCGGGATTCGCAGGAGTGCTTGTGCATCTCGCACCACGAGTTATATGTATGGTTATTGTAGCCACATATTTTGTGTACCTAAGAAGAAAAACATGGATAATTAGTTAATGGAAAGTTTTTGGCCCTTAAAAACAAAAACTCACCGGTCGCTGCTGCTTCCGTGGACATTTGTAGCGACAGGACACGCACCGCGGCTGGCGCGTCTGCAGATCCACCAGGCAGTTATCCTTCGGCCCACACTTGATGTCCGCACAGCTCAAGCGGCCAGCTGCAATATAAAGTTTACGATGCGAGCGCATTAATGACGGCTGCCTGTGGTTAAATTTCAGCTTTGCTTTATGTCTGGCAATTTCGGTTTAATGGTCCCTGCACACTCGACTGCAAGTCCTGCCCTCCATGAGAACCTGGCCAGGTGCTGCTGTGATTACGAGAGACGTGCCACGCCAGCTTGGCTCAAACTTTCGAATTTTAAAAAGCTTGAATACGTCAATATCATACACAAAAACAGTTGCATTAAGTTGTTCATTAAGTTACATTTTGCATATTAAGAAATATGCTCAAAATTTAGTAACACTAAGAAACTATCCTAGATTTTGAATAAAATGTTTGTAAATTCTTCTAAATTTGACTTGTCAGAATTTTATCTTGTGGGGAACTGATTAATATGCGTTGTTAAACTGGCCAATGTAGCGCTAACTTGTACCTAAGAGGATGAGGGATACAAATGCATAATTAAATCTGCTGTCGTTGTGCCTCGTCTGCCCCAACTGCAATTTTCTAAGCTGACACATTATTCACACCACGCGCTGCAGTGCGGACAGAGCGATACAAAATACACAGAAAGAAATACTACGGTTCAATTATTTTGGTGGTATTAAAAAAAACCGAAATATTAACACAACTTTAGCCATTCAGAATTCTTTAATGTTTTAGGAATACAAAATATTTTCAAAAATATATTGAAACCTTTTAATATATACCTTGTAATACTGATTTTAATATAAGTTATTCATAATTGTCATATAAATACAAAGTTCTTTTTGAGCTCATCACATTTTCTTTCTCTGCACAAGGGCCCTTCCCCATTCCAGTACCATACCCATCCCCATTCCCATTCCATTTAAGCAATGTGCAATCGGCGTGCGCAAGACGGGTAGCATCTTCGGGCAGGGCCAACATCCGACATTCAGCTGCTTGGACTGCCAGGGAGTCAGCCATATAGTCATATAGCCATACAGCCAGTTAGCCAGTCAGCCAGTCGAGCAATAAAGCAGCCAAGCGGCGCGCAGCCGCAAACGCCGGGGCAAAATATATGTGTTTATCGTCAACATGATCTGCGACTTGGCAACATTGTTGCACAGAGCCCCCGGGCATTGTCGATCGGTATTGCGATGGAGGTGGAGCAGCTAAAAGGGAGGTGGCTGGGCTGTCTGGTACTGAATCTGCATCTGGATCTGCATACCCCGGGAGACGGTGCGTGAAAGTCCGCTGTCTAGCAATTCGTAACAGTTAAAGTTTATTAATTTCAACTGCCAATTTAGCTTTAGGCAGATACGTCCTTTTGTGCGAGGCCCATTCGTTGCCCCGCACTTGTTGATTGTGATGGATGTGGCAGTGGCCTCCAGAGCGGGAGCTGCACCGCTGGTTATGGCTGATAATGCCGTCAGAAGGCGAGCCAACTATAATTTGTTATGTCGACGTGGTTTAATCAACGCCGGCGGCCGTTGGCGGAACTTATTGCAACATTGTGTGGACGGGATGTTATGGGATGGGATCATATATACGATGGAATGGGTTTGGATGGGATGGGCTGGGCTGGTCCGGTCTGGGGATGCGTCGTCGTGGGTCATGATGTGTCTGGTCTGGTCTGGCCTGGCCGTGGCCATGGCCATGGCTCGGGTGTATATGCGTGTTCCCATTCAGCCCAGGCCAGGCGTACTAGCCATTGGCCATTTTGGCATTGCGTGTTGTTTAAGGTGATTTTAATACGATCGTAAACTACAGCCGGCCCAGAGGAAGAAGAGCCAGACGCTCGACCAGACAAAAGTGACGTCGCGACGACATGGACAGTTGGACAGCTGTTGGACTGCCGGACAACACAGACCGGACTTTATACCACTAGCACGGTGTCCCCTCTCGCTCATCCACATCCTCGAGAGTTGCAATCACAGAACCTGCGTCGCCGCAGAACGTTGCGAAAATGGCGTTTTAATGGTTTGTACGTGTAGTCATATTTCTTTGGGGCCAACGGCAACTTTTTTTCGTTGGCTTGTGCCGGGGTCTTTGCTTCTCCCCGCTCTCCCTAATCTTCCCCATTCCCTTCCCATCCTCCCTCTTTTTTTTTTGCAAGCCTGAGCCCGGATCGCGACTGGAAAATATTTATGTGAAAGCAGACAAACAAACAAATGCCCGAGAACCATAAACTTACTAACCATGAAGATAAAAAGCTCAGGAACCCAGCAAACACACACACACTCGCACGCTAGCATTATCTTATCGGCAGACGATCCACGTAACATAACGAGTACCAGACGCACATTAAGCAGCAGGAAGGAACCCAGAGAAGCGGAAGGAGCAGGGCTATCCCAAAGGGGGGGATTTGAAAGGGGGGTAGAGGATCACGGATCAACAAACTGCGGGGACTCACGCACACTTGTTTTGAACTTATAAGATACTACTGCTGGCATGGATGAGCTAAAAGCAAGAGTGAATGGTAGCTAATGATCTTTATTTAGAATCCGGCTACCGTTAAAGGGATTGCTACGATAGACAAGACACTTTCAGTGAATGGATATGTGAGTCTAGGTAGGCTCATATGAGAATCTCTGTTAAGATCTAGTACTTATTAATTCTAATAAACAAGTTGGCTTAGAGAAATATGTTTTCACTTGTCAAGTCTTATGTGTATGTTCTTACGAGAACATTCATTCTTTGTAAGTTTTTGTGATGTTAAGTTCTACTAAATCATATTCTAATTTATTGTTTTATTTTAAATTTGTTTTTTTGTGGTTTTCAAAAAATTTTTAAGCTAAAATTGTAAAAATGAAAAGTTTTTTACTTCGTTTTCATTTTTGTTTTAAAATTCTTTTTGGAGAAGTGTTGGTGATTTGAAAAGTTCATTTTTAAATTTAACTATATGTGTTTTCGTTATTTGTATTTTAAAAATTATTTTTTATTTCGTTGGAACATCATAAATGAAAAGCCTCCTGAGATCGGAACCAAATATCAAAAATTATTTAAAAAGAATCTTGGAAGAAGCAAGAATATTCGAAGTGATCAGTGTTTCTGAATTTGTATGTATGGAAATTTAAAAACTTTTTATGCAAACGGAAAATTGTAATCAAATCAAAATATATTTGAACTTTATTTTGGAATAACTTATGCTTCCCCGTTGTATAATATTACAAAATTATTTTTTGACTACTTTAAAAGCAAAGATGCATCAAGAATTCACCGAAATGTTTTGACGTGTATAGTGTTATGCTAAATTATTCACAAATTTACTATATATATTATACAATACATAATTTACGTACGGAAAGTGTATCACGGAAAGTGTATTTACGGAAAGTGTATCAGAAAGGTATATCAGAAAAGTGGAATGTTATGGGAAAAGATCTATAAAAATGCATCAATCAAATCAAAATTTTTTTTTAAATAAACTAATGTAAAAGTATTACCACAACGAAGAAGTTCAGGAATTGGCCAAAAATTGTAAATTTTATTAGGTTTTTGGTTTTTAATTTTTTGTTTTCAGATTTATAAAGCTACAAAAAATCAAAAACCGGGCAGCGAAATTAAATTAATAAAAATTGAGGACGACTATAAGGTAAAATTATTGAAAAATAATAATGGAAAGCAGAATGAATTCTTTAAAATCAATTAAAAGCAAAGATGGATCAAGTTTAAATTATTCACAATTTTTATCAACATTTTTAGTATAATATATTATTATACATTACATTATTTATGTATAATATACTAGGAAAATGTATCAGGAAAGTTATTGAAGAGGTATGAAAATGCATAAAAAGTACAAATCAAATCGAAGTAGTTTTTCAAATAATATAATCGATATTTCCTGTAACTAAACAAATGTAAAAGTATTAACACAGCGTGGAACTGGAGATTGGCCATAAATCCTAAATGTAGTTAGGTTTTTAGTTTTTAATTTGTATTTTTCAGATTTATGCTTTAAAACAAAATCATTACACAATAGTTATCGGGAAAGTAATCAAGAAGAATGTTTGTTTGTTTTACAAATAATGTAATTGATGTTTTCCGCAACTAAACTAAAAGTATACGAAATTTATCACAACGTGGAACTGGAGAACAAGAATTGGCCAAAAATCGTAAATTTGATTTGGTTTTTAGTTTTTAATTTGTGTTTTTCAGACTTATAAAGCTAAAAAAAAAATCAAAAACCGGACAGCGAAATGAAATTATAATGAAAATTGAGGACGACTATAAGGTAGCATTATTGAAAAATAATAATGGCAAGCCGAATGACCGGAGGGAAACAATTTTTGTCAACAGCAGCTGCTGCTGATGCTGTTGGTGCCGGATTGACAGCTTTTGTTTTCGCATTAACTACAAGCTGTAATTTGCAGCAAAACACTGCAATTAACAGGCAATTGCAGCACGGCAGCCCTCTTTTGTCTTCGGCCCCCATGGCACACTAAACTAGTTTAGTCCGTCCGTCCCCCCTCTCTGTTCTAAGCTATTCTATACGATCTGATCAGATCCGAGGTTCTCGAGTTCGTCTCCGGATTTGGTGCGACTGAGGAAACGCCCTCCACGCCTTCCAGCACCATTGCCTGCCACACAGGAAGAAAAAGTATTATGCATAATTCTTTGAAATCAATTCATGATAGATAGAGACTTGGAAAAGCAGAATATGAAATTACATTCTTCGATCAATGTAATACGTATGTAATCACTTTCACTTATGGCCAATTAAGCCACGGACACATTATATAATATATACAGAGTATATAAAAATAATATTCTTTAGGCATTTGCATTTTTCAGAAGTTCTTAGAAATGTTTTTCCCAAAATAATAATAATGGTTTAAACTATATTTATATAAATATGGCCATTGATCGGTTGGGCAAACTCGCCGGTGTCGTATATAAGGATTTCGCTCCTACTACTAGATTTCAGCATATGAAATATTTCTTCATTTTTAATACATTTCATTTTTTAGTATGATGTATGTTTAATGCAGTAGGAATTCATTCATTTGCCAAAAAATGTGGTTGGATCGATCGAATGATGAACGAATTATTCGGATAATAAAATTAATAACAGCATATTTTTGGATATAACATAATATTATGTTCCTATTCCGACCTATTTCCACAGATATAGTCATTAAATGATACCATGGTATATGTACTTATTTATAATCTAGGGCTCATTATCTAGGTATTTTTCTTAATCATTTCAATTAATTAAACAACCTTGCAGATATTTTAACGTTTTAATATCTTTCCACTAAAAGATTTCTTGGTATAAAAATAATCGTTCTTTTAGCATTTAATTTTTTAGAAGTTTTTAGAAATGTCTAGCAGTCAAAAATTAAACAAAGCCTCGAATATGTTGTGATTGGATCGTTTGAATGATGAACAGATACATATTTCCTACGGATTATATTATTGGATATTTTGTAAAATGATTCCAAGGATTTTCGATATGATTAGATAAAATCATTAAATGATACCTTCGTATATGGGTTTCTATCGAATCTATTAAATTGTATGTAGGGTGATCATGGTCTACGTATTTATCTTAATATCTTCCAACTAACGATTTTTTTGTAGAAAAATATCCGTTCAAATAATAGTTGATATTCTCTTAGCATTTACTTTGTATAGAAGTTTTTAGGAATGTCTAGCAGTTAAAAATGAATTAATTTAATGGTTTAAAATAAAAACACAGCCAAAATATATAGAAAATATATCATCGATATCATTTATACACGGATGATAAAGTTAATATAAGATATTAAGGATCTGCAAAGTATAAACAGGGAAAACATTAAGCCTACCTATTTCCTCGGATAAAATCATCAAAGGATATCTTCGTAAATGGCTTTCTTTAGAATTTTGTAGGGCTAAGGATCTTGGTATTTATCCTTAATCTTCTCAATTTATTATGTTAATGGTTAAATTATCATCAAATCAATATAAAGGTCGAATCAACACCATAATACCTCTATCGAAAATGCGAAATTTGGTTTCTCCCTTTTTCCTCCTTTAAGTGGCCGTATTATGTCCCTGGCTTAGCCAATAGTTACAATATGGATTGACATACCTCGTTGGATTTATTATTACACCATGATAATTTCGGAAGTTGGACGTGATAGATATGCAACATAGACTATACCAAACATTCGAATGGCGATAGTTATTATTACGTTGTTTGAATATTACTTTTTAGATACTATGATATAGATGTGGAATATTGCAGAACTATATAGATTGGTAATGCATAATGAAACAAATTATGATACTACGCAGATTTAAGTGAAATCTGACTATAAACAAGTTAATATGCAGATTTCAAAATGGAACTATATAAATTGGAGATGCTGATAAGGAACGAACCAATGAAAACCATTGAATGCATTTTTTGCCGTGCACTTTCTGTCGTGGGCCGACTCGGGGCATTATAATTAATTGGAAATCGGAGTCGATCAATCGGATGGCAACCGCAAAATTAATAAGCATGAATGATGCCGACGACGCGAGTGTTCGCTGTAATTGTGGATGCGCCGTAGTCAAAGTGGAGCAGACCAGACCAGACCAGACCAGACCAGGCCAGGCCGGGCCGACACGGGGCAAAGCAGAGCAGAGCGGAGCTGACGGGCTAATCAAATTGCTGGCAATCATGGAGCCGTATAAGCAAATGTAGCAATTTCAGTCAAACACCGAGAGAGCCGGCAACTTGATATGGCCAAGTTGCAGACGGCAACAACCACTTGTGGCTGTGACGCTATTCAATTCGATTCGCCTTTAACTTAACTTGGCTCAACTTGGGCTGGCTGTGGAAACCTCAGTCGAGTCAATCAAATGCAAAATTGCGGTTCTTTGTTGATTGTTGTTAAATTTCGCATAGCCGCTATACACCAACAACAGCAACAACAATTGTAAGTAACAATTTGCATTTGCCGTCTGCAACTAGGCTTTCCATATCAATTAATTTGATTGATTATCGCAGTCTGCAGCCAAAATACATACCTCGACATGGTCCCGGATATGCCACGGCAATGGAACGCCCAATTTTGCAAATCATTCGATTTATATCACAAACGCTCCTGTATGTATTCCCATCAACGCCACACACCGCCTGTCGCTCATCATAGCCACTGGAGTCCACATCCAGGTTGTCCCAGGGGCACTCTATCTGGCAGGTGATGCAGTGGGGCATCATATACTGATCCTCTACACAGGTCAAGCCATTTAAGCACTGGACTCCACTGCAGCTGTCTGGGGAAATGGGAAATGAAAAGAGGGAAGAACTTTATAAACATTCTTTTACAGTAGTTTCATAAAATATTTACACCTATCAACCCCAGAAAGTGTGTTTTTTTCATGTAAATATAAAATTGAAAAACTTTGTAGTTAATAAAATCACTGACATGGATGATATCTGTTATATAATGGTTGTCATTTTCAAATCAAATCCCTAATTTTTGTCACTTGGATCTGCAAATAACATGGCAAGCAATCATCTTAAGATGTTGCACCTTGCAACTATGTTTTTTGGCATTAACGAATGCACTTCTCATATAGTCACTAATTGTGCCTATAAATAAGTAGTTGGCCAATGTCTATGATTAGACCGTCGTACCCCCACTCTCTCAGATAGACGGAACTCTCTCGGATGTATATATGCGCTTATATGGCCGGCAATAAACTGTCGAAATTTATCAGGGGGACATGATGCGAAAATGCGAAACGCCTTGGCGCCAACTGTGACACTCGCGAAATATTGCAATCATTTTTTCTGCCAGCAATTGAATGCGAATGAGTGGTCGCCGGAGATCGGCATCGGAATTGCCGATTGGGGCATTCCATTGGATATATTGGCACGCGCCAACGTTAGATTGCTGGAATTGCTGCTTGCCACTGCCGGTTATGTGTTGCAAGTTGCTAGCTGTTATAGTTGCCAGTTGCTAGTTGCAAGTTGCTTGCGGCTAATCCAACAAGTTCTTTTCTCTCTTGGCTCATCGTTCTTGTACGCCGTTTTTATTGATCATTTGAGCATGTTTGCGAGTGCTTCCTGTATCATTAAATTATTACACAACATTTCTGGCTTCAGTCTGGCTGGTTGGCTGGCTGGCTGGTTGTCTCGTTGTCTGGTTGGCCAGTTGATTTCACCACTGGCGACAAGTTGTTGGCCGTAATTGAAATGTGCAATAATTTGTCATCTAATCTAATTGTGGCGCTGCTGCGTTTTGGCACGCGAGCAACCCAGTCCACCTACACTCGCAGAAACGAAAGGACCTGATTTAAGGAATTGCAGTCAGGAAATTTTATAGCAAAAAACTTTTCTGAGAAACGTTCTTTCCTTTCCGATTATCAAAACCTATTTTTTAATCTAAAACCTCTTATTTTTTTTGGCAGAAACTTTACTAAATTTCTTAAACCTAATATATATTTTTGTTCTAAGTGCATTGGATATAGCATATAGCTTATGGTAAATGGTATTGGCGGACTCACTCTTGCAGTGGCCCCGATAGGCGACCTCCAGTTGGGCGTTGTTGGTGCGGCAGGCGCGCTTGCGCAGCTGGCACTCGGTGTTGTAGGTGCGTCCGTCGGTGCCACAAACCGGATTCGTGTGCTGCTGCTGCTGTTGCATTTGCTGTTGCTGCTGTTGTACGATTGGAAAAGCATCCGAGAGTTAGTGAGCCGTCGTGAGCCCCGAGGAGTAGGCAATGCCAATGGTCATCATTTCGAGGTAAAATACTCACCGACGGCAGGGGCTCGTAGATTCCGCCCAGAAGAGCCAAGTCATTGGCATTAGCGTGGTCCGATGACGCAGCCGATTCACTTCCGCGTTGCAACTGAAAGATTCGACGATGATTCGACGACCCAGACCCAGACATTGTGGTATTCGCTGACTGGGCTTCTGTATCCATTCGATCCTCCACCTTCTGGTTCGGCTGCTGGTGGAGCTCCTCCGACTGCCTTTTCCTTTGCCCATTGTCTAGATTTGGAGCATGCTCGATGCGTCTGGCATGCTGGTGTCTGACTCGAGTCGACTGTCTATTAATGTCGTTGGCGGGTTCATTAGCATTTGCCAAGTTGCGTCTAGACTGAGCCAAGATTGAGTCTGCGGCAGGCAACTGCGCAGGCGTCTTGTCTGCCTCAGTCTCAGCCTCAGTCTCTGCCCCAGCCTCAGCCGGGGACGAGTCATTGGCTCCTGTCGTCATTGATCTTGTTAAGTGTTTGCCATGGCTGTTGCCGTTTCTGTGTCTGCGCCTCTCATAGCCTGTCATCTCCACCCGGCCGCGTCTGCTATTTGTATTTGTGGGCTGATCTGGCAAATTGCTGCTGTCTATGATCAAAAGTCTCCGGTGCTTCGTTTCGCGGGGCAGCAGATGCTTTCTTTGGTTATCAACACGTTGGCGTTGCCTGCCGCCGTCTAAACCTAAATTGAAGTTGGAATTTTCGCTACTTAGACTACGGGATTCACGAGGTGGCTTCATATCCTGCTTCTGCGTCCTGCGACGTAAAGCTGCTCCACATTCTGGGGCACAAACGCATTTTGGCCGTCCCTTGCGCTTTACGCATTTCTTGTTGGGTCCGCACTTAAAGCCCTTGCAGCTCTCTGAAAATTATAACTTAAATTTCGAGTTTTAATCCATGATTTTGATAACTCACCCATGCAGGGTGAGCACTCTACACCGCCGCCAATGGCCGTGGCAAAGAAGTACTCCACGCTGCTCAGTTCGCGATCCGTGTAGGAGAAACTCTGGCTGGCGCCGCAGCACTCCGACCTCGAGATGTTCGTGGAGAAGACCTGGCCGCACTTGCCACTGCCCAGATGCGTCTGCCAACAAGTGCCAGCTGGAGAAGATTATGCATTTTATATATATTAAAAGTAATATATTTTAATAAGATTTACAAGAAAAAACTAAATTGATTTAAAATTCACTTATTTTTACAATTTAAACAAAGTAAAGCCATAAAATTCGAAGTTATGGGGAAACGTGCAGTGAATCACGTTAGCCATTTTGAACAAAATAAAAGCTTGCATTTTTCATGATACTTTAGATTTCATAACGTTAATATAAAAAAAAACATAAAATACTCAAAGAAAAAGGTGTAAAATGAAAATGGTATTTCCTCGTTTTTTAAACCGGAAGAAAACAGTTCAAGCTCCCCTTTCGCAGTGGTCAAATTACGTCCAGGTATTTGACTAAGCAAAACAAAACTTATTTGTTTACTTTCGAGATTCAGCAGGAATGCGATGTGCCGGCTGCTAATCGAATTCGCGCGAGCAGTTTGCAAATATGGCTATGTGATGTGCGAATTCACGCGGCTTTTCTTACTTTTTTTTTCTTTACATTTTTCTTGCCGTATTTTGATCTTCTGCTTGTTGTGATCAAAATCGATTTGGCGGACCCAAGCAAATTTTTGGTATCTGCTGGATAAACAAATAAACAAAATGCAGAGCAGCAGGGCTGTGAGAAATTGCGTCACATTTGAATATAATGTGACACATTTATCGAGGCGAATGAACTGAATCGAGATATATATATACATATATGCAAACCGAATGCAGGCGCCACACTGTTTTTGGGTTGCGGATGAGATACAGATGTATCTGAATTGAATGCTGAGAGACTGACATGCAGCTAACTAACTACTTACCCGCCGCCAGGCGAAAATTCAGTAGCAGCAATCCAATTAACAGAGCCATCAAAGGCTGTCCAGCCAATAACTGATGGCCAGAAGTTGCTGCTGCTGGTGCTGGTACTGCTCCCGGTGTTGCTGCTGTGTCGGCTGATGTTGCTGCAGTGCCTGTTGATGTTGCTGCTGGTGTTGCTCTCGTGCAGTGCATGCTTTTTATTGGACTAGAACTGGCCAAGTATTCGTGTTGCTGCTGATATTGCTGCTGGTGGTGTTGCTGTTGCTCACGTGCCATTGACACCTCGTCAGAGCAATCGGACGACGCATTGACGTCACGGCCATGGCCAAGACAGCGATCTTCATCCTGCCAGCAGCAATTGGCCAACTCTTGGAAAAAGCTCCATGCGCTTACTATAAATAAACTTAGAATTGTTCTACATTCGTGGCTAGTTGCTCTTGCCAATTGTGTCGATGTTGATGCTGCTGCTGACGTCTTTGACATTGTTGCCGCTAATTGTTTTGGTGTTTGCTCTTCCGATGTTGCTGTCGTCGCTGTCGTCGTCGATGGCGTTGTCTTCGTCGCAGGAAGTGCGCGAATTCTGGCCATCTCTCTGCGCTTGAATTTGTAATTCGATTTTAGAAATGTCAAATTGTTTTGGCTGCTCGTCGGCTGATGATGATGAGGCATGACAACGGCAAGTGCTGCGGATAAACAAATAGAAGCAAAGGGAAGGCAAACGCACTCGAGTAACAGGTAACTGGTAACAGGTAACAAGCAAAAGGATGGATTCAATTAGACAAAGCCACACTGCCACTCCACTTCGAAGGGCGGGGATGGAGTATGAAGCTTCTTCGAGTGGAGTGGCACGCCAGCAACATGATGCAACCAGCGGCGGCAATGGCAACGGCACGGCAGCAACAGACAAGCACCAAGAATGTTTTGCACAAAAACGACGGCCAAGAGGCAACAATTAAGTCTCAAACGTTGAGTTGACATTGAGCAGGCGGTTTTCAAAATGCGACTACTAAAAATAAAGAACCTGTTGCTGCTGCCGCCGCTGTGTTGTAGGTTTGGCGCATTATGCACCGTCTGTCTGGCATGGGACACTTGGAGAAATTTATGAAGAAAAGTTTAAAAATTTATTTATAAGCTTAACTAATCGAGAATGCCCTAAGTAGTCGTTAAAATTATCATTAAAAAGAAACTAAAGTTTAGAATAACTAAGTTAAGTACTTATGAAAAGTTAGCCTGACGTCTTAGGATCAACTTCAAAAAGCAGTTCCTCATTTACCGACCTATACGTTGTATTCAATCCTTTAAAATTCTAAAAAGAACTTTCTTTGAGTGTATCTTCTCCCCCTTTGCCAAGCTCTCTTTTTGCCTGTCTGTCTGTTTGTTTGTTTGTTTGTTTGGCTGGTTGTTTGTGACTTGCAGTTTGGCGCGCTAGTTTGGCATTTGTTTTATTTTGGCTGCCGCTGCCGTTGCCGTCGCCATCGACATAGCCATCGCCATCGCTAGTCGTCGTCATGACTTTAAGGACGTGCTCAAGACAACATATGCAGACGGAAAAGAACAGACTGAACGTGACTGGAGTGTGACTTGGCTGGAGTATCCTAATTTGGCCAACTCGGCGAACGTCCTTGAGGCGACTGCTGCTCTACCCTATTCAATTAGCCCACTTCAGATGAGTTAAGCCAGGTCCCCTCTCTGTCCCATGCCCATTGCAAATGAGCCACTGGCAGTCCATTATCGAAAGTTCAGCTGCTGTTTGTTGCAAATGCAATAGCAACAGCAAAAGCGGCAACAGCAGAAGCAGATCCTTCCTTCCTTCCTTCCCTTCCCGCGGGCAATTAATGACCTAGTGCGTCTGGAGTTCATGTCCATGGTTGGTCCGAGAAATTATTGCGTTAACACGCGTTGCGACATTTTATATGGCGGTCGGACGGTCGGTTCGTTGGTCGTCCGACTGCAATTTCGTCGACGTCTCCGCATCCGGCGGTTGTCCATTGTCCGTTGTCCAGTTGGCGCGCCAGACGATGTCTGCACTCACACATAGCCAAGGCAACAAAAAAAATATACATAAAAAAGAAAAAAAAAAAAGAAAAATAACACACGCACTTGCCGCGGAGCTGGCGATTGGCGATTGGGGTTTGGGGATGGGGTATTGCGGATTGGGCACTGCAGTTGCATTGCAGTTGGAGCTGCAGCTTGGTCTTCGGTTCGAGCTGCATTCCTGCAACAAGGCTATTTTTAGACCCCGGGCAGTCAATGGGTTTTTATAACCTTTGCAGACGGTAACGCAAGTAACTTGGTTACGACAAATGTAACGGACTAATCCATTCGTACAAGCCTATTGCCACAGCCTAGCACCGATAAAAAAAACTAACTTAATTGTTGGTTAAAGTAATAAATAATGCCATAAATTTCTTATATATTTTCAGACATAAACTTCAAATGCACGATGTATTCGGTAAAAATGTAACATGTAACTTTCTAAAAATTATATTTCAAAAATCCGTTTTATCAAGGTTTCATTCTTCTGCATGGCCTAAACTTCTTTATACTAAAATATAATTTATATAAAATTATTTTTAACTTTTATCTTTTTCTCCCAGTGCGGTGAAAGTGTTAATCCCCACCTGGCAATAACTAGATAAAAAAGTCGCATATTTCAGCAGCGATCTCGGGCGATCTGTTAAGGACTTTCCTTTGGCTTTAGTGGCGAACCTTAACTTAGCTTTTTACTGTACCCAAAGTTTTTGTATCCAAATACTTTGAATTCCTTGATGCTCGCTAAAATGTCTTTTGGGCACAGCCACAAATAACAAAAGCGGCAGCCAAAGTACAGGAGCAGCAGCGCTGAAAAATGCAAGGAGCGCCGTGGCAACAACAAGGCACAAAATGCATTCTCCTCTTCGCAACTGCATTGCCAAACTCAGGGTCCACAAACACTCACACACACACACACACACCTAAAGAGGGACACCAATACAGATGCATTGTAAGGCAGACCGTCTGGGGCTATATACATATATACCATATCCATACTATATAGCTATGGCGAATGCCTTCTTCTTCTGGAGATGCAGTTTGACCGTTGGCCGCCGCTTCAAAAGACCTGTTTTTATGTTTTTGGGCATTTATTCTGGATTTTCGCAAAATGTGTGTTTTTTTTTTTTCGTTGTTGTTGTATTTTTTTGGCTGTGAGCATTTTCGTTTGTATTGAATTGCATCTTCTGCTGCGCTGATCCTGGGCTGATGTTGCCGCTGCCGCTGCTGCACTTCAGCAACAAGTGCATAATTTCAACCTCAAGTCCCCGGGGCTGGCCAAAAAACTTGCATCAAACATGGTGCTAAATTTCACTGCGGTTATCTCAGGTATTCCACCATAAACAACTTGCCACCGCCTTCAGTTACATTTGCGTATTAGATTAAGCCGCTCCCAGGCCAACCCAGTCAGTCTACAGGAGCCCAGAAGCAGCTTATATCCACAGTGCGTATCAGATTATGATGCGAGTAATGGCCCAGAGCACGTGCTCTGTCCCATTGTCCCGCCCAGAAAGCCGATCCGCCAGACGGCGGACCAGAATATTTTAGAAAAAGAAAACATATATAGAATTGCCAAACAAACAGAACTCGAAAACAAGCGATCCTATCCCAAGAGTTTTATAGATAGATATAGGAATTGAACAACTTGTATTTTGAACAAAGTAACTTATAGATTTGTATAAATAATTTAGGATATAGCAATGAAATTAGCGTTTAAAAACTTTGATGGCTTATAATGTAGTGGATGTCAATATATATTGATATCAGTTCTGAAAGTTTTTCAAAAGTTGTGATTTTTAAGAGCAAACGTGGCCTATATCTACTACCACTTCATTTACTAATCAAAACGACCCTCTAATTTCTTAAGAATAATCCCATATCATAACCAATTTCTTTCCGTGTGGATTAGTTTCCATTCTACATTCGCCTGGACTCGGCAATCCAGTCACCGACCGACTTTGAGCTCCATTCAGGCCGATTGCGCAATACCGATCGCGAATGCCAGACCCGGCTCCAAAGCTATTTTTAGCGCTGTCCATTCTGTGGAACCCTGTGGGTCGCCCAACTGTAGAATAACTGTGTTGCGGTGTGTGGTTCAAATCGCTCAAAAACAACAAAAATAACAACAACAAAAACCAAAAAGGGTCAACGTATTCGGTTTCATAAGTAACAAATGGCCCAAATCGAAATCGATGAGGACAGGACAGGAGAGAGGAGAGGCGGCTTCTAAGGAAACAGTTTGTCATTGGCCAACAACAGGAAATTCCTTTCGGCAAACTCATCAGCCAAAGTAAACTGTGCATCTCCGTTTTGGCGCGAGATTAATGACACTTGGACAGTGGCCCCGCCCCTACCAACGCCTCCGCCCAGTTCTACATTTGCATATGACAGCAGCAGCAGAAGCAGAAGCTTCGTTGTTTGTTATGCAAGCAGTAAATTTTCAATAAATATACATAAGCCAACAAACAAATCAAATCAAACCGACAGTGGCTGTATCATCATCAACAGCAGCAGCAGCAGAAGCAGCAGCATCGCAAGAGCAGACAGCTGGACTGTCAGCACAGAGAAAAATAATGTTTAAATCTAATTCAGAGGTCAAAAAGATTTTAAGTTGAGTCGAAACAGAAAAAATTTGGTGTGTCTTGAAGTTAAGGCTTTTTTAATACAAAGTTTCCTCAGTGGAAGCTAAAAAAAACTTTCTTTATAATTTGAATGGCTAAGAAATCCGTCAAGCTTGCTGAAAATTTGCTCTATTTTTTAAAAATTTATAAATATTTTTGTGATAAAATAAAAAAATATTGGAGTCCTATACAAAATTCAACTGAAAGTAACTTTACTTAAGTCACATTTTTCATTTTTAAATATTTTATGCATATTTTTTCTCTGCGTGCCATTGTTGTTGTTGCTCTGGGCAGAGGAGGCTCGTCTGATAAACACAGACGTATATAGACACTCACTGACCACCGAGATCCGTAGACTGCGACAGCTAAATGTTTGTTTTGCCAGCGCTCGAATGCCACGCGTTGCACATACGCAGCGTTGGCCAAAAAGAGAGAGAAAGAGAGGCGAAAAAAATAACAGTTGACACTCGAAACTGTTTGTAGTTGTCTCGCTTAGAAGAAACGCTCGATGGCTCATTAGCAGCCGACGCAAGAAATGCCCAAAAAGTAAACAGGAAATCGAAAGGATGATGGCAAAGGGACAAAAGGGCGCGCGCTCTTTTTTTTTTCAATTATTTGCTTATGCTACGAGTTGTTGGCTTTTGCGACACACTCATCTTCCGAATCAGAATCAGAATCTGATTCTTATTCTGATTCTTATACTGATTCTGATTCTGAATCTGAAGATGGAACGGCGAGCTGTGAGCTGCTGGTAGCCAGACTCAGCAAACCGCAAATAAAAACAAATATCGGCTCACATGAAATCCGAGCTGTTATTGAGTCTTTCGATCGCCTTTTGTTGACAACTATGCAAGAATTTTGTTATTGTCTGAGATGTGCAAATGGTACGTGGAAAAATTTTGTCTGCCGCGTCTGGTTTAAATGAAAATGAAACAAAATATCCAGATGATATGCTGTTTGTCTGTCTGGAGTGAGGATTTTATTTTCACAGAGCTTCCTTTTTTAAGCTTCACCAACTAGAGTTAGAACTCTGAGCTTACCTCTTTAACTGTCCCTCGTAGCGATGTTGTTGATTTTTGTTTTGTTTTTGGAAATAACTTTCGCACTTAGATGTGTTTATTTGCCAATGAATTAGCAGTTAACATTCAGAGAGTATATGCACACTTTAAGGTATTACAAGAAATCAAGTTTAAAAACCCAAAAAAATAAAAACATTTTTCATGCACAAATGAAAAGAAAATTGGAAATTTGTCGACTCTCGATCGCACTTTAGTCCACACTTATCGCTGAGCTTTCGAATTTTAAGTTCTTCTTGTCTGGCTGGTTTTATTATTTACATTTCCACGATTTTTGTTTCTGTTCTTTTCTGGAATCACGAAACTGGACACAGCACTAGTTTTTAACTTTTCACTGGGGACCAGAGACGTGCGCTCCGTCTGATAGTCGATTGCCGACTGAATTTTGCCAACCAAAGTTCTCACTTAGGTAAGGAAAGAGGCACCCATACTCATGCAAAACGCCGCACTGTGGGCTGAATGGCACTTTTTGTGGCATTTATTGCTAGAGAGTAAGCAGGATTTTATGGGTTTGATTTTTTATTTAAATTTTTAAAGAACTTATATGTTTATATACTCTTTCAGTAGATAACATCGTATATAAATTGTAAAGTCATCCGATATTAAGGAAATTTAAAAAGAATTAATATTGTTGTATATATATAAATTTTACAGAATATTAGTTTCTTTATTTTCATTGATATCTTTATTATTTCTGAGAGCGATCTTATATAAGACGTAAGTCTTAAAAATAATATAAGGAAAATTGTAAAAAAAAGTTTGTAAAGGAGAACAAATATACAGTTGTTCTTAACCAAAATCCCGATCGGGAAAGTAAAACCGTTCCGCTCGTAGGATTTTTACCCGATTCACAACATGCTGAGGGCTGTAACTGAAAGTTGCGCATCATGCAGTAGCAACATTTTTATCGTCTCTGAGCGAATCGGTCGAAAATCATTTTTAACTGCTCTCTCTCGCTGCACTGAAACAAAAATCAATAATAAAATCTATAAAAAATATGAAATTAGAAATGTGTTTGATATTAATAAAAAAAGCTTATGTTAAAGGACAAAATCTGTAATTTTCTACCAAATTAAAAAGATAGAAAGAATAAGAAACTAACACGTCGCGGTAAATACTCCGATAATGGTTTTTAAAAAAATAAAATATTATTGTGTTTATATATTAAAGAAGTCTGAGGGTCCACTCATCATTTTGTAAGACTGAAAAGCGGCACAACTAACGTTAAGTGAGATTTTTAATCTTGGGAAGAAAACTTTCCAGAAACTTTCCCTGCGGTGTGACGAGCCTTTAAATTTTAAGAAGTTTATTCAGTTTCATAACACTATCTTGAACATAATTTCGCATCTACTGAATAATATTTAACAAAATCACAGAATGACACGACTACTTGGAAAAATATATCTTTGCTTACACTTAAGCCTTACAAACATATAAGAAAAGATTAAGTACTTTAGTTAAATTATAATATTTATTAGAAAAATCATAGTTTAAAAAAAAAAATAAGTTGGTTAAATATAAAAATATGTTTCCTGTTGAACTTATCAAACAGCTAAAAAACAAAGTTAGTAATAGCAAAAGCAACAGCTGAACGCTCATTAAATGCAGCGAAATCATGCCGCGGCCATATAGAAAACATATCTTTATCTGCGGCCTTAACTGTCTATTGTTTGGCCAGAGCAAAGCGGCAGTCAGGCAGCCGAGAAAAAAAAGATTTCTTTATGGTGCAAACAGCGTCATAATTTAGATCTAATTGTCAGATACTTGCTGCCAGGCCACAAAACTGCATGTCGCTGGGCCCAGCAGCCCCGTGGAAATGTGGAAATGAAGACATTTGACGAGGAAACCACCGCCGCCGCCACTAACGCTGCTGCCGCCGCCGCACTGGACAACTGGAGGAGCAGTTTTGCCAGTCGGATTTTTACGTCAATTACGGCGCGGAGCGTTTTATTGGGCAATGGCGTGCTGGGCGCGTATTAAGCCCCACTCTCTGATAGCGGCCACCACGCTCCACCTTCGCCTTTGCATTCGCCACTCCACTCCTGCCCACCTTAACCCACTAATGATGGCCAGAATACAGATACAGATGCATGCGGCGGCCACATCGTCGTCTATTTATTGGAAGTGCATCTAATGAGACATTGGCATTGCTGGCCACAATTTGAGGGAAGCGTGAATCGTTGAATCAGGTTTGATATATGCCATTCACCCTTGCAAAGGCAGCGGAAATATTTGAGAATGCATTGCCTTTGAAAATGGGTTTATTCTTTTCTCTTTAAACCAGATATACCGATTAGTTATTCATATGTATGAATCGGATTATATAATCTTCCAATCTATTTTATCTCAATTCCAAAAAATTAAAAAACTTTCGAAAACGCTTCTATAATTTCGACGTTAGCTGTTTATATATGGAAATGCAGAAAGTTTATATATACCCCATTGCCTTGGGATTCGATTTTATGAATGAAATTCGCAAATACATATTCCTTAGCTTGTTTTTGTTTCCGGCTGTCAGAATAAATCAAATGTCTAAATCACATCAAAGCGCTTTGTATGACATTTGAACTGCCAGCGGAAATGAATGAATGGTCTTCGAAATAATTTGGCTATAAATACACTCCCAACCCTACCCACAAATACCAACCCACCAACCTGTTAATTATGCAAATCTATGCGATAACGTTGCGTATGCGTAATATTTGCAAAGTTCAGCTATCTTTGACATTTCTCACGATAATTAGTACTAACCAGTGGTCAGCAACGTGAGGAGGTGAGGGTGGAAAGCTAAGGGCGTGCTGCAGGTGGGCGTGGGCAGCTTAAGTGACGGCAATTTGCGGTGCCTCAAGGATATTCGATGACAAAAAGAAATTGCTTTGTATTAAGCCGTCTGCCAGTGTCTAGACTGATTTCCATAGCACACATAGCATATATATATATGTATGTTTTAGGGTGTGGGGGAGCTGTGTGTAATAGTCCGCTTAGGCTTGCCATGCTGTCGGCACTTTACATCAAAGTAAAGCCATTGCAATTGGCTAGACAGCGCCTTATAATCCTCTGCAGTTCGTAGCCGGCTGTGTGTCCCGCTCCCGAACTCCGTTCATACGCACTTGCTGGGGAATCTGCTGCGGTTTGGTAATGGATAGTGCTGACCAGCTCGCCAGCTAGCCCAATTGGCCCATGCATGATTAATTAAATTTGACAAGGAGAAATCAACGAATCTTTGGTCGAAATTATAAGGTTCTCGGAGAGTCATTTCCGATCGCCATCGCCCACATATTCGGTTTATTTTTATATTTCGCTTAAGTACGTGCTGCCCCTTAAATAGTTTAGTGCATTGTTTTATGGCCGACTGACTCATTTCCTTGCTAGCCAAGTGAATGACCATCTGAGTTAGTTTTGATGAGTTAACAAGGTCAAAGCATGCAAGCAATTAAAAATAAATAAAAACTTAAATTACATTATAAAAAGTAGCTTATGTATAGAAAAAAATTAAATGCGTAGATAATGTAGACAAAATAGCTCTTGAAATTTAATGTAAAACCTTTTTAGGTTAAACAAATTTTTATAACAAAAATATTTACTTAGTTTTTATTTTTTAAATTGTTTAATTACTTGTCTTCTCATTAATATAGTTTTTTATATAGTTCAATTTTAAATTCCGATAACAAATTACTTTATGTTCTTAAAATCGAAAATCGATTTTAGTATTTTACATGAAATGTCAAAAGCAGTGGCGCCCTCTAGTTGTATGGTTACACCGCATTTCTGGCAACGCCCTGCAACTGTAATTTAAAAAGTGATAAAAAAGTGATTATAAAATGAAAAATGTAAACAAATTCGATTCAGTTAATTAAGTTTCGTTTTTAAATACTTTAAGTATTCAATTGTCTTAATAATAATTAATACTTTTAACAGAACCTACAATCATCATTTATGGCCATAGATTTTTTTTAAATGTAGAATTTCTCGGGTTACATGCAAAATATTACTTCTTATCATGATTTAGTATGTAAAGTGTTAAGCTTACAGTAAGTAACACTATCAAATTTCCTAACACAAATGTATAATTTCCTTTTGAAAAATATATTTTCTTTAACAAAAAAAGAAAAGGTTGAATATGCAATTAAATATTCCAAAAGCTGACTTTTGTTTACCTACGTGAGAGGCTTGAAAGATACATTCAGAACTCCAATATAATTGTATAAAGTTGGGTTTACTTACGCATACTTTCCCCGGATTTGAAGCCTAATTATGTAAAATAAAAAAACCATAAATGTAGGAGTAAGCCCTTGTTGGGAGTTTCAAATATGTGCGGTGGCTTAGCATTCCTAAATCCGAGAAAGAGAGGAAAAAAACCAAACGGCAGCTGCAGTCGCAGCTAATCACGTTCCAGTGACGCCCGTTGAGAGTCTTAGCCGGTCATGATTTGAATATTAATTTAGCTGGTGGTTCTCAACTGGCGACCATAACGACTCGTTGTTTTTATATGATGTGTAAGGAGCATTTAACAGATAGTCTGATTGTTTTATGACGACAACGTGCCAGGCGCAACGAACGAGTGCCAATGGCGACACTAAAGATGACAATTACAACGGCTGATCTTACGTTTCGGAATGGCTCATTTGGCCTGACATTGTCGGATTTGAAATACAAGATTGCCTTTCAGCTAACCCTGAGTTAAAAGTACTCAAAGAACGATCAAAATGCCGTTTAGTGTATCAATTACATGTCATAGAGTTACTCCCTCAGTTAGTAAAGTGCGATCCCAAAAAGTCTCATATTACACAAACACTTGACATATATTTCGGTTCGGCATTCAAAAAGAAATGGAGATAGAGTTCGAGATACAAACCGGAAGAGCAGCAGCAGCCTCTGATATGTTGTATTCATTCATTGCTTTATGACTGTATGACTATATAGTAAGTGAAAGTGTTTCACTGGATAATGCTGCTTAATTGCTGATTTTTCGCATGAAAGGTGGCATTATGTGGGCGTCGTCTGCCACTCATGTTCGGCCTCCGAATATTTAGGCCAGCAGATCAATTACGAACTGGCCTTTTATGAGCCAGCCCGGCGCCCTGTCTATAGCTCAAAAACTTAAAGGGTTGGTCTGGTCATTAGTTTTATGACTGTCGCTCTGGTCTATAAAATGTTCTTGCTATTCTCTGAGGATTTATTGCTCACCTCAGTGAAATATGCAATGAGCTTATTTCCTTTACTGCATAAAATTAATAATTTTTTTCTGTTGGGTAAACAAACCACTATATTATGTTATTTGTTAACTGGTGACGTCATAGGAAGGTGAACACCTGCATTGATTCACGGACGTGTTCAGTTTTTTTTTAAACTTCCTTTTGACATTTATGCCTGGCCAGAAAAAATCCAAATAAGGCGCCGCTCAAGCACACGTCGACGATTCGGTAAGTATCCATAGAAGCACTCGAAGAAAAACTCAGCAAAAATTATATAAACTTATTTTGGATAAATGGAGAAAAGTGTCAAAAGTAGTATTAAAAAGACAAAAGTATTTTGTATGGTTTCTTATTTAAGATATTAGTTGAAAAGCCCTTTAATTATATTTTTTAAACATATAATAAAGTAATGCTCAGTGCATTGTTTCACCGCTATTGTTGTCATTGTTGATTTGTGAGATGCATGACTCTCCAACTCCGATTCAACTATATAATCACAAATTGCTGATAAATGACCGACGTATACAATGGAACTGTGACAAGTGGAAGACAGTGAAACTTCCGCCAAGTGTAACAACAGATTGTAGCTGGATGTGATCCATTTCAAGGGCAGATTCCCCCACATTTAATGCATTTCATAGGCTAAGGAACAGTTCAATTTGCACCCTGTTTGTACCGCTTGCATCTGGGATGAGTGGGATGTGCGCCAGAAATAGCTGCCCCCGATAGCAGCAGAGAAGAGGGAAGGGGGTCATGAACTTCAATTATGTGCCTGGCAAATGGGAGGCACCACCAACGCCCACCAGCAGGTGCTGTGCTGCTGTAATCGTTATTGCTGCTACTGCTGCTGTTGCTGTTGCATGTGCACTCGTGTTGCCGCCGGGCAGCAACAGCAACATAATTGCTGTCAAATCGCCTGGCGAGCGCTTAATTGTGCATTTCAATAGCGGCCTGGCCCCAAAAACACTTGCTACGCCGCATTTGAAAAAGAAATAGAAACCGAATTAGCCGCCCTTTTGAACTTCTTGTGTTTACTTTAAGGCCTAGCCAACCATTCCGTTTTAGAACTTTTTAACAGGAATTTTATTTATGAACCAAAATCGGGGGAGCAATCGATGACTTGTGAATTGACTTTTATGCGAGTAATCTGCTGTTTCTAGTTGCGCTTATCGTTTCGAAACGACTTTTCCAGGCCGCGGAACCCCACTTTTTCTTCTTTTATTAGTTTTTATTGTTTTACATTGACTTGATAAACGGCCTGGTCGGCCTGCCTGCAGCGTTGAAAATCAATTACTTGGACCCGCCAACGAGCAGGCGATCTAAGAGTGGTTTTCCAACTTATCAGTTACGGAAAAGCAACGGCAGGGGAGAGCTAGAGGGAAAAGTCAACTCAAGTACTCAGGCCTGCTGATCTAATTGAACCTTTGAACCCCTCGACACTCTTGAACTCCGCGTGCTGGGCTCAATTTCATGTCACCAAATCGTAAAGTTAATAAATTGTGGTCACCACATCCCCATCCCAAAACCTACCCCAATGTTGGATGGATAAGGCAGCTCTACTCACATGGGAGGTATATATATATTTATTATACATATTTACTCTAGGGCCTGCTGATAAGCAGTTTGATTGCTGCTTAAACATGCCACTACGGCCAAGTTCAATGACAGCAGCAAGCCACTGAATTCGGGTGGCCACTCCGCTGGGAATCGTGATCGGCATCCTTTATGCCCGCCATATGCTCTCCGTTTCCATTCGCACTCAACCTTATCCCCAGCTCAGAAAGTGATCACTCAGAGAAAATTTGAAATGGCTTTTGTTGTATTTCTCAATGGAGTTGATCTTTAAAAATCATTATTAATTGGGTATATTTTTCTCTAAAAGATATGCTAATATGCAGATACTTTTATAAAGAAAACTCAAGTAGCATCATAGTTATCTGTCGTGGACTTTAAACATTGAGACTTAGTAATTTCTATAAGCAGACCTACTTTTTATATGATAATTATATACATCTGTTCTATTTAAATAGCAATTATACTGTAAATGTTATTGTAAAGTGATAAAAGAAAGAAATGTTAACAACGAACTGTCTTCTTATCTGAGAATAACAACTTCATTCAGTTCCTTTTCTCTGTGCAGATCTTGGTGAGTCTGCATAACGGCCATTGTAAATATTAATTATAATGAAATATATGAGATGATGAGGAACAAATAAGCCTGCCCATTCCCTTGGGAGTCCCTTCAATAAGTATTCATAATAAAATACTGCTCCCTGTTGGAACTCCATGGTGACAGGCGGCGCGAAGGCGACGCTTGCTATGTACACTTGGGCGTGCACTTACCCATGTGTGTGTACTGTGTGCGTGTGTGTTTGTGTTTGTGTGTGTGCTGCAATCGCGTAGGGGGAGTGTAAATGCAAGTGGTGTTTCGAACAAGGAGAGCCACCACACGAAATGGTCAAAGATGATTTGGGGATGCACTCGGCAAGATCTACCTTTGTCAGTCTTAACGACATAAAGAAAAAAATATATAAATTATTGATTTTCTCTTATTAAATGTGAAAAAATAGTGAAAAGATAACATTATCAAAATCTTTAATATATATATATTCCCCATCCATATGCTTTTAAGGAAAGGAAACTTTTATCTTATTCTATAGAGAATATATAAAGATAACCTTGGCAAACCTCTTTTATGGTTAACATAAATTAACACATATAAGAGCACCGAAATATGAATACCCCTCAGTGCCTTCAGCTCTCAAAGCCTTGCCATCTTCACAGGTTAGAATTGCTCTTTCGACAATCGTGTGTGGTGAACACACCGGGCGGTGGATTCGGCGGCTGTCCAAGTCTGCTGCAGCACTTGAATTCATTTCATTTCGTTTCGAGTCGTCGGAGAGTGAAAACGTGCCAAGTTCGGTTGCACCACTGCCCTCTTGCCTCGCTTATAGGCTAGAATTGCGGAAATAAAAATCATACATATATGCTATATGCAGATAGTACGGTCCACTAAGTCGTTATTGCGTGTGGTTTACAACAACCTTTTGCCGGCAAAAAATAAAATAAAAACAAAATCGAAGTGACAAAAGCGAAACAAGTTTGCTCACTGATTTTTAGCTAGATATCGCGAGAGCATGGCGAAAGCCGGCAGGTCTTAATTAAATTAATATAATTTCGACGAGGAGAGAACGTTGCCGCCATATAAGCGATCTCGAGTGTGTGAGTGCGTGTGCGTATGAGAGCTTCAATTAAATTCAATAAATCATAAATAAGTGAGCGGCAACGGATCCTGTTTTTTAGTGGTGCGGCACAATTGTGATTTATTGGCCTCCACAAGGGGCGGAGGGTGAATTCAAGTGAAATTACGAAATTACGAATGCGAAAACTTAATTTTCATGACTTCCAATGAAAGTTGAATTAAAAATGTTTCGCCTTATATTCCTCACCCTCTTGGCCCTGCTACCTCAAATCGATGCCTTCAACTTTATGCCCCGACCGAGCAGGGTGATCAACACCCCAACGCATTTGAAGTTCTACAAAAACCAAACGCGCAGCTCCTACTTTGGATACACGCTCGTCATCCGTGAAACCAGGTGAGTTGCTCATTTTCCAGCTGGGAATCGCCGCAAATATTTGCATACATATACTATCGCTTTGAGGGTGAAACTTACGTTATGTTTGACTTGGAGGCGATGGCTTTCACGATTCAAAAGCCAACACCTTTGTCAATATTTTGAAACTTCTGGCACACGGAAATTGAAACTGAAACTTGCGAAAGAGGCGTTCAACAGAAGTTGCAGCTTGACAAAATTAGTAACGGTTTTCGGTTGCTTCTATTGGCACTTAACACTGAGGCGTTTATTTGTCTAACAATTAAAATGTTATTTTCGCCTAATTGTAAACGAATTTCAAGACAGAACACTCTCATGGTATATCGATCGAAAGACCGCAACGCTTGAAAACCTCTCAAAAACAATACCACTTCAGACCAACAAAATTTCTAAAAATAACAAGAAAAAAAAGAAGGAAAAGAGACTGACTACTTCAACTTCAATTGCCAGCGGTTACAATTGCCACAGATCGCTGAGAGATCGCGACTGTGTCTTGGACAATTGACAAACCCAAAACACTTTTCAGTGAGCCGAGGCGACCTACATATCATCTGATATGTAGACCCGATGGCGGCGACTTTTGGTTTGGAGTACGGGCCCCGAGAAATGACATCACACACCTTAACCGGCGCCACAAATCACAGTTAATTGAATAAGAAGAAAGTGCTCAGATCGAACTTGAGATACGCTTCTTGAGATACTTTTTAAAGAGTTCTCCTTGAGGTTCTAACTTAAATTTTAGGGTAATCTCTCACACTTCTCTGATCGACAATCATTTTGTTTGATATAGAAAAAGGTTTTATAGAGTATCTAAGATATTTTCATTCAAAGATGTTGGCCAAAAATTCAGGCCACAGCCTCAGATACAACTTTTTTGTTTGTTTACTTTACGAGTACATATGTACAGCCATATCTTGTTTTAATTCAGGCAATCAGTAAACCTGGTTAGAATGCAGTACCCGTACGTGATCATAACGAGCTAGCTCTTGACCATATTTTATTACCATAAACCTGGCTGGGTAATTTGGAACTTCCTCTACAGTTCCCGCTTCCCCTCTCTGTTGTTTTTTTTTTGTTTTTTATTACCAGCACTTTAAAGCCCAAAATACCCATGACTCTCTTTTGGCCATTACCAAGTGCGCCTAATTATGTACGGAAATTGCGCGTAAAATCACGACAAGCCGTAATTTATTTCACATCAATTGAAGTTTTGGCCGAAACAAACAAAAAACAAAACATGTAAAGTCTGTGTTTATGCTTACCCCAATCATTCTATGGGCAAGGAAAAGGGGCTGAAATGTGGAAATGGAAATGGTGCCCTCACTCAGTCATTGTTTCCCAATAGCTGTTGCATTCTGGCGAAATGAGTCACAAATGTTTCCAATCCGATTTGAAGGCGATGGCGTCTGCATGCCCACCCTCATCCCCCCTCGAAGAGTTATTCGCCTGTTCAGCTGACACCACACACGAATATTTTTAGCTGCCTTACTCTGGGTCATTAAACCGAATTCCCAAAAAAAAAAAAAAAAATTTGAAAAAAAAACTGGGAACACTCCAGAACGGAAAATGCTGCAGCTTGCTGGCTTTTGTTCTGAAGATTTGATGACCGCAAGCTGCAGCGTTTCTCTTTGTTTTGGTTTGGCTGACGGAGATGGCGCGGGAGATTTGTGTGGTCCGCAACATGGCTTATTGTTGCACACATAAACAGATAAATGCTCCTTGTTTCGGCATTTAAACAAAGCGCCACCAACCCCGTCTACTTCTGCTTAAGAACTTACATTAACAATCACAAAGATAGCCTGGCATTTGGATTTTTGAGATATTTTAAATAAATGTTTAATGTTTTATTTATAGATCTTTCTGTATGAATAAATGTTACTTTTTTTTAAGAATTTTAGCTATGTCTTCATGGAGTTCGTTTTTCATTTTTTAAGAGGTTATTCCCATTTATTAAACTTAATTTTTAAGACAAAAATTATTTTATAAAAATTGGGATTTGAAAATAAGAGTTCATTTCTCAGTTCTTACTGGATACGACAACCTTTAATTATATATAATTATTACGGTGCTGATAAATACTTCTTCTTGGAAAGTTTATAAATTTAAACACAATTTAAGATTTCTTATGCACACGTGAGATAAGCAAAAATTGAGTGTTAAATTTCAAAAATCGTATCTTCCAAACTATTAATTTGAACTCAGCTGTATTAAAGCCAAAGTCCAGTTCGAAACTGGAGATGGGGGCAGATGCGTGTGCGAGAGACATGGTTTACATGGTCATGAGTCATGTTTTTGGGGAAATACTTAAGCGACAGCATAAACTTTGTATAACCGAAAAGAAAAGCGGAATTTCCAGTCTTTCTCTGTCGTCATCGAAATGAAAACAAGTGTTGGCAGACAGCTTTTAAGCTCACTCCACTCTTTTTGACTTTTAGCATAAGCAATTACTGGTTAAGGTAGCCAAAGTAACATGTGCTTGTTATTGGCCTTACTCAAACTGTTGTCAAATATTTTTTTGTGATTGCCGGTTTTTGTTTTCATGCCACCAAATCAAGCAAGCATGTCTCGCGCCGCCTTGCGGATAAAGTTACGGCGGAAATCAGGCCAGGGAACAAATGCAGTGCACGCTGACTCATCCGACTGACTAAGCCAGAGATTCGTCCCGGGGAAAACTTGTATATGCACAGCTATAGTTGTATGAACAATGAAAAGTCTATCAACGAGCTATCAGAGGTCAACCTAGTGCTGGGAAATGACTAGTTCCGATTTTCATTTTTTTTTATTACTTACCACATATTTACTGATTAAAAGAGATAAAGAAATGTATTATCAAAAATATGTTTTTCTAACTATCAATGCTTTTTCCAAACTGTTATTATTGGTAACCCCATTCTCTATCATTTGTGTCAGAAATGAGTAAGTCACAGTAAATGATTAAAAAACAGTTGTTTTTCTTTGTCTTTTAATTACATTTGTAATTTAATATTCGATTGAGAAAAGCAAGTATGAGAACCACTTTGGAGGGATATTAACTAAACTAAGTTCCAGCATAGTCAGTTAAACTAGAACTGTGGCTATTTTAATGACTTAAGTCTTTTAACGCTAAGAATAATCACTAATCTCAAGTAGATAATCAAATAAAATCTATGAAATGCTTATCAACTTAAACCTAAAAGTGAAAGTTCTATCATGATATTGAGAAGTTTAGAACTTAAAAATATTCTCAGTTCTTTTTGGTACACAGTTTAGGATAGAAATGATGATAAGATTAAAATTCGGTTTTTTTTATTTATATGATCTATTGCTTGGCTATGAGTCAGTCTTTTTGGCTACTTAAAAAACAAACAATATTTCTTACAATCCAGAGTAGTACCCCTGAAAAGTGCAAATACGGCAAGGTGAGCGCTTTGAAGACGGTACTCACGCCACTCCCACGAGAGCCACAACGGTAACGTGAGTAAGCCACGTTAAGTCGGAGCGGCTCTCTCGCTCAGCTTTTTTGGATACCCGATGAGTATCTGAGAGCAACTCGCTGTCGCTGCTGCCGAGGTGCCCGGTTGTGGATCGGTGTGGATGCCCAATGCTCAGTTAGTAGCTAACAGACATTCGATCGGCACGGATGCAACTCTTATCCGGCGGTGAAGTTGCGGGTTGTCTTGACACACGTATATAAATATATATATATATATATAATAAAACGAAAGTGATAATATATCAAAGTGAAGATTATTTAGCCGAAAGCCGTGTGGCATAGCCTTAACTATAGTTAAATAATAATTCTGTAAGAAAGCAGCTAATAAATGGCACGGCAAGGTCGCGAGTTCTGGGCGGTGATAATCGTGCTGTGGTGCCTGGCCAGCTACTCCAATGCATTTAACCTTTCGCCGCGGCCTAACAGGCAGATACTGGATCCCCAGTTCGCCACCAATCTGCCCAAAGTGCGTGCGTCATATTTCGGATTCACGATGTGCCTGCGACCCAATGGGTAAGACTCCTCGAACGGCTCCCGCATCTTCATTTTTTTCCTCTAAAAAAAAGACCGTGGAGTCGTAATAAACTGGTTGTGCGATGGATGATTCACGCTGACAAACGCCGATCGGATAGTAGCTGTAAAATTGAATGAACTTTTTTGAAAATGCTCTGACAGGGGAAAAAATTCAAGTGCCAAAGAAAGAAATTCCTCCATACAGTTAATGTCTTGTGCAAACGATGAAGTCATACTCTTAATATCAATTATCAACCCAAAAACGAGGAGGTGTACTCAGACATATACATAAACGTTATGTATGTGAAAAAGTGTATAAAAATGTATGGTTTTTATGGAGATATCAAGCTCAGTCGGAACCGATTCGATGGGGTCCGAGCTGGAAGTTATGCAAATATTTGCAACGCTGCACGTCCGAACCTTTGTTGGCTTAATAAGTCAGCTATTTAGGGCGGAGTTCGACTTATTTTTTTTCTATACCATTTAGAAGCAACGAATCGTCAATGCCAATTCGTTATCAGCCAACGTTTCTAGCTTCGTTTTTAACGATTTACGATAAGATTGCCGCTGCCACAGTGAAATTCCGCTAAGGAGGCAGTGTATGTGCGATAAGTGGAGTCAGAATTTGTTGAGCTCGGTAGCTAATGTTGCAAAGATAAGAAAAACAGTTTGATTGGTTCGTCTGGGTCTTATCGAATTTCCATTGTCAAGCCACTTTACCTTAGGGTTCGTCGGAAAAATCGACTAATTGATGAGACATATACTCGGACAATGAATTGGCTTCCATGTCTGACTAATACCAAAAGTTATAGAATACATAGTTCGGACCTGTCATCGCTGTAATTTGAATATCTGATAAATTGGACTAATGGGTAAACGCTAATCCTAGGTGCACTGTTCAAGCCCTTATGTCGCCTTTTGTAATTTTTAAAACATTCATTTGATTGACAATATTAAAATGATTTTTTGATAAAGAAAATAATTTGAAAAATATAAACTAATATATTTTTTGACTTTCTATGATTAAAGCATAATAGTGGGAGCACCTCGAGCTCAATCCACCTTGGAGTCGCAACGCACTATCAACGAGACTGGGGCCATCTACCGTTGCTCCCTAACAAGTGGTACCTGCAGTCCGTATGTCCTTGATCCCAAAGGAAACTATAATGCTCCATACAATGACTATACATTTGATTCGGAGCGCAAGGACTTCCAATGGCTGGGTGGTTCGATGGACGGCGGCACCCGAGATACTGATAAACTCCTCGTGTGTGCCCCGCGATTTTATGCGCCCAGCCAAAAGGATTATCATTTGCATGGTGTCTGCTATTGGGTCCAAAATACATTGGCCAGCACTCCGGAGCACGTAACACGGATCTCTCCACTTCGTCTAAAACAACAACAGGTGATAGAGGAAGATCATAACAACGTTGCCAGCTTCTTCTACATAATGGGTGAAATGGGATTGAGTGCTCATGTGGCGGATGATAACTCGAAGTTCCTGATTGGTGCCCCGGGCATTAATACTTGGAAAGGATCGGTGGTTCTGTACCGGCAAGTGGATCCAGTGGATAATCCCACAGCCAGCAGACGCGACACAGACAGAGCACTCCGACGAGTGATTCGCGATGCGGACACCAACGAATATTCGCCGGAGCACTATGCACCCGAGATTCCAGCGCCAATGAATTGGGGCCAGGAAGATGACTCATACTTTGGCTATGCGGTTAGCTCCGGCTACTTTGACAGCTCTAACCCGACTAAACTTCTCTACGTGGCCACCGCTCCACAAGCCAACAAGCAGTCCGGCGAGGCCTACATCTTTGATGTGCGGGGAAAGAGCATCCATAAGTATCATGTTTTCCGTGGCGACCAGTTTGGTGAATATTTCGGTTACTCTGTATTGGCGGAGGATCTCAATGGAGATGGAAAAACAGACGTCATTATATCAGCACCTCAGCACGCTCTAGAGGATTTCTACGACAACGGTGCCATCTACGTGTTCATCAACAAGGGCTTTGTGAGTAATAAGTTGCATTACCTAAGACTCTTATTGGGGTGAGGTTTCCTGAAACGAGAGTAAATAACGCCGTCTTATCATTGCAGTTCAATTTCGAGCGGCAGATACTACGTTCGCCCGTTGAGACGCCGGCACGGTTTGGAACTACTCTATCGCGTCTGGGAGACATTAATCATGACGGATATAATGGTAAGTTATCTTTGACATTCCGTATACTTTTTGTACAGAACTTAATAAATATATTAATTTCCCATTTTACAGACGTGGCTGTAGGAGCTCCATTTAACGGAAACGGATCGGTGTTCATCTACCTGGGCAGTGAGCAGGGATTACGTGATCAGCCGAGTCAGCGACTGGATGCTCCTTCCCAGCAACCTTCTAAGTATGGATCACACATGTTCGGGCATGGTCTATCCCGAGGATCGGACATTGACGGTAACGGATTCAACGATTTCGCCATCGGAGCCCCCAATGCGGAAGCCTTGTATCTGTATCGCGCCTATCCCGTCGTAAAAGTGATTGCCACAGTGAAGTCAGAATCGCGAGAGATTAAGCCAGAGCAGGACAAGGTTAAGATCACCGCCTGCTACAGACTGAACACCACTTCCACGGCAAAGGACGTCCAGCAGCAGGAGCTGGCCATTAGAATTGCCATCGATACTCAGCTGAAGCGGGTTAAGTTCGTCCAGACGCAGGCCAATGAGGTAAGCTTCAAGGAGATAGCTGGTCTTGGTGAGCAGTGCCGGGTCTTTGAGGCTCAGGTGCGCTACAGTGAGAAGGACATATTCACACCCATCGATCTGGAGATGCACTACGAACTGACTAAGAAGGTTCCCGACTCGGAGGGTGAGTTTTAATCTCAATGTATTATGGAATTAAGTCACTAACTTATTTTTCCTCAACAGAATTCTGCGAGACCTGTGCGATTGTGGATCCAAAAGAACCGAAGGTTTCCACGCAGAAGATAATCTTCAGCACGGGTTGTGCCACCGATATCTGCACCGCAGACCTGCAGTTGCGGAGCAAGAATGTGAGGTAGGTCTAGTTTGCTCCAGCTGACCTGTTTATCAGTCATGAGTCATACCATTTCCTTCCTCAGCCCCACTTATATCTTGGGCAGTGCCGAAACCCTACGTCTCAATTATGAGATCACCAACAACGGAGAAACCGCCTATCTGCCTCAATTCAATGTGACGAGTACATCCCGTCTGGCATTCGCTCAGGTCCCTGGAAACTGCAAAGTCATCGATGCCGTCATGGTGTGCGACCTCAACCGCGGACGACCTTTGGCCAAAGGTGACAGCGACTCCATCACTATCAGTTTCGATGTGAGCCAACTAACCGGACAGTCGCTGATCATCCATGCGGAAGTGTTTAGCACAGGATACGAAAAGAATCCCACGGACAACAAACAGACAAACGTGATCGGTTTGAAGGAGTTCACCGATATCGATGCCACCGGGTAAGATTCAATAGAAGTTGTGGAATAATCTTAAATCTAACTAAAACCCCTTATCTATTCTTTATTCCAGTGGCCAGACAAACAACCAAATCGACTTGGAACACTACAGTAACTCCGCTGAGATCATCAACAACTACGAGATCAAGAGCAATGGTCCGAGTGTGATCGAACAGTTGACCGTGTCCTTTTATATACCCATTGCCTATAAGGTGGTTGGCTCTACAGCCATTATTCCCATAATCAATGTGACCAGTCTGAAGATGCAGGCTTCCTACGATTCCCAGCTACTGGCCATTGATCTGTACGACCAAAACAATACCCTGCTCATTGTTGATACCATTGAGGCTGTCACCACGCTTCATGGAAACTTGGAGCGAACTGTGATCAGCCAGAATGGTCAGGGCTATGATATCCATACCAGTGGACATGTACACCAGACGATGCAGGTGCTCGATACCGATATGGTGGCAACTGCATCTATGTCCCGAAAACGTCGTGATCTCAAGGCCCTGACAGCTAATCGCGAGCAATATGCTCGCATCTCGAATGTCAAGGCACATGACCTGCTAAGCGAGGACTTCAAGGGCAAGTTACCGGTTAACCGTACCATTGTGTTCAATTGTCGGGATCCTGAAATGACCATCTGCGTCAGGGCCGAAATGCGGGTTCACTTTAGGCCGGAGAAATCTATTAACCTGAACATGCGCTACAACGTGGATCTGAACGAGGTGAATGCCATTTTAATGGATCCCTGGGAGTTCTTCGTCATCCTGACCGACGTGAAACTGGAGAAAAAGGGTGATCCCACGTCAACTTCGTTTTTAATCAATCGAAGAATCGAACCGAATATAATTTCCAAGCATCTGGTTGCCGGAACACCTATCTGGATCATTATCGTGTCCATAATTGGTGGCCTGCTAGTGCTCGCTGGGATAAGCTATTTGCTATACAAGGTATGACTTTTTCATCTAATCTGTCATGTTAACTTATATTAATTTTTAACATTAATTTTTATTTAGTTTGGCTTCTTTAAACGCGCCCAGAAGGATGAGTTGAACAGGTTGGTTCAGCAGAATCCTGTCGAGCCGGAGGCGGAGAACCTTAACAGCGGCGGCAATAACTAAGTTAGGTAAAAAAGGGTTTCCTAGCCTTCGTATACATCACATTCAAAATGGATGGACCAGTAACCAAATCCTATTTTCACAACGGGAAGACTATCCACAAAATGTGTTCTCATGCATTTAAAAAAGAGCGAAAAACATTAATAAAACGATTTACGACAAAAAATCTACCTTATAGGAGTACGTGCAACTTTCAAACCGCGACGCATACAATGTTCTTGCCGGTTTGACTTTCTAGTGGCATCCGTCAAGTGTGCCTTTTAATGTTTTAGTTAATAACTAATTTAAACGAAAGTCCCCATGTGTGCTACACCAGCCATATTGCCATTTGTTGTATATATTTATTAAACATTTTGAATTAATCATAATTGTAAAGATTTTGTAAAGGTAGCTTTACATGGCGACGCAAAAGACTTTATTACTGTGTATATTGTAAAAATAAAAACAATATTTTAAGATCGAAAACCACTTGTTTAGAACGTATTCTTGTATTATACTAGAGTATTGAAGCGACGAAGGATGAATAAAGAATGAATAAAGAAAAACATATTTTTATGGCGTGTGTCATTGGAAGACTAATTTAAAGTCTAAATTAGATGTTATTTTTTTTATAAATTTTCAAAAATACTTCTGTATATAAGTGAGTCAAGCAAAATTTGGATAATAAGCTGAAATACATAGTTATGGAATAGGTTAATATTTTTTGGGGTTAGGCTCAGAGTTCTGATTCATTTGTGGCTTCCCAAAATGCTGCTCCATCTCATTTCATTTCGATTCATTCAAACTCGAGTTTCCAAAGCGTTCGGTCGCAAGATTTCCAAAATTTCCGTACTGCTTCTTATTAAGTCGCAAAATTAAAAATGTTTTAAAGTGCTGCTGAAACTAATTATTTGATTTCAAATTAAAAATGTATCGACTTCTTCTTCTCATCATTTTGGGAGTTCTATTCCAAATCGAAGCATTCAATATCGCGCCCTATCCTAATCTAACGACGAAGTACCAGGGCCAAGAGAACCAAACGCGAAGCTCCTACTTTGGATACTCCCTTGTCATCCGCGAGAACACGTAAGTTTTAAATGAATTGATTTTGGTTAGATTAGCCTTTAGGGCAGAGTCCTGAAATATATATTTTTCATGAATATTTTCAAATTTTTAACTATGATTACAATAAATATTTAAAATATAAATAAATGTAAATTGTTTTGTATATTTTGATATCTAATTCTTATGCCAGGATATTTAAGAAAAAGTAAATTGAACTAAAAATAACCAAATCAGATATCAACAGCCCAAAATAAGTTTCTAAAATTTGTTGGTGGTTTTATTTTTCGTTGTAGATTTTTTAATTTTGATTAATAATTACAAGTTATAACGATCCAAGGACTCCGTACTTGGGACCCCTCCTTAAATATATTTAAATGAGTTGTCTCAGGGCAAGTTCTGGGAATTAATATTAATATATAAACATTTTAATATTAATATTTAGCATAATTAGAATCTTTAGTCATGTTTGTAATATTCATTTCTGAATCATCAATGATTAACTAATAATCATATATGACGAAGGATTTTGTAGAATTCGTTTACTGAGCAAACAACTAAATTTTAAAAAATATTTTTGTTTTTGTTTTATAAAATAACAGAATTATAGTTGGAGCTCCTCGCGCTAATTCCACTTTAGAAAAACAGCACGATATCATAGAGCCAGGGGTCATCTTTAGTTGCTCTCTTAAAAATGGTACCTGTCAACAGTATGAGATAGATTCTGAAGGTAACGACCTGAAAACAAGCCCCGATGAAAGTAGTCTAGGGTCTAAGGTCAAACATTATCAGTGGATGGGCGGATCGATGGATGGTGGCGTTCGGGATAACGATAGTCTTCTCGTGTGTGCCCCGCGTTTTTACAGTCTAAAAAGTATGTCTAAGGATGAATTTAAGAAGAACTCTATGATCGGAGTCTGCTACTTAATTAAAGAGTCAGGCACAGATAAACTTTGGCCATTAAAGGATGTGAAAAAACAAACGATTGTTAAACAAATCGACTCGAAGAATGAAACGTTTGCATACTACGAGATGGGTGAACTGGGATTTAGTAGTCATGTGTCGGATGATAACTCGAAAGCCGTGATGGGCGCAGTAGGTGTGGATGACTGGAAAGGTATGGTGTTTTTGTTTCAGCAAGGGCAACACTCATTTGATACCGGCCTGGTTAGGCGTGACACGAGTAGAGCACTCCGCCGCTCCAAACGAGAAGAATCCTGTTCCCACTGTCTTCCACAACCAAAAAACTGGGGCCAAGATGAACACTCATATTTTGGTTATGCTGTGAGCTCTGGTTACTTCGACAGCTCTAGACCACACGAACTCCTTTACGTGGCCACCGCTCCGCATGCTAAAAATAAAACCGGAGAGGCCTCTATCTTTCATATTCTTGGAAATGGGGAGAATATTACTATATTTCAAACCTTGAAGGGCAAACAATTCGGCGAATATTTTGGCTATTCCATTCTGGCGGAGGATATCAATGGTGATAAGAAAACAGACATTATAATATCAGCCCCTATGTATGCCACGAATGACCTCTACGACAGCGGTGCCATCTATGTGTTCATCAACAAAGGATCCGTGAGTGCTTGTTTCGAAACAAAATTAGTTTAACAACTTGATCATGGAAGACTAATGACAACTCATTATTGCAGTTCAACTTCGAGCGGACTATAATTGAGTCGCCAGCAGGCAGTAATGGCCGTTTCGGAACCGCTTTATCGCGCTTAGGAGATATCAATCATGACGGATACAATGGTGGGTTAACAACAAGAATCAAATTTGTAAAAATATATAAAATAATTTTTCTCCCTCTTCCGTACAGATGTGGCTGTGGGAGCTCCCTTTGACGGAAACGGATCGGTGTTCATCTACTTGGGATGCAAAAATGGATTGCAGAATCAGTCGAGTCAGCGTCTGGAAAATCCTTCCCAGCAACCTTCCAAGTATGGAGCACATATGTTCGGTCACAGCTTCTCCCGCGGATCGGACATCGATGGCAACGGATTCAACGACTTTGCCGTTGGAGCACCCAATGCGGAAAGCGTGTATGTATATCGTACCTATCCCGTTGTAAAAATTTATGCAAGAATAGTGCCTGAATCAAATCGGATCAAACCCGGGCAGAAAAACTTTACGATAACTGCCTGCTACAGTTTGTATACGACTTCCAAGTCGTCAAAGGTTCAGAATCAGGAGCTAGACATTCTGATTGACATAGACACTAAGGTAAAGACAAAGCGGATAAAATTTGCACACACTGATACCTGTCAGAAGCGGTTAACGGTGAATGCAAGTACCGATAAAGATTGTAAACCCTTTACACTTGAAATGATAAAAAAAGAAAGATCCGACTTCACACCCATCGCTCTGGAAATTCATTACGAGCTTAAGAAAAAGATTCCCAAAACGGAGGGTGAGCTTACAAATGGGTAATTAAGATTATTCTTTTAATAATGGTTTCTTCTCGAATAGAATTCTGCATTGACTGTGCGATTGTTAATCCGGAAGATGTGAGTTTTTACATGGAGAATATCACCTTCAGTGCGGGCTGTGCCAACGATGTTTGTGAGCCTGATCTCAAATTAAGTAGCAAAAATATGAGGTAAAGAAATATATTGGTATTATATTCTTGTTTTCCATTTTAAAAGAGCTTATGGATTTTTCCCAGATCCCAGTTTACTCTGGGTTCCACCAATGTCCTACGACTAAGCTACGATATCACAAATGATGGTGAGAATGCCTACGAACCTCAGTTCAACGTGTCCACCTCTCCTCGGCTGCCCTTTGCTCAGGTTCCTGGAAATTGTAAGGTCACCGAACACGTCATGGTTTGCGACCTGAAACAACGACTACGTCTGGTCAAAGGTGACACTGACTCTGTCACCGTCAGCTTCGATGTCTCCCAGCTCAGTGGTCAATCGCTGACGGTCCACGCAGCCTCACACAGTACCGGGAACGAGAAGAATTCCGCGGACAATAAACTAACAAATGTGATCATTCTGAAAGAGTTATCCGATATCGAAGCCAGCGGGTAATCCTATTAAAGCTCCTTTTATTTTTTTTTTATAAAAACTAAACACTTGTACTTTGATACAATTTCAGAGGTCAGACGAACGATAATCTTGTCCTCAGACATTACCCTTACTCCGGGGAAGTTATCAACCATTACGAAATCAAAAGCCAAGGCCCCAGTATTATCGAAGATCTAGCGGTGTCACTATATATTCCCGTGGCGTATTGGGCGAATGATTCGGAAAAATTTATTCCCATTCTTAATATATCCAGCTTGAAGATGGAAGCCAACTACGACTCTCATCTACTTCCCATTCAACTCTACGACCAGAATAATCTCCTGCTTAATAGCTTCACTGAGATTGGGCAGGACAACGAGAAGACCGCCTTATCCGTGGCGCGAAGGCGGAGGGATGTGAATTCTATTCAAGAGCCAAATGCTAACCAATCGGATGTCATCACTAATGAATTCGACTTAGAAGAGAATCTGCCAACAAATAAGACCATTGTGTTAAACTGTCAGGATACGAATAATACGATATGCATAAGAGCTGAAATGCGAATGAAGTTAATGGTGGATAAGCCAGTTAACCTGAATGCAAGCTTTATGGTAGATCTGAAGGATGTGGATGATGCCTGGGAGTACTTAGTCATCATGACTAATCTGACATTCGTAAAGGCGGAAATAGGCGATTCCTCATTGTGTTCACTGGTGATTCATAAGAAGATCGGGCCGAATGTGATAACTAAGCATGCCGAACTGGCCATCTGGAAGATAATTCTAGCCGTGATCTGTGGCGTTCTGCTGCTCTCAGCAATAACCTCTATTCTCTATAAGGTTTGTATAAGTTTGATTGGCGAATGTTTGATCTCTATCTTGATTTTATTTTTATTTTTATTACTAGAATGGCTTCTTCAAGCGTACCATGAAATACGAATTATCTAAGTTAATTCGTGATAGTTTTGAGGAGGGATTAGTAGAGGCGGAGAAAATGGAATACGCTAAGACGGATGAGGAAATGCTATCAGATTCGGATGAGGATTCAATGGAGGAGTCGTATATGGCTGCGAATAATATCAATTATGATGGAGTTTCAACAGAAGAATATTAGTTATAATTTAGTTTTAAAAATAAATTTAAAGTAAAATATTATATTTATTTTTATATTCTGTTCTGTTCTCTCAGTATTTGAATTTATATATGTGTGAAAACTGCTAATAAGTTTATGATTAAAAATAAAAATAAGGGAAATAAAGTAAATATATCTTATTACTGGAGTCATGAACAAACAAATGCCTTACAGGAATCATGCGATATAACGCACTTTGATTTTGTTGTTGTATGTATATATATATATATATATATGTATGTATATATAACCTTAATTTTTATCTTCTTATAAAAAAAATACAATCTCATGGGCTTTACCAACTCTCAATGCTAGCTACTCTATGAGAAACGAAAAAAAAAGTTGCGCACTGATATGGTTTATTTAAAATTAAATAAATAAAATTTTCTGCTAAAAACTAATATAACTTTATATCTCGAAAGGGTGAACTCTGCTTCTAAAATATGTTTCATAAGAACCGCAAACGAAAATGTTGTTTCATTTTCTATTGAGTCTTCGAAGAGTAAAAAGCTAAGAAGATTGTGAGCGCAATATAAATTTCAATCGGAAGAAGTTTCAGAAAAATATCAACAATTTTAATTTAACATTTAGAAAATTTAAGAAGTTTGTGTTAAAATGTTTTGCCACCTAGTTTTTGTCTATCTGGGATTGGTTTTCCAAATTGAAGCATTTAACATCTCGCCGCAGCCAAATCTGGTGATAAATTACCCAAAACATCTGAAAACTTTTCAGAACCAAACGCGAAGCTCTTACTTTGGATACTCCCTTGTCATTCGGTCCACCACGTAAGCTGCCTAGTTTATACAGATCTATAGTATCTACTTTGAAACAAATATATATATATATATATAATATATAATATATATATAATATATTGCTGAACTGTTAATTAAGTGTTACTCATTTAGGATGTTAGTCATGTAAAAAATTCCACTATGGCTCATAGCTAATCCTAATCTATTTTTGGTTTCTTTTTTATTAATGGCAGCATAATAGTGGGAGCACCTCGAGCTCAATCAACATTGGAACAGCAGAGCACACTAGACGAGCCCGGAGGGATCTATATGTGCTCCCTGAAAAGCGGAGTCTGCGATCCCTATGTCCTGGATAGCGTAGGAGATGTTGATGACCCTAGCAAGTGTACCACCTTTAACTATCAACGCAAGGATCAACAATGGTTGGGTGCATCTATGGATGGCGGGATCCGGGATGAGGATAATCTGCTCGTGTGCGCTCCTCGTTTTAACACACGTAGCTTGAATAGCTATCATATGGCTGGAGTATGCTACTGGGTACCAAACACCATTAACAGTACGCCTGACCGGGTCATGCGCATCTCCCCACTCCGTTTGAAATCGCTGGCAGTGATCCCTGAGGATAAAGAAAAAGGCATAAAGCCCTCATTTTATTACATGTATGGCGAAATGGGACTGAGTGCCCATGTGACGGATGATAACTCCAGATTTCTAATCGGAGCCGTGGGTATTGACCTTTGGAAGGGATCGTTGATCTTGGATTTTCCTGAAAACCAATCCTCCGTAGGCCGCACTATTCAAAATGTTGACTCAAACAATTGTGAATTGGAGAACAAAAATATCAGGGTCCCCGATCCGACTAACTGGGGTCAGGAAGAAGACTCCTACTTTGGTTATGCAGTAAGCTCCGGCTACTTTGACAGCGACAGACCATCCAAACTTCTCTATGTGGCCACAGCTCCTCATTCTAACTCTAAAGTCGGCGAAGCCTACATCTTTGATTTAACAGAGAATGGAACAAGCATCAATAAGTACCACACCTTCCAGGGCGAGCAGTTTGGAGAATATTTTGGTTACTCCGTTTTGGTGGAAGATCTCAATGGAGACGAAAAACCAGACATCATTATATCAGCCCCCCAGTTAGCTCTGCCGGATTCGCTCGATGACGGTGCCATCTACGTATTTATCAACAAGGGATCTGTGAGTAATTAGTTAATAAGCTTTAAAGCATGAGTAATGTTTTACGATATCGCTTTTTATTGCAGTTCAACTTTGAACGGACTATTATTCGGTCGCCAGCAGGCAGTAATGGTCGTTTTGGAACCTCTCTATCGCGTTTAGGCGATATCAATCGAGACGGATATAATGGTGGGCTAAGAATCTGTTGAGATCTGTAATTTCAAAATAAATGTTCTTTCTCTCTTCGCAACAGATGTGGCCGTGGGAGCTCCATTTGCAGGGAATGGATCGGTTTTTATCTACCTGGGCTGCGAATATGGTTTGCGGGGTCAGCCTAGCCAGCGACTGGAAGATCCTAGCCAGCTTCCTTCTATGTATGGATCACACACGTTCGGTCACGGCCTCTCCCGCGGATCGGACATCGATGGCAACGGATTCAACGACTTTGCCATTGGAGCACCAAATGCTGAGGTCACATATCTGTATTACACCTATCCCGTCGTAAAAGTGAAAGCAACAATCAAGTCGCAATTGCGACTGATCAAACCGAAGAAGGAAAAGGTGAATATCACCGCCTGCTACAGACTAGAGACCAACGCAACAAAGATGCAGGAGCAGGAACTGGATATCCGGATTACGATCGATGGACGTTTAAAGAAAGATAAATTGGAGAAGGAACAACCAAAGATAAGCTTCAAGGCAGTTGCCGGTCCTGACGAGACTTGTAAACCCTTTGAGATACAGGTGCTGTATAATAAACAAATTTTCATCGAATTGGTGATGCAATACGAACTAACAAAGAAGGTTCCCGACTCGAGAGGTAATCTTGGAAGTTTAGGCTTTAAAAATAAACAAATTAATTAGTAGTTATCTCTTATCCAACAGAGTTCTGCAAAACCTGTGCTTTAGTTGATCCCAGTGATCCGAAGATGTTAAAAGAGAGAATATTCTTCAACACCGACTGTGCCACCGATATTTGTGTCGTTGATTTGCAGTTAATCAGCAAAAACTGGAGGTATGGTCATGGAATATTATAAGCATGTGACTGAAATAGATTCTCTAAATTATATCTTAATAGCTCTACTTATGTTTTGGGCACTACTAAAGTCCTTGCTCTAAATTACGAGATCATCAACCACGGAGAAACCGCATACGAGCCTCGATTCAACATGACTACCTCTCCACGCGTGCCATTCGCCAAAGTTCCAGGAAATTGCCAAGTGACCAATGCGGTCATGGTGTGCGACCTAAGTCACGAAGGATATCTTACCAATAGTTCTAGCGAGTCTATCACTATTATCATCGATGTCAGCCAAGTGAGTGGAAAGTCGCTGTCCATCCAGGCAGAGGTATTTAGCTTGGGATATGAAAACAATGCCACGGACAACAAATATTCAAAGGCGATCGCTCTGAAGGAGTTCGCCGATATTGATGCCACTGGGTAAGTTTCAATAAAACTTTATTGTTTTTAAATATTACTTTAATTCTGCATTACTTAATAGTGGTCCCACAAACGATATTCCCTACCTAAAGTTCCCTTATTCCGCGGAAATCGTGAATCAATACGAGGTCAAGAGCCACGGCCCCAGTACTATCGATCATCTAGCGATGTCGCTATATATTCCCGTGGCCTATAGAAAGCCTGATTCTACAAAAGTTATATCCATCATTGATGTATCCAGCCTGAAGATGCACGCCAAATACGACTTTCATCTGCTTCACATACAACTCTACGACCAGAATAATTTTCTGATCAAGAACTTCACTCAGATCGGGCAGGACCACGGGAAGGCCACCGTATCTACAACTTGGAGTCATAGGGAAACGACTAACACTAATGAACTGCTCTTAAAGAAGAATCCGGATAATACGATTGTTGTAGACTGCCATGATACCAACACGGCCCTATGCGTTCGTGCCGAAATGCGGATTAAGTTAATGCCAGGTAAACCAGTTAACCTGAATGTAAGCTTCATGGTGGATCTTAAGGATGTGGAGGATTCCTGGGAGTACTTTGTCATTAACACCGATCTGACTTTGCTTAAGAAGGGTGACCCCATATCCAGCTCTTTTAATATTATAAAGAAGATCAAATCAAATATTATATACAAGATTGCTGGACTGTCCATCTGGATAATAATTATGGCCGTGATTGGGGGCGCACTACTTCTTTGTGGAATAACCTATTCCCTTTACAAGGTTTGTATTTTATCAATTAAATTTATTGATGTTAACTATATTAATATGATGTACATATATTCCCAATAGCTTGGATTCTTTAAACGCGCCGAGAAGGAAAAACTAAAGAACTTAATTCGACAGAGTTTTCATGAGCTGGATGAGGATGTAGAGAAGGATATGGAACCAGAACTCCACGAGGATAACTTTAAAAATTAAAAGAGTTTTACAAATTTCTTGTGAAATGCGCAAAAGTGATGTTAATTAATGTTAATAAGTTGAAACTTTCAATGAAATAGTTCAAGTAGCTTTATGAATTGAAATGCTTAAAGTGTTAATAATTTATTTTGATAAAAATAACATAGAATTCTTAAAATAAATATGTAAGTACAATCATAAATAGTTCATTAAAATGCATTGTTACGCTTAATCCTTGAAAATATTTAAGAACTAATTTAAATAATTAGCACACACTGGCCAAACATGAACAATTTTTAGCAATCTTTTCATATACCTAATAACATTAACACTATTTATGTACAATAATATCTAGGGCCGCCAAAAAATGGGCAGCTGCACATAGAATACATGAATTTTTCCCATATAAGCAAGTAAAATGGACTATCTAAGGATACGTAATACACGTTATGCTAACACACACACACATACAGACACACACACATTACAGAAGAGCTGATATCATATGGGATATCGTATATGGGTAACTCGAGTTACAGGTATAAGTACATTAGGCTGCGATAAGTTTCTAATTGAGTTGAGGTAAGAGCTCATGATCGGCTTGGATAAAGTAGAGTGGTTGCTTCCAGATATGTCTGTGTGTAATTTGCATGCAACATTTGCAATATGTATGACTGACTACATCTAAGAGTTTGTAAAAGTATCGAATATTTGAATATGTGCTTCGCATAACTCAGGCCTTTTTCAATATGCTTCTTTCTTAGGTGGTTTTCTATTGACAACTAACGAAAAACAGATCATCTATATCCTCCTGCCTGTAGAGTGTACAACAACAACAACAATGACGTTTTCTAAATAAATACTTGTATAAAAATACAGAGAATTTGTGAACTATGTATTGTCAAAATAATTAACACTTATGTAACTTTGCGACCCCTCCTCGAATAAATATGCATAATCTCTGATATCTGTTTACTAGATCCCAACGCTAGTTCTTTAACATTTTTATCACCCAACTCCTATGACTAGTTTTCCCCATTGAGCACATGATAACGAATATGTAGCACCAATGATGCATGGGCCTGCCCCTTCTAATTTGCTAACACATTGTCTCGTTGAACGGCGGGTCCTTTTCCGATTCGGTGCTGCTCTTAATGTTCGACGACAGCTTGGCGATCTCGTCCTGTACCAGATGTGTGCTGATCTGGGGTATGGATAGAGCCGGGTTACTGCTCTTGGCGGACGAAGCGCCGGACTCCTCCGTGCTGGAGCTGCTCTCCTTTAGTACATTCATGCCCAGCTTGCTCGCAAAGGGCTGCGGCTTGAGCGTGGAAATCAGTTTGGCCTGACCAGCCTGGGCAGCTTCCGGTGTCTGAGGCACTGCCTCGGCCGGTTGAGAGGGCTTGCCCTGGTCCACGCTAAACTGTTTCTTCAGCAGCATTGGACGCGCTGGCGGTGCCGGCGCTGCCTGCATCGTCACTGGCCCCGAGGCGCTTAGGTCCAGCGAACTGGAGCTCTCCTCCCGCAAACGCCTGCCATCGGCAGCGCCCACCGAGGCGGTACGTATGGGCTGGTAACGCGCCGTAGCAGCGCCGCCCACAGCGCCAACGCTAATGCTAATTCCCGTCGCCGAATGCGAGTCGCCGGCGTCCAGCGAGGGCTCCGCCGTCAGCGAAGGAGTGTCCACGTTGTAGGAGCCCGTCAGCGAGGTGTTTGTCTCATTGGAACTCTGCTTGATGAAGCGGTACGGGTGAGCCGAATAATCCGTCTCCGTGCTAGAATTTTTCTGCAGACTTTCACTGGACTTCTTAAAAAGCCGGCCGCTGCCCTCGTACGGTGGATTAAGAAAGTCACTAGTGGCCCGCGTGGGCACCAAGGGTGAGGGATAAGTTTGCTGCTCCATCGAGGAATTGCGCTGCCAGGGCCGTTCGTTCTTTAACTGAAAGCCACTCGAGACGACGACCATGGCACCGCAGCTACCAGCTCCGCTAGTATCGCTACTATCGCCTCCGCCGGCGCCGCCACCTCCGCCACCGCTCATCAGGTCGCCATCGACAGAGGGCTTTGAAGGTGACAGCTCCACGGCAGTCTCGCGTCGCAGCGGATAGCGATGGCTGTAGTCTATGGATACGTCGATCTAAAAAGTAAAATGTGACTTAATTAGGAGAACTCTAGTCTGTACTTTAATTCTTACCCCAAAGCCCTGGGCGCTGGCATCGATGGAGCCGCGTGACTCTATCAGTCCCTCCAGAATCTTGTAGTCGTTCTCCTCGCACTCCTTCAGATGCATCTTCTCCAGCAAAGCCGCAGCTTCGGCCCGTGACATTTCCGTTTTGGGGCGGTCCAAGGAAGCTATCGGTTCAATTGGGAAGAATCAAGCATTGAGTAAGATTTCAAAAAAGATAAAAAAGAAAAACCGTATGTGAAGAATATTTTCTTTTTTGGGTGCGGCGGAAGCAAGGCAATGATACGGGTGTTGCGCTTTCACCCGGTTAGTTATATACACTTTGCTCACGGATGTAAGAACGAGTTCGTGGATTCGCGACCCTGTGCTCCTCGCGGCCCTTGGGCCTGGCTTACCTTTGTTACTTGGCAGGGAGACTGTCGGCGATGCTATCATGTGGCAGACGCTCTCCAGCTCGTCCGTGATCGAGGTGTACTCGCTGTGTAGTTTCAGCAAGATATTTCTGGAGGGTTTCGCATGCAATACTGATTTACCTAAAGTTCGGAGTTCGTGGTTAGGTTCAGAGAAAAGATGTGTGCAAGAGAACGAACAACATTAAGGATTCAATTCGGTTAAGGTCATTGGTTAATGGTTAATGGCTAGTGCTAATTTGTTGGCCAAATCGGTTTGCTGGATTGGTTGGTTTGGATTGGTTCTTATTTCTGTGTTAGGTGGGATGGCATGACGGGATTAGTAGCCTGAATTTTGAGCGCAAATCGGAGGCCTTTTGTATTTTCCATCGTTCGATGGCTTCTTACCCGGATGTCCGGATCCCTGGCCTATGGGTGCATCCTTGTCGCTGTCCGGTTCCGACTGCGTTAGACTCATCTGACGGCGGGACAACGATGCCAACTGGTTGAGGCTGATGTGGGACCGATTGATGTCCGCTCCGGTCAGGGAGTACGTCTCCGAATTGCGCCGGCATAAGGATACAGTCCGCTGACGCAAGGCCCGATGCCTAGCAGCTGTTTTAGGTTAGAAGAAAGTTTTATAGGGATTCTAAAAAGTTTGGACAGGTACAGTGAAAACAACACAGCATAGAACAGAAGGCAACACAGAAGAAAGAAAGCGATATGATTCTAAAAGCTGTCGTCTTGGAAATTACCCTCAAAACTGATGTCTGGAGCGGCATCATCGGAATTGTCGCCTCCCACGAGCGTCTGGTCATCATCGTTGTTGCCCATCGGCGTGAGGGTGTCCTTACTCTCCGTGCTGGCACCCGTATCCTGTCGCACAGTCACATAAGGAGTCCGCTTGACCGTCTCACATGTCGATGGTCGCTGCGAGAGCGGAAGGTAGATGTCCGAGTCGGCCTCCGATTGCATTGACGCCTTGCGCACCACCTGCTCATTGAGTGCCTCACGCGACTTGACCACTTCGTCCGGTTCCTCTGGCAGCGGCACAACCTCAAAGTGGGTGCCCTCGTCGAAGATGTAGGCATCCGGGCGGACTTCGGTTAACGAACGATTGAAACGACGCCGGGTGGTCACCTGGATATATATTGGCAAAGAATTCGCACACAGAAGAAAATGGAATGTCATCGATTCAATGATTTATTGCACACAAAACGAACTTTAACATATCATAGTAAAATATAAATATATAAATAAATAAAAAAATGTAATATAAAATGTTAAAAAATGTCTAAAAGTTCTTTGATATATATCAAAGACCTCTGCTATGGCAACCCTAACTAGCTAGTTCTTGGATCGGAGAATATCAAGTTCAGAATGACATTTTCTGTCCCAGTGTGCTTGGTATTGCAGCGATATGTAATTCAAACGCACCTGCAGCGAATTTAAATTCAGTCCAGCGCCCAGACCAAGTGGTAACATGGCTCCACCGCCTCCTCCTCCAGCACTACCTCCATTACCGCCCGGTGCACCTCCAGCCTCCGTATCCGAAATGGAAATGGTGCGCATGCGCTGCATCTCGGCCGGAATGTTTATCGTTGAGCCGCGCAAATCATCCGTGCCAGCGGTGTGTGTCGACATGAAGCGATGTATGACGGCCAAATGGGAGAGTATCTGCTCCGAGGACTCCTCCATTTTCCGCAATCGGAACTCGATGTTCTGGAACACAATGAACAGAGTTGTATATTCATTGGTGTGGCATTCGAATATTAAATTAAAAACTGATGATAAATCGAATTAAATTTCCACTGCATGTATGTATATTCTTTTCTTCTTTTTTTTTTATGTGCTGGAACAATTGTAAAGGAAAAGCTGCAACGGCTGCAGTAAATGGTCACTCGGACGTGTCCAATTTTCAATTCGAATGTAAAGACGTGCTGTCAGTACCCATGTCAGTTTTGGGTTACACGAATCACCCAGGATATTTGCATAAAAATGCCAACAGATGTGAATTGAGATGTCAAAGGATGGGTACTGCTGACTACACACCTGAACGGTGGCTGTCTGTATGTTTTCCTTCTGATTGATGTCCTCGATTTTCTGAGACATGGTCTCCACCCGCTCCGTGGTGTTCTTCACCCGCTCGTCTGTCGACTGATTAAGGATGATTTCCTGCTCGTGAAAGAAGCCCTCCACGCACTCCTCCTCGAAGTCGTACAGCCGCTCCAGGTCGTCCTTTTCCAAGAACAGCTTGAGACCATTGTCCCGCTGCACCTCCAATCCTGCGGAATTCCGATCAAGTGGACACATGTTAAGGGCAAATTATAGGAATAAAAGTGAAAAAACCAACGATTGACAATAACAACAGCGCCCCCGGGGAGAAATTATATATACGAGTATATATAGAAAAAAACACAATGGAATCACAAGAAGTGAGGCAAATCGTTTTGGCATAACCCAATTAGGAGGAGGTGTTGTTATTGTTGTGTTGCCAAGTGGCCAGGTTGATTTCAATACAAAAGAGCAGGTGGCGTATACGTAATGCAGTTAGTTACAGAAGCACACGCAGAGTCGACAATTGTTGGGGCAGGCACGGAGGCAAGGAGAGAAGTTAGATATTTGTACATTATTGCTGCTCGGCTCAGAAAACCCACAGACACGATAGACTCACAGGGAACAAAGCTAAACTTGCTCATCCCGGGCTCACCTTTCGCCTTTCGCACACAGTACTTGAGCAGCGAATAGAAATGGCACAGCGCAATGAAGGGCGGCGGTAGGACAGGCTTCTGCTGGTACTCCATCACAACGGTGAACCGCTGGAACATCCAGACCTGATAATCATAGAAAGTGTATGTTAATATTTATATTACTCTATAAACCCTTCAAGCCTTCGATCGCTCCACTCACCTGATGCGAAACCGAGTTGACCTCGTTGAAGATGTTGTTAAACACGGCGATGAGCAGATTTATCAGCAGAATATTGGCAATCAAGAGATACATGGACATGGTTATCGGCGTTACCCAGTGTCCTGCAATCCAATTAGATGGGGTGTGTTAAAAATGTGGCAACTACCATTTTTTTCCCTCAGTTTCCAGAGCAATACTCACCGGTGACGCAGCCCGGCTGGCTGGGATCCTCGCCGCAGGGAGGGTCGATATCGCCGGCGAACACCTCGCCGTACAGCATGAAGTAGGGCTGGAAGGTGACCTGGACAACGATAAATTAAAATGACCATTAAAGCGCCATCTGAGGAACAGAGGAGGGAGAAAGAGGCATCGCCATCGAGACACGAAATGGCCGGGCGTAATTCAATTTGCGCCCGTCGCCCAACATTAATGCAAGTTTTTACACATTGAAACACAGTTTTTGGTTATTTTTAGTCATCACCTGATAGTATCTGTGTGTGTGTTGTTGTAAGGTGGGTGGTGTGTTTGTTTTTGGGATGCAACATAGTTTGATTTCTAATTTTCCGGGGCATTTCTTTTGAAATTGGAACCAGCATGCTAAATATTTACACATTGATATCCCAAACTCATTTGCATATAACAGCTGGATGAGAGACTAAATTAAAGGCTCTTTAATTAAAACTCAACTATTTGCCTTATAAGTATCATCTTTCATTCATTGAACAAACATCGATGCTAACCTAGGGCTAGGAATATATTTGCATTAAACTGCCAGCCAGGGGCAGCTTAAATTATTTCGTCATGCAAAACTGAAAGGGATTGGGATTAAATCAACGTCAGATATGTCGAGCAGCAAAACCAACACTTAAATTAACAAAAAATAGAAACAGTAATAGGAGCTTTGTTATAAATATTCATAAGCGAAAACAGAGTACACACATTTACCTTATACAAAGAGAGAGAGGAGGCAGAGAGCTGGTCTAAGTACTAGTTTGTACATCATGCACACTATATAGTAATATATTTATATTTATATATATGTTTCGAAAGGAAGAGAGGAGTTTCGGCATGCCGAACCTGGCCTTACCCTTGCAAATTCAACTCGGATTAGATTTTGGCAATCCTAAGTAGGACGGATTTTCATACGGACTTAACCAGTTTCCTTTGCAAGAGTCGAGAGTCGGGAAAACTAAGGAATGCGAGATTTCGGAGCAGAAGTAAGCTTTAAGTGGGGTTTCAATAGAGAGAAAGAGAGAGGAGAGAGCAAAAAATACATAGGAACAAATATTAGGGGGTATAGAAAATCGTAATCCAACGGGGTCCACACACATATATTAAACTGAAGTTGAAACAGAATACTTGGCACACACTGATCTCCATCAAGACACAACATCAACTATTAGACCACACCAATATTATGCAGCACATCCGAATATTATTTATTTATTTTAATTTTGTTTTTTTTTTTTTTTTTTTTGGAGACGCAGCTAGAGCATTCTACAGTCGGCTCTCTAAATAGCAAACCAAATTCACGTCAATCACAAATTTTGCTTTACATTTGTCAAGTTGCCGCTCGTCAAATTCATATGCTCATTGTGGTTGGCGGTGGTTGAAGTTGGAGTTGGCGTTGTAGATGTTGCCGCTGGAACTGTGGAGCTGGAACCTGTGGTGGTGCTGGCCGCAGTGGTGGTCACTGGTGGTGGTGCACCCATCGTATGGTAACCACGATGATAGCTGGAACGGGTATTATGCCCCAAAGCACCTAGAAATCCAGGGGCCGTTATTGACCCGGCAATAACCTGGCATTGGTTTTTTTTTTTTTTTTTTTTTTTGCCCATTTAACGAACAGATTTAAGGGGGCGATTTATGCGTTTAAAATGTCAAAAGGTGAAAGGCGAGAAAGTGACAGATTTGAGTTCGAAAAATGTGGGGGACAAATGACAGTTGGATGACAGAAAGAAAGAAAGAAGAGTACAAATACAAGAGACAGTCAATTTAAGCGGCAATTTTTGTTGTTGATTTAAAGTGATTTGTTGATTAAATACTAATTAGTCAGCTACTTAATATAAAGTGAAATGTGGATGGAGCACCAATCGACAAAACTACTCGTAGTAAGTAAAAATGTTTCGCTTGCAGCACTACTGAGGAACGCAGGCCAAAAACTTGCTTTGCTTGCTATTTTTAAGTAAATGTATGTACTCCGCATCGTTAGTTTTATGAATAGTTAAAGCTGCCATTGGAATTCTTCGTAAAACACACACTCTCTTTTTCTCTCTGTGTGAGCTTATTGGTTGTGTGTGTGTGTTAGTAAGGCTGGCATACGCACATACACTTAGATCGTGGGAATTAGTTTATTTACAGGAAGTTCGAAGAGAGTTTTATGTGATGTAACCTACCTCTTTGATTAGACTCCAGGTGGGTTGCTTGTTGGGGTACAGGATCGCCTGTCTGCTGACTCCAAAACTCATCAAGACGACGGCCAAGAGGACCACGAAGTATATCATGTTCTTCACCATTTTACCCATCATGGTGACCAAAGGACCTGTGAAAGATTAGTCAGGACTAACTTAGTTTCCAAAAACCCTTAACTTAAGAACCCTATAACTTACCCAGATATTTATTCACTCCCAGAATGTTCAGGATGCGCAGATACCAGTAGATGCTGTCCACACAATAGATGACCCTGCCAATGTCCATGGTGTTCTCCCGGAATCGAAATGCCAGACCAATGACGAAGAGTATAATGGCGGCACCGTCGCACGGATTCCACATATTCCACGCCCACACCGAGAATTTATGCCTGCTCGCCCGCCAAATATCCGAATTAATGGGGCCCATCGAAGATGCGTTAATTCAAGTGTGAACGGCACATATTGAAGACAAAAAGTAATGGAAATGCGCAGAACTGTGAAATCCGCCTCAGCTTCATTTGCACTCATCGCCAGATGCAATTAAACACCAATGATTGAGGTGCGCGTGTGTATGCGGGAAGAAGGGGGTCTATAGATATATGAGGTCTACTTACGTAATGGCCACCGGTTCGGAGGATATTATTTCGCGCACCTTTTCGAAGCCCAACGTTGTGATATATGCTATTGAGTACCACTCTTGCCACCGCGGCATCTGGTCCATCTTCACCAGCACAGTGAACGAAAACATTATGAGAAAGAACATATAGGCAATCTGTGAAGGAACAAAGTGGAAACTGCTAGTGAGTAAACCACGAAAAATAATTAAAAACCCCATACGCTTATTACAAGGGCCACAGACTGAGAAAAATGGCTAGTAATGTTGGCAAACTAAGCCAAAATGTTATCTTTAATTTTTAGATTTGGTTATTTAACCCTAAAAACCCATTAATAGTAATGCTTATCTAGTCTTTGAGATTCTAAAAACTTCATTAACTTCTTGTTAACATACCCATAAGTTACTGCTTTTTAATCATATTAACAGTTTATAATTTTCTCCCAGTGCTTTACTAACGGAAATGAATCACCCTACCCTTAGCCAGGTCGATAGTAATTTCCGCCACTTACCGAATCGGCCCAGAACTTGGTTATGGGCGCCGTATAGAACTCATAGAACTTCTTCTTCAGGCGCAGCGGCTGGTGCTGTTTCACCTCGTTGTACTCGGAGAGATTGAAGAACTCCCTGAACTGGGCTGGATCCGAGTCGGTGAGGGAGACCTGCGTAAAAATACTGACGATATTAGTGGACCTCCAACGAGGCTTAATAGGGGATGCTGGAGAATAGTTTTTTTTTTCGGCCTTAATTAAATCATCAATGTGCAGTGAACATTCAAAAGAGAGGCACGTGGGGATATGCATATATATTTTACATTGGAGAATACATATAGCGTATACGCCCCATTGAATCAGCGTGTCAAATGTGATTTTGGTTTTGCTTTTCTAATTAATTTTCTGGTGTTTAAGGCTGGAATTTCTGTTGCTATATATATACTTAAACGCGTGTTTAGTTTCCAGACACAACATGCAGAACAAGTTAATTAATTGGAAGCATTATGCAAAACAAAATGGTTTAGCCGCAGGGAATCGGAGGAAAGTGTGCTGACAAATAAGTAGCAACTAGAGCAACTTTACTTCTACCGAGGAAAATCGAAGAGAATTTAATATCTATATATAAGAAAAGGTGTTTGTGTGTATTTCGTTGAATTTTGAACAGCAAATGTTCGCAAAATGAAGCTACTAAATAGGCATTCCAAAAAGGAATCAAATGAGGCAAACTACCAAAGCCAGCTAAGAGAAATGCCATTGAAATCAAAAAAAAAAGAAAAAAAAATAGAAAGGAAGATCTTGAGGGAGTAAAAATAATATCCGGGTTCAACTAACTTTGGAGGGCTGTTCTTCCGCTCCAGCAGTGAGATTAACCTGTAAAATTGATACGATACAAGTACTGGGACATTAGAACGATGGTGTGTGTGTGTGATTGGCTGTGGGAGGTATCTTTGGTTTGGGTTTGCAATTTATACTATCCCTAGATGGATAACTGATGTGCTGACTGGGTGAATACCATTTTGTCATATGTATTGTGTTTACCTACGAATCGAACTACAATAATCAAATAGGAAATAAAAAATAAATAAACAATCGAAAGGGGGAAAACGGCATTTCGTTTATTCTTGTTTTTTTTTCTGCTCGGTGCTGTCATTTCAAGTTTACAAAATGTTATGGTTCTGAGCAAAATGCCAGTCTTATCGCATTCTGAGTTCTGAAGGTTCTGAATGAAAAAAGTGTATATATATATACGACTATGTTGGTTTATGAAGGGCGGTGTGTGTTGTGGGTTTGTTTGTTTGTTGTTTTTTGATTGTATTTTTTCTGTGAAATTACTCACTTTGCCATTTTCGTGTACTTTTGTATCGCGCACTGAGTAAGTATCCGCCAATAGAGCCTGCAACAATCGACGCACATTTTTCGCATTTATCAGATATGGAAAATCACTCGAAAGTTTTTCATTTTAATAGACTATTTTTTGAGCGGTGATCTTTGGACAAAATACTTGAGTTCAGATGATGAAGTGTAGAGAAGTGGTTGTGTTTTTAGTTTAGGTACAGATTTCCAGAATGAAATGTTTAAGTTTGAAAGATATTGAAATTATTTTCCAATAAATTGCTCACACATAGGCATTCCACAGATACATACGAGTATATACAAACTACAATTAAATACTTGAATTAACCCTTCCCCCTCATTACCACTTGCACTCAATGGACTTTAATTTGATTTGGCGATTAAGGGATTAACCCCAATCTAATTGGAAAATGGTTGGCTATGGAATCAGGGACCTTGTGCAGTGCTTGGTGTAACTGAAAAACAATATTTGCACAAGTGCCAAGCTTTTCCTCTCGAGACTTTCTCCTGGAACTGTGGCATTTGATGGGGTTCTGTGTGGTGGCACCCAGAGTGGTTGGTGACTGCTGAATGTATAAGTTTGTGCCGAGATTATTACTTAATTTAAGTTTAAGCCCAGCTCTCGGCTGTTGCCAATGATTTTCATTACATTGCTAATGGAAATTCGCACTTAATTTGAACCAATGAGAACTTTAAAATTTTATGGCAAGCATTAGGAGGCTACTTGAATGTTGAAAATGTTAGATGGGTCGAAGGGTCACTTACATCTGTTGAGTTCGAGGCACTCTTAAAGGAGGGCGAACTGTTTTCAGCTGGCATTAGCTTGCACTTTGGAAAATACATAGTCAAATGATAGTTAGTAGAGAAAGTACATTACATTAACAGAGCTGAGAGCGAGAGATGTAATGGATTTTAAATGATTTCCCAATTTAAAGACTTGAACTGGAGTTGATAGTTAACCAAATGAGATGAAAACTGCTGCTGCTTGATTGGGTTTCTCTAAAGATAATATAATTCGCCAAATAAATCAATAAAAATTAAACTGTTTTTCTGTGAGCCTTAATAGGGAGACCCTTTAAAAGTAAATGAATAAATTTTGAAAATTATTGGAGCAGAAAAAGTAAACCAGGTCTAGTACCGAAAAAAACTATTGATTTTCTTTTTAGTTGAGTTTTTCTGTGAGCAGGAAATTAAGAGAAGTATTTATTGAATGGATTTCCCTTTAACTTAGGCCTGATGAAATGAACTAATAAAGACCTGAACTGATTTATCAAGTTTTTAACTCAAATTATAAACCCATCAATCCAAATTCGAAAGTACATTTACACCAAATAACTTTACAGACCAAAGCACAAATCTTAACTAAACAAATATAATGTGAAGATATAGTTAGTTCGATTCCGATAGCAAACCAAGTAAAGTACATAAATATTTGTGTGATCTGGCTATCAGACAGATACAGAGACAGAGACAGTCATAGATACAGATATAGATATAGAGTTATAGAGCAGAGACAGCAAAGAGAACATATACGTGTGTGTATGTAATATGCATATAAAGATAGATAGATAGATAGATTTAGACGACTTTGAACACCAAAGAAACAGGAAGTTGGCTTAGATCTGATTGGTTGTTACTACCTTGTCGCGATTATTAGCACCCGCGCCCATCCTATATCTCAAGGAAATGGATCTTTTGGCTTTTAAAAGGGCGCTCTATAAACAGACAGATTTGGATTTAAGGTTTGATGAACAGCATAACGATTTAATAACTGGTTAATGGTTAAACTTTATATATGTTAGATTAGTAGAATAAATTTAATAACTAAACGCTGACGCTGAAAAACGTATAAGGCACACATATAGGACTGGCACATACAGACAACGAAACCAAATCAAATGGAAAGTTAGTAAGAAATGAACAAAAAGTAACAATTAAGTTGAGATTAAAACATCAAGACATATACCTCAGCATCTGGCTGGGAACGATCTGAGTCATCATTGTCCAGATTCTGGTTCTCCAGATGCTCCTCCTCAGTCTGCGGCATCTGTTGCAGCTCCTCCTTGGACTTAAAGTCCAGCTGCCTGATGTAGAAGGGCATCGCCAAGCCCAAGATGACCTGAGAATATCATAAATTTATCTTTTTAGTCAGCAATTTACTGCTTAACCTTATGAACTCCCACCTTAAAGTTGGTATTCTTGCGGGTTCGCAGGCCACCCATCCAGAGATCCGCCAGGATCACCTGACTGCAGGGATGAGCCAGCAGGGCACGATGGTTGGCCGCCACAGCCAAGGAAAGGCAGCTCTGATTTGACCACGAATGCAGCTCACAGGTTAACAGCCTTTGGGCCTTCTCAGCATCCTGTCGGTAGCTAAAGTCCAGCAACTTGTTGCCTGAAAGCAACAGAATGAATGGTATTTATGGGTATATTAGAATAACAACAAATTATAATTTCATTTATAAGAACGTCAAGATACCCAAACTAACCTTTACTTTCAAACTCTTTGGCATAGGATCGCAGTTCCTCGTAGATCTCCGTGTCCAGGTCATCCTCGGCCGCTTCATGGGCCATGGCCTTGTACAGCTTGCAGGATACCAAAGACTTAGCCAGAGCCTCTTCGCCGTGTGTCCACATCAGCAACGCCATCTGCTGTCGCTTGGTCAGCACGGCCCAAATCTGGAAAACAATCTCGTTGTGCAACAGGGCGCATGAGTGATATACGCTGAAAATCACTTACCAGCAGCTCGTTGAAGGGGAACTCGAAGAGGGCCATTTCCGAGGTGAATGGCAGCAAACCGGTGACCAGGCTCAGCGAATTGGCTCCGGCATATCGCTGGTATTGGTAGGTGGAGGACTTACGGCAGGCGTTTGCATAGCTGTTCATAACCTTGGCGTAGATGGGCCGGAATTTGCGGCGCGTGTAATAGGATCTGAGGAAGATGGTGGGGTAGATAGAGTACGCAAATCTAGTTGGGATTGGGTTGCTCTTCTCTTCTTTTTTTCTGGCCTTCTGCCCAACGGCAGCAATCTAATACTCTCGAAAATTTGCCTCAGCAAATTCGCATTGTATCTGCTTTTTTCTCAAAAAATAGAAATGCCAACTGAATGATGGACATCCGGTTGCTGGCGGGTAGACTTGAATAACAATGAAAACGGCTCCATTTCGAATCTATTTTTTCCAGTTTTTCCGCCCTTTGTTTGCTCACAGCTTAAGAGATTTCCAGCGCGAAATGTAAATGTAATTTGGTCTGCGTTCTCTCAAGAAGAAACAAATTTATTGGCCTGCCCGAAAAAGGAAATTTCGAAGCACCTGTGCAGGCTTTTATGAGACGGCAATTAAATTCAGCACATCAACGGAAAACGCGTATAAATTATTTATGACAAATAAAAGGCAAATCAATTGACTTGGCCCATGAACTTGAGCCCAGAGAACAGGCAACAGGCCTTCACATTTTATGTTAATCAAATCACAAAACTTTAACGCTTTTAATTACGCCCAACTTGGCAGCCATTCCGGACGATGCCTGTTCTCGACACTGACGACACATTTAAATGTCTAAAGTCTAGACATTGAAAACAGGGAGCAACAGTCAACCAAAAACCAGTCAGAAACCAGAGGTAAGCCAGCCAGTCAGCCAGCCGACCGAGAAAAGGCCAAGGACCGAAAATGCCAAAAACCCTAATTTAATATAAACACATCAGTTCTGACGCCGGCTCATTGGCCAGATAGCCTTTTGCCATTTAGATGGGCATTTGTCAGATAACTTTCGGCCATGGCAGGTCCTTTGATTAAAGCACAAAGGCCAAGAATCACGGAAACAGAGCCAACAAACGAGAACTACAAAAGACAAGTAGTGTCAAATTTGTTTGCTTATGGCTAAGGGGATCTTCCAAGCTCAGTAAATAAGGGCTCAACTTGAGGCTTTATGGAAAATAAAAAGCAAGCCAAGGACTCAGACAATTTAAACTGATTGAATGTAAATAGATTTATGCATATTGATTTATTCAATTTAGTTCTATCAAATTAAGATAAGCAAAACTATAAAGATGTCTGTTTTGTTAAAACTTTTTAATGAAATTCCTCAGCTTTAGATTTTAATGTCTAGCTGGGCCAGAAGTTGACTTGTTAAGGCCACAATTTGCTGCATGATTTTTAATTAAATTGAGTGATTCCAGAGCGAGCGGTCAGTTGCTTAACCAACGTGTTTTTATTGAAACCACAAACCGTTTTGCCACCCGGGCTCGTTCGGAGGAACCCTCTGACCAGCACCAACGACCGCAACTTATGAACGATATTAAACAGCATTGTGGTCGTTGGAGCCGCGTTAACTGAATTTAACCAGCCACCCTCTTGCCGTTTTAGCCTTGCTGGCAAAATATTAATGCTGCATAATTAAGGGGTGCTTTGGCCCTGGCTTCCATCCTGTTCCTCTGTTGCCCTTTGACTTTGGCGTTCCTACTCCAATCTGCAGCATCACCAGCAGCAGCATCAGCATGACAAAGAGGAGCAAACTGGCAGAAGGAATGCCTTGGCAACGAGATGGGGCTGGGGCTCCTCTCTTCTAAACTTGATGTGCAAACTTATTACACTTTCATGAACAAATTTCTCAAACATCAAGTTTAATCCGCAACACGTTAAAGGATGACTTTAGGCCCATTGCGTTTTTGGCTTGTGGTAACCTTTTTTTCTTTTTTTTTTTGGGTAAATGTAGGCTCCGAAGTTTTAGGGCTAGATGGCAAGGTGTTTTTCGTGGTTTATTAAAATTTATCATTGTCTTTTTGTGGGTTTTTTAAGTGACCTATTTGGCAAAGGCAAGGAAGGAGTACTTTTTAAGGGTTAGTTGTACAGCTCAAAGGTAGGGCTAGGAAATCCCTTAATTAAACCTTTGGAAAATGTCTTAAATTTAAATGCATTGCAATGTTCAAAATTCCTTTGAAAACTGTGCATAAAATGTATTATTAAGAGGTCAAGGAAAGCTTTGTTTAATGCTATCAACAAGTTCCTTATTTCTGTAATAGAAAACCTTAAACTAATACTAAATCTGAATAAAACCCATAAAAATTCAGAAAAAAAAGTACACTAAGAAGATATACAATCACTGCACCAACTTAGCCAAACTCAAATAAGTAATTAAAAACATTTTAAGAAGTACCCTGAGCTATTTTCTTAGGGATTTGCGAGCGATGATGATGACCAATGGGAATAAAGGGGCTTATCAATTTCTTTTTCGGCTTGCAAAACACACTCCCCCCTATTGAAAAGTCGACTGTGGAAAACATAACAGCTGGAAAAGCTATGGCTATATAGGAGTGCACTCACCGATATGCGCCGCCCATTAGTTTATTGATCACCAGGCCGATGTCGTGAAGCGTGTAAATGTAGCCCTTGGGTATGTGGGGTCGGACATCGCGCAGGATGTAGCTGCGGGCACAAGGACAATGTTGAAATTTACATAGGCCGAAATGAAAATATTTTCAGGGGAGTGAGGAGAAGTGGTTGTGGTTTTTGGGGTATAGAGTGATTGGGACGTCCAGTTGGGAACTCACCCCAATGTATTGGCCGGACCGTGTTTGGTATTGTAGAGCTCCTCGAGGCGCGGTATTGTTAAAAATTTCTTCATCGAAACGCCATTCTCCAGGAGTAATTTGACAAAATCGATTCTATCGTGCTCCAGGGCCTGCATCATGGCCTCGTCCAAGGCGCCTGCCAAGAGACATTGTAATTTAAACATAAATGCAAAGGGGATGCTTTTTCTTCTCCCCTCAAGGACTCATCACCCACCATTGGGCCATTCCTGGCCATAAACGAATATCTCGCTGCGCGCTATGTCCACCCGATTCCACGTCAACGCAAGACTCAATTGCTCTGGAGGACTGAGATGCTGCGACTTGAAGAGGGCCGTTAAGATGGTCTGATCCAGCTCCTGTGCCTCGCCCTCGGGCTTTTCCTGTATGCGAAAGACGGTAATCTGGCCAAGAAATTGAAAAAATATATACATATATATATATCTCACTAAGTACATATATACATAAAAACAAAAAATAAAAACAGAAAAAAACAGCCAAAGTATCTCTTAATGTAGACCCCCGTCGCACATAATTTGTTTGCCTAGGCCTGTTGTTGGCCCCCGGGCAAGGACATCCTAGATCCTGCCACCGCCGCCGCAGCGTGCCTCATTCAAAAACCAATTAAAATCTTAATAACAGCTGCGGCGGAATTGACGAAATGCCAGCCACTTTTTGGCCCACAAAAATATAAAATATACGAGCATTCGCTTTCACACTTGTAAGGAAACTCCTGTCTGCTCTTCTCGACGGTGATTTCAAATTCATTACACGTTCAATTGAATTTTGTAGCCTAATTATTTCAACGGTTCTACGGGCATTAATTAAAAATTTAAATCGCTGCGCGTAAAAGTCTCAAGTGATTGAAAAGTTAGCCTCTCACACTGCGGTTTAACTTCGAGGCTTCCATCTTCCAGGGGGCAACTTAATTGTGGAAAAGCCCCGCAGGGTTATGCGATTTTAATTGATTGCTCCACACCTATAAATAATATCTGGGAAAACTCACCTGCGGCTATTTGCTACACTTTGTGGGGGTGTAACTATTCAGGGGATGGAATTTGAAATACTAAATAAATAGTTAGGGCACTTAGAGGGAACTTTTTAACCTAACATGACATGAAATTCACTTGTTTATACTCCGCCTCTAACTTAGTTTTGATTTATTTTGAAATTTTCTATTAAACATATCAAAACAGGGGAACTTCAGGCTTAAAAACAGAAAGAAGGTTGACATAAATTTGAATTTTGTAAATATTTTAATTAATAATTAAGGTTATCCTTTGCGAGTAAAAATACCTTTGAGAGTAATTAGTCTTAAAGATTTCCTAAAACAAATCAACATTTATAACTCCTTTCTTTAAGGGGTTAAACCTTTGTATTTCCCATTCCCTCTTCAAAAGCATTAGAAATCCATTAAATTCCTCCCTTTTACCCTCTTAATAATATTAAAAGACAAAAAGACACAGAAAAGCCATCAGCTTATTGTTAATTACCTAATCATTTAATAACATCTCTTATACTTTGTAACTTAACAATTAATTAGTAGATGTGATAGCTCATTCCTATAAATAATACTAAGCAATACACCAGAGGTCCTTACCTAGCCAAGTTTTAGTTTAAAAACGAACTTCTAAAGGCCTTTTCGAACCAGAACACGAACTAACTTTAACATTGAAGAACCTCCCCCTCTTACTCACCAAATTCTTGTTCCTCGTGCACTGCAACAGCTCCTGATAGAGTTTCTCGGATTGGTCCAGGCCCACCTCGAAGGTCTTCTGTATGGTCCCAATGAGATAGTCCCGCATAGACTCCAGCACCGGCTGTTCCTCGCCATCCGAGGCGTATCTGCATATAAATGTTGTCAGATACAAGATACAGTCACAACTCGAGAAAGGCGCCCAATTATTCAGACTAATTAAACAACAAAATTAAATGTGGCAAACAACGAAAAAGGTTCGTTGGATTTAGGGGGTGGTGGCACCCCCTCCTGTATTGTGTGTGGTTTACGTTGGGTAAATTTAAATAATTTGCCAAATGTCGCGTGCCAACAGCCGTGCCGGGTCAAAGGACATGCCAACATGTTCTTAATTAAATTTACACACAAACTGCGGTTACTCTTGATGAGAAGTTGCCCCAGGAACGAACCCGCTTTAATGCCAGACAATTGCCATATATCTTAAAGCTAAGCACCCCCAAAAAAAATATAATAAAACATATATATATATATATATGTGTACTCACTTGTGGACGAAGGCGAGCAGGTCGGCGGCACGCCCGGATCCGTCACATACGACAACCGGAACGGGCGGCGAGTCCGTCACGTACTCGAGGACCGCACGTATCGTGTTGGTGCCGCCCTCGATCACCAGGCAGACGACGGGCGTACTGGAATGTGTGACTACGGGAGAATGGCACAAGAGGTAAAGATTTTGAGTGGAGCAATCCATTTGGTGGGGTCATGCAACGAGCTTTCTAGTCTGATTCATTCAGGGTGCAGGCCGTCTACTGGGGATTCAACAGGTCGATTGGTGACTCTTTTTCACCTGATGTGTCAGTACACTCAACAAAAATTCATAAACTAGTTCTTCAAAATCAACAAAAATTTTGTATAAGTTTGAAAATAATATCTGTATGCTTGATAGATAGAGGAAAATATTCAGTATACTACAAATTATCTTTCGACTAATAGTAAAATGATATATAGTATAGCAGTTTAGATTTAATAAATCGAATAAAAGAAGATGAAACTAGTTTGGCTTGGAGTGAGAGTTTCCAAAAAGATGATTTCAATGTTTGAAGCGAAGAAGAAATTATTGTTAAGAAAAGGAAATATAATTTCAGTATACCGTTTGTTTTAAGCCAGTGATTCTTTGCTAGAAGTATATAAGTAAATTTTAAAAATGTCTTAGGAACTGTTTTTAATCAGTGATTAATACCAATATATTAGAATAGAGACTATGAGTTACATACTGAATGTTATTTAGTTTGTAAATTTCAAAGTTAGTCTTACATTCCTGTACAATTTCACATTTTTCTGTCTCTAAATAGATATTAAGCAGGAAGAACTCTATAGAGGAACATCTCATTCAGCTAGTTCCTTTCCTTTGTTAACCAAAATGTTAGAACAAACCCTCTTCCCCCTCATCTGAACTAAGAATAACATTTCTATTGTATTTTTCCGAGTGCAATCATAACTAGCAACGACAGCTAGCCACATCAGACTGAAAATCCCCGCCATTGGGAGCTTAGCCCGCGGCATTGGCCATGAAAAGAAATCGCTTTCAATGGCCACCGATGACAAGGAGCCTCAATCTGAGGCCTGATTGGCCTTTTGTGCTGTCATAGCTGTCATATTCTGGCCTTTTGTCCTCAACTTACATGGATGTAGCTTCAGGTTGGATATGAACTTCTCCAGTTTGCGACGCAGTATCAATTCAGCGCCATACTTGGCCTGGGTACCATTGTCCACCAGCAGAAAGTAGGCATGGCGATTGTTAAGCACCGCCAACTTGGATCTGCAAAAAGAAAAGTAACAGGTGGCCGTTGCATAAGGTTAGATTGCAATAAGTTACTCGATTTAATTGCTCTGGGAATTGCAACAGCTAACAACTAATGAATTTTTTAAAAGCCAGTCCAAGGTTCAGTCACAGTTTAACCTGTTGCCCTGCTTATTGGCCGCATAAAATATGCATTGCCCTCATAGAACTCACCTGGGCGAACTAATGCTGTGGCAGGGCACTTCGCGGTTGTGACCCAACAGCTCGTGATTGCGCTCCACAATGCCCCAGGGGGCGATGCCGATGCTGACCACGCGTCCTGTCCGCTGTTGACCCTCCAGTAGCAGGGCGTCGCCCACTTGCTTGGTAACGCCTGTGAAAGGACAACAATGGCCACGTTGAGCAAGTGCGTAAACAAGTTTGTCTCCATCGAGGATTGCGATATCCTCTACGCCCGCAACTTTCTCAGTTTCAGTTTCAGTTTCAGTTTTTATTTTATTTTATATATCTTAGTTGAGGGGGCGTGTCTAAAATTTAATAACAACTCGAGCACAAAACCCAGACGAGGACAAAAAAAAAGGACCAAAAAGCAGTCGAATGAAAAATGTAATAAAGTATACAGGACCTCATATGCGACTATGATATGCGCTACTATCTGATGGGAAAACGACGGGCTTCCTTTTCATTTCGTATTTCCATTTTTGTGACATCAAAAAGGAAACTATTCTATGTACCTGTTTTCTTTTTAAGCCAAATGAAGTGAGTGAAAAAGTTTACATATTCAGAAATTTCTTTTTATAAAATGAAAAACTTTGAAAGGTCATCACATGCTCTATGAAAGTTCATCAAATATTGTAAAATTTAATAACAAATTATTCTGTTTTACAGTTCGCTTTCTCCAAAATTCAATTAAAGGAAAAGCAAGCCAATTTTCTGGCTACCCCAATGTACTTATGTCCACCCTTCCTGGCTTGATAATCCAATTTATTTGGGTTACCAGATGCATCCGCACCTCCATGCCATCACACCCCTCCGGAATTCGGGTATACCCTGAAGATTGGCCCAAAACTGAGTAGCACAATATGTTGACTGGCAAGCAGTTGAAGTGTGTACAATCACTGGCTGCGTGATTTCCGCTTGGGATTTTATTTATTTAATTTTCGACTGGGTTCGCTCATCCACACTCTCTGTGCCTCCTCTTTAAGTTTTTCCGGGCCCATATCCCTCTCTCTCTCTCTTTCCCTTTTTTATTGTTTGTTTGTTTTTCTTGCTCATTTTTCTTTGTGCTTATTTAAGTTGGCCTGCCCGTAATCGTTGGCCATAAAACCGGGCCAGTAGTGTCCTTTCATAAAACTTAAATGAAACGGAATGCTCACCGGTGTTTGTGCCGCCGGTAAATATCCAGGCACCCGTGGTCTTGGCCGCCTTCAGCAGTCCTTTGCGTATCTCCTGCGAATCGAATAGAAATCAGTTTCCTTTCCCAGGATGCCATGGCCATTCAATTAGCGTTTGACACACGACCCTCCTCCTTTTTTTGGGAATCGGTTCGTTTTTTGTGTAGGCCAAAGTTTTGCCATTTTGCTCACCTTTTTCAGCTTGGCCTGCAAATCAAAGTTGGCCTTGCCGCCCTGCACGGTGATCAAAAGTTTTGGCAATTCCAGATTCCATTCCTTGGTGAATAGTTGCACCAGCAGCTCTGGCCGCGTGTCGAACGACAGGCGTACATACTGGCCAATACAAAAAAAAAAAACAAATAGATATGCCAAAAGTTATTAAAGACCGCACTAAAAGAGATTGCTGCTGTATATACCTGAGCCTTTGTGGGATGGGCACCGCCCTGGAACTCGATGGTACCATAGGCATCTGTGGGCTGCGGCCGGGTGTGCTTTGTGGGCAGCCAAAGGTCTCCGGGCGATCCGCTCTCGATGCCCGGAATCGTTTGATGTGTGATCTGGGCCTGACCACAGCAGCATCTGCAGAGAGGTATCAATTTAGTCAAGTAAATGAAAGTGAATAAGTTTGGGTTCTGTATTTTTGGGGTTTAAATGGAATAGAAATATATGGAAAGTTGATAAGTTATAAGTGAAAAGATAACAATGTCAAATACAGCCATAAATCCTATAAAATTAAGCTAGAAAGCTATTCATATAGCAGGAAAGTTTGCTTTTTGTAATAGCAAAACACTTTAAAGAGTCGAAGCTTTTCCTCTTCCTTAATAAATATTATAATGAATGCTCACACTTCATATTAATTGGTTCATTTTCCACCTTTTTGTTTTTCATTTTCATTGTCCACTTGATTGAATTTGCTATTTGGTTTTCTTTTGTCATAAAAACCATTAATATTTATGTAAAATTCAAGATTGAAAGTTAAATATGAGTCCATTTTTAAAGTTTAAAGCTAGCATCGCCTTTAAAAATGTTATTTGATAAGGCAGATATAAGTTTTGATTTCAACGAAAAGAAGAACTAAACCCACTATTTTCTTTAAGCAGCAAGGATATTCCTTGGCTCCTGATTCCTGATTCCTCTTGGCCCACAATTCTCCCCCTCCTGACCATCGAGTGTGTTGGCTGAATGTCAGCCTGTGTGGGTGTAAATGATATTCCGGCAAACAACAACCAGACCGCCACGCCCCCATATAAACACGCACACGCATCCGCCTTAACCTGTCACTTTGTTTGCTATACCCACGTGTGATATAAAGCGTTATTTGTTGGCTTCGTGGCCCAAAAGCACAAAAAAAAAGAATATAAATATTTATACATATATACGAGTATATATACGGTAGCAATAACCTGTCTGACCTGACCCGACCGACTGTCTGTTTGCTTGCTTGCCAGCTGATGTTCTTGTCAGGTGCTTAAAATTGTTTGCTAAATAATGCATTTCAATTAGATCCCCTTCCCTCCTCTCCCAGCATCCCCCGGGCCATTCTCGCTTTGGCCAAATAAATCGGTTTGAATAGAATTAAATAATCAAATTAATCGACACGTGTCTGTGGCTCATTCTAATGGAGGTGAGTGATGTGCTGTAGACATGCCAAAAATGGGATAACTTTCCCGACTTTCTGCTTTCCTTTTTTGGCTACATAAGAGAGAGAAGAAGTAAGAAGTATGAAGTCTTCAAGTTACATGAATATTCTTTCTTAAAACATTATGTTTGCCACTTTTGTTAATGAAATGTAAATTTAGGTTGGCTTTAAGAAGGTATTCAGTTTCAGTTCCAGTAAAAACAAGAAGTTAAACATAATTTTTGAGCTCATTTCAAGGCTGCTTTTCATAACTTAAAGTCTCTGTAAGTTCAAAAGGATTAATTAGTTTTAAAGTTACATTTTAATTGACTTGCCAAGTTCATAAAATATATTTTCTACAAATTTAATTACTTGCAAATCATAAACTTCAAGACAAAAAATTCCAATTGCCAATCAGAAATTTCTCTCTAAACTTTATTCAAAATTCCAATAAAATAAAATTCATAACTTGTGCAAGTTCAAAGTACAAATTATGGGGGAGAACCATCTTACAGAATTTATTTTAATTAGCCAAGTTTAAGTTATAGAACTACGGGCTGAAAAGTCAACTCTTTGTAGGAGAACTAATGGTGATGCTTTTGGGACTGACAGCTACCGGTTGCCGTGAAAACACGGGAGCGGGTGCGGGAATGGGAAAAACTGTAGACCAGCTAGCAAATATTTGGCAAGCCAAGTGCTGATAACGCGGCTCTTTCTAGCCATGTAAAGTCAAGGGGGCCATAAACCCATCGCCTGTCCCCGCCATTGCAGCAAGATGAAAACTTTCACCAAGATGTGAATCCGAAACTGAATCTGAATCAGAGAGTAAAATATATACATATATAGCCGAGTTTATGGCACATTTATCTCAATTGCTGGATCTTGGGACAGCGGCTGTCATAATAAACAATAAATGCTAACGCCCAAAATGAAACTAAATACACAACAATCTGTAGGAACTGGGCCAGTAGCGGCGATTCATTGCATCTTTTTTCTACTTTTTGATATGCGAAACTGGGTCAACAGCTTTCGTCTTGGACTTGGACCCCAAGTCATCTCTCCCTCCACCCCTTTACCCGAGATGAGTTTAAATGCAAATAAATGAAATTAGGGTGGCACTTACTTTGCATCGTCCTTTGGGCATGGTATGAACTTGATGCACTCGCGCTTCTGGAAATTTGTCTCGATCCAACTACGCGGCTGGTGCTAAATTTAAACAAAATTTAAATTAATTTAAATATTTTAATAATACAAGAACTCAGGTATATGCTGATAGTTACACTTTATACACTGATTAAACAGCTAGAGAGGAGAAAAATGGAAAATAACTTTGAAGTAAACAAAAGATTCGTTAAGTATATAGTTCAAAGAAAGAGTCACATAGAGCGTGACTGATACCGTGGATTAAGAGTGCTTAAAATATGCAATACACAAAAGTAAAGATAAAGATATTTGTCAACCGAAAGTTGAGTTTAGTTTTGGGGTTTTTTAAGTTGGAAGTTTTAAGAAACTTATAATAATAATTAATAATTATTTAGTAATTACATAGTTCCGGGGGTAGAAACAACGACGACACAATACAATCACTATTTAAACAGTACTAATTCGAAAACAAATATCGAATAAATAAATTAGTAAGTAACAAATAAAGTTATGCATTTACAGAATAAAATATTTACAATGTTGGTGAAGAGGGGAGATTGTCGTTGGTTTTCAATTTGTTAACTTAAATTCGAGTTTATATTTACAGTTGGCACTCTTGAACTAACCCAGTTTTAATATTTAATTAAGCAACCTAACAAATGCATTCGACTAGATTTGGGATCCAAATCATTAGAAAAGTTGTTTTATAAAAGTTAACCTTTTTTTGTTACTAAATATTCCTTAAACTAAGGTAGTTCTACTTTGATCCCTTCTCTTTTCTTAGTTAATTTAACTAAAATATTTATTTTTTAGTGATTTTATGCCCCTATTTTAACCTCTTCTTCAGCTAAACAAACTTGCTAACATGAAACCCTAGAAGATTGCCCCCTTGTATGCTCCTTGATCGACTTAGGTAAGCCAACTGTAGTCACGTTTTCATGCCGACTCCTTCGGCTTTCGCACAATTGATTCCAATTTCGAATCAAAACTTTGGCCAACTGCAACTTTGGTGTTATCGCGGCAAACAAAGCCAAAGTGGCAAACTTTCGAGCAACACCCAGAGTCAAGCCACAGATCCACAGAGAGAGAGCACAGAAAAGCCTCCTGGAATCCCCCACTGGTGGGAGGATTACCACCATTTAGTAGAGGTTAGTGGACGGATGGCCTACCTCCTTTAGGGGTTCACTGTCGCCGGCATGGGCCTTCAGCAAATCGCGCACGTTGAGTATCAAAACCTTTGATAGCGTCGAGGAGACGGAGGAACGTTTCCGCATCCGCTGGCGCCGTCGAATGCCCCGTGGCGTAATGGGGGCCGGTGTCCTGGGCGTGGGAGTGGTAGTGGTAGTGGGCAAATGGGCTGCTGTTTCGGCCGCAATGAAAGCGGATGTTGAGGCTCGAACCGAACCGACAGCCGGAGTATTGCTATATCTACGAACTGTGGAAAAATCCTTGGAAATTCGCCGTAGATATTTGTGCGGAGCGAGGGGCGAGTCCGTAACGACCATGCTATTGCCGGTTTCAACGCTATTTTCCGCTAATGTGCTCTAATTAATTGAATTCGTGGCGGATTCGCGAGCGGCAACGGCAACGGCAACAAGCGGAACAGCAACAGCAACAGCATTTGCATCCGCAACCGAATCGGGCGACAGGTGAATCTCGACTGACACGCACCTGCAGCTCACCTTTCGGTTTAGCTACCGAGCTAGCTATATACATAAATGGCCAATCTGCGAGAGGGCATTTCCTCTTTTTTTGGGGGGAGTTAAAGAGCTTGGCTGGGACTATACATCTCTCGAACAAGATAAACGCCTCGCTAGAGCTAATCTAACTAGATTCATTTACAGATCTAAAAGCTTTCTCATTGCATTTTCCCCTTTGTTGCGCCCAAAAGTATAGATCAAGTTTATTAAAACTTAAACTTAATCCCCTCGCGTAATTAACCCAAAGTCACAGAGCCAAAGGACATAACTTCAGCTGACAATTCAAAACCATTTTGTGGTCTGCCAAATTGTCTTTTGGCCAAAATTTGATTGGTGTCGTTTGGTTGGTGGCCAAAAGTCTTGAAATTTTGGGTGTTCCATTGGCATCCGCACATGGCCATTAAATTAATTGATTTTCTAAATAAATGATGGACTAAATCAAATGGCATTTCATTTGCGGAATTGCCACTACAATTCATCGACTATCAAGTGTCTGTTTTGTATGCTCAATATACTAAATGGATTTGCCAGATATAATTCAGTTAATTAATTACCTTTGGCAGCGCTCAATGTAATGAAGCTGCTAATTAAGGATCTAAGGATTAAGGATAATCCAATTTAATCTATTTAAAATACCTTTTCTTAGCTTATATGGGATTAGGTGCACATTAGTTAGGCAGTTACGAATGCAACAAATACATTTTTTAATTTATAAATTCATAATCTTAAAACAATAATAATTAACAACAGCAATTGTGGGCGAACGAACGTACGAACAACGGAAACGGGAAACGATTAAATGATATTTAAAATTAAGGTGGATTCTTGATTGCTTACCCTGGGCACGGTTATATTTATCAGACCCCAACAGATTTTTTTCAGTCCCCATGGTATCTTTAAGGGTTGTCAGTATTATATTTTGTTTTGTATTTTGTATTTGTTTTCAGTGTACGTGGGTAATTGACATTTACATTTTACGATTGTCATGTTGTTTTAGCGTTTACGTGTCACAAAAACATTGCAGATTTGTTTTGTCGTCGTGGAAATCGTTGTTGTATTTTTTTTTTTAGATGTTTCAATATTCGCATTTATTATTTTATCATTTGTGCAATTTCGAAACATAATTTGGAACACGCACACGGACACACACGCACACGAGAGGGTGCATTGAAAATTCAACAACAATTTGTAAATTTTTCATTGTTGTTTTGTGTGTGTTTGTGAGTTTTGGTGTGTTGTGTTGCGGTGCGTGGTGGGTGGTTGGGGGGGAATAGAGTGTGAAAACACAAAATAGATTAATTAACAGATCATAGCAGAACAATTTAAATGTATAATAAGGATTGTTCATTGTGTCGCAGAACGAAATCAAATCCAAATCAAGGTGGAAAATACATTTTCAGAAAAGGTCACGTTTTCGTTGTGATTTTTTATTTTTAAGAATTTTTTATTTTTTTGAGTTACGTAAAAATTGGCGTGTCAGTGTGTGGGGTTTGTGTTGTGCAAAGCAAAGTTGAAAGTAGAAGAAAAATATTATGTTTTTTAAATTAGTTTTTAAGACTTAAAAATGAAGCGCTCTTCTCCACTGCATTTTGATTTTTGTTGGGCTTTTTTTTTTGGGAAATATTACCTTGACTTACTACCAGACCGCTTTGATTAAAACTAGTTACTAGTTACTGTGCTCGATTAAAAATAGAACTGTGTTGTCAAAATATTATGATACCTAACTAGTAATTAGTTAATAATTTTACTTTCTAGTTTGGAAAATTACAGCTACCCATCCTGAAAATATGCATTCTACCGATTGACTTTTGTTTACTGGGATATGAGGAAAACATTCGAGGATCAGAGGGTTACCAACCGCCAAACCAACTCTCATTTCTTAGCAGTAGTTAACATTTCAAAACCACAGCTTAAGTTGAAACATCGCTTTGTCCCGAGCCCTTGTCTCTGCAGGTAACACGGAACAAGTAGTTACGACATTTTCCCAGTGCCTTCCATAACTACATTTCTAGATGACAACTGCAGGTGGTTACCACAGGTGCCACATGCAACCACACTCACACTGCGCCGCATCTCCAGCCACACGGAATTTATGATATTTACCACAAAACTGAAATGGCGACCCAGAAACTAAGACCAAAAAATGGCCACAAGGCACGTCCACATTTCACACATAAATTGTTTGAATAATTAAAAACCAAAAATCTCTGTTAATGAATTAGTTTATAAATTTGAAATTCATTTAGCAAAAATAAAGAGTCGAGTGCGAAGCTCTCTTTCTCGTAAATTAATTTATAAATATTCAGTTATTTTATATATTTTTTAGAAATATTTTAAACATATGTAACTAATTGTCCAGCAAATGTGATTTTTGGGGTTTTAACTTTAATCCAGAAAGTTAATTTAAAAAAAATTACTTTAATATTTCAAATTTAAAGCTCCATAGCACAGTTTAGTTTTTAATTCATTGCAATAAATAGTTTAAAATGTGTGCCTTTGACTGCAAGTTAACATGAACGGACAAAAAAAACGACAGGAAAAGTTGAAGAACTCATAACTACGAGTTCCCACGGATACGCCCGAACATTTTCTCTTGGCGAGAGGAAAACCAATTAAACTTTTAGCCCCCAATAGAACCGAGGGACGACAGCCGCAAAAAAGTGGGCGAAACATTAAGAATGTTATGCTTATCTACTGCCAAACGAAACCTTTGGGTTTCGCATATAACATATATATGTACTATATAAGCCCGTATTATATGTGGATGCATGTTGGGGCATCTCTTCGGGGCCGTTTCATGCAGCGTCTATTAAAATAAAAGCTTTTTGCCTCAACCAGAGCAGCCCAAGAGCCACAAAACTTTTGTGTGGGCATAAAACACAACAGTTCAGTTGATGTGGAAGGAACTGTGGCATATTTCAAATTAATTAAACGGCCAGGGCACAAAACAGCAGAGCCATGGCTAATAGCAATTGACGAGCGAGTGAATGAATTATAAAAGGAAAGAAACATAAAAGTAGTGCAGCAACTTAATTAATTAACTTTTGTTTTAACACTTCATTGGAATTCATGATTTTTATTGAGGGGTTTTTTGCTGAACGGAAATTGCTAAACCAATTAGCCATTATGCTGTCCATGTTCGCAGCCCCCACAGGAAATCGTAGAGGAACAATGGCCTCAGCAGCCCGGAAATATGCAATGGAACTTGGAACTACGTGCGGTTATCCAATTAAGTTCGCCATCCGGAATCGAGCATAAAAATTGATGCACTCACTGTTAGGATTAAACCACCCGACTCGATAATGTTCAGCCGCAGGATGCAATTTGCCGGGCCACCTGTCTCATCGAAACCGATAATAGTTGTGCAACATAAACAGCACTTAATACCCACATCAAGCCACGTCATCTCATCCGCTCGTGCATAATGCAAGCTGGCGAATAACAAAACGATGCAGTACAGCTGGGTATGGGATGGTCCTCTTCAGTGTTTCACCTGCTGTTGACTTGCGGGTTTCCAAAGTGGAAAATTGATGGTGAAGCTGGTGGTGGTAGTGCTGCTGTTGCGCCAGAAGCTTAAGCTGGATGCTGGTCTTGCGGCTGTTGCCATGGCTGATGAAGTGCCACATTCGTTCTCGCAAAAACGCCAGAAGATGTCGTCGTTGTCGTGGTGATGAATCGGAGGAGTGAAGCGGTAAAGTGGAGCAATGGGAGCGTATTTGCCGAGTCCCGCTTTTGCATGGCTGAGTCTCAAAAGGAGTGCGAAATTGACTTTTTCAAAGTAACCCTCTACCACCTCCCTACGAAAGTTTACTCACTGGCCCAGAACCAGATATGCCAAGAAATCCATTACAGAAAAGGATTTGAATTTTTGGCGGTTAAAAAGGAACTCCTTTATGACAGCCATATTCAAGTTATGGAATTAAATTGGTTTTCAATTTAAGACTCATGTTCAATGAATGCCAACATAAATAAGCTTTTAGTTCTACGAAACACAAATAAATACGAAAATACAATGGGAGATGAAATATAACTGGCAAGATTTCACTGGTTAAAAATACAAATACTTAAAAAATGTTTTTCATATTTGCAGAAGTTCTATTATGTCACAAAAATCACAAAAAATACCATGGTTGAATATTATTTTTGTATCAATATTGTGAGTTATTTCTCTTTTATGAAAAGAGTAACCAGAACAGCGGAAAAGGCATTATTTATTATATTATAAAAGTGAGTTGTCAGATATTGAATGACATATATTTTATATATATAAATATATTCATTAATTCTCCCCCGTTAACTCCAAATTGCCATCACTGAGGCGTATATTTTCCGTTGAAAAATCCTCTCTCACGTTCGCAGTTTCGACAGCTGCTGATTAACACAAAACGACAACAGAACGGCGGAGACATGACAACAGCAACAGAAACAACAATAATAACAAACACAGATATAACAGACGAATCACCAATAGACCGGTTAGACCCTAAGTACCACCGAAAACCCAACGAGCTGCAATTCTCCGCCGTACAATCGCCAATTAACTACAATTACTCATGCAGGGCTCGTCTACTCACAAACACCCAATTGGTCTCGAAGTACATGGTCAGCTCCAGATGCACTTGCTCCGCGGTTCGGGGGGTATCCACATGCTCCAAACTCACTCACTTACTCACGCAACTATCTAATCTCTCCGCGAACTACGCGTACACGGTAAGAAAAGGTTTATATATACTTCTTAGGATTTAATATTTAATTTTTAAACAAAAAAAAAAATTTTTAATTTTTACTCAATTTTAGATAAAAAATGAATTTATTCTTCAAAAACATATCATTAAATTGTAAAATATTCAAAAATTTTTAAAATTTTTTAAATTAATTTTCAAAGTATTTTTAGTTAATTTTAATCAAAAAATATTTTAATTTTTTTTTTTTTTTTTTTTTTAAACGTACGACTTTTGCATTTATTAATTTTTTTTTCCGAGCTAAGGTACCCTCTTTTCTCGCGGTGTAGGCGGTTTCGGAGCGAACGATTCCCGCTTGGCTCGCATGGAGCCGCGTCGAGCACTGAGCCATCGCCGCGGAGAGCTTTGCCACTCGGCCAAGGCGAGCGGTGTCAATTAGCGGCGCAATATTATCGAAAAAAAAAAATCAAAAACAGAATAAAAATAGAGAGCGATAAGCCCCTCATAGTGAAAGAGAGAGAGAACAATATGCCTGTGCATTCTCAGCGATCTCGATTAAGTTGAGTTTCAGTTTATAAACTCCGGAAAACTTCAAGGGAAACTTTAGCAGTTTGAAAGCATTTTAATGCCCATCGTAAACGGAAAAATGTGCAAGCCATAATTATGTTGATTTTCAAAGTTTTTCATTTTGCCCTTATTTTAATGCTGCCCACCTCCTCCCCTGTGGCCTGAAGTCAAACAATTAAAGTTTCGCCGGCGAATAAGTCAAACAGCTGGGTGCCCCACATCCACCCTTTCTGCTCTCTGATAAGCAGCTGTCAGTCAAATGGCAAATAGTTGATAACAACACCAAGTATCTAAGAGAACAACGAATCCCAAAGATACTCTTTCTCTCTCAAACAGCTGTCAATCATTCAATGTTTCGGTTATGGTGCATACTTTCAGGCGGTGGCTGATTATTCCTTAAACTTTAGAGGCCTGTTCTGGTCTTCACTTTCATTTTGCAAGCGCTTATTTTAGCTAGATTAAACTAAATAATAGCAAGAAATATTTCTTATCTTATAGATAATCAAAGATTATTCCACTAACTTTCTAAGCTTGTTTTCTACATTAAAACATCAGTTAGCGCAGCTTCATAATTGCTTGATAAATATATGAAAAATATTAATGACCTTCCAAATCTATTTAAAAACATTTTTAAAATAAAACAACATAACAAATAACATAATCACTACTTAAAATACATAGTTAACTAGTTAAATAGTTTATTGCTTAAATATAAAAGTATATTTTTAAGCAACATTCCAAGTAATCCAAACTACAATTTCTTTAAAATATCACCAAAAAGAAAATATTATAGAAAACATTAACTAATTCACCTTTGCAAAATGTTGGCAAACGTGAAAACAAGAACAGGCCTAATTAAGTAAGCTAAATTCTAGGTGAAGAAGCAAACTACTTAAAATAGATTTCCAATAATACTTGAAATGGCCAAAAAAGTTGTGGGCCAACTAATTACTACGAACTATAGTTGAGAAAAAAGGAAAATTACGAACAAGAACTGGCAATAGTTTGGCTACAAACTAAACTAGACAGTTTCCAACAAGGCCATTGAAAGAGTGGGGGATGAAAGGAAAACTCAAGAGGTAATTGTAGAGCGAGATAGTTCAGTTTTCCACAACAAAGCAGTTTGGCAGTCAGTCAAATAGCAATTATAGAGCAAAGAGCAGAGGAATGGGATGGATAATATATATATATAGGAGTATATATATATATATAGTAGATCAAATTAAAAGCACCTGAAGAGATAGGCGTTTAAGGGGGTGTGGGGAGAAGATATAGTATCTCAATCTTGGGCAGTTCGTTGATTTAGCTTACCGGTTTCGCTTTGGGTTTCTGCTTGGCCGAACGCTTCTGTTTCAACATCGTCCACAGCGGACGCACAGACACGCACACATAAACAACTGAAAACGCGATTTGGGAGGTGGATTGTGGATGGTGGTCAGTGGGTAGTGGGTGTTGGTGGATAGTTGGACGATGGACGATGGACGACGACGACGACGGGGGGTGGTATATCCTCTTCAATTGATATCCGCCTGCGAGTGAGGCTTCTTGGCCTGCAGGGTTAAGAAAAACAATTATGAAATATCAATTATTTATGGTTTCTCGCTAGTCTCGTTTTTGTCTTTGGCGTGCAGGCATGCAGAAGGATATTTGAGCTCTGTGACGTCGGTGCTCTCTCCAGGGGATTTGTCACGTGTCATGCAGAATGTTATCCCCAATCCTATATTCTCTATAAAGCAACATACAAACTTTCTACCTCGCACAAAAAAAAATAAAACAAAATACAGTAAAACCCCCAGTATTAAAGACGGCCTTTGTGCGTCGACAAAAGTGTAAACAAAACAAATGAAAAACGAAAGCCAGGACATACACAAAAATTCAAAACAAAATAAATACAACGGCATTTGCCCCATTCACCTTGCACCCAATTATGAATCTCTCCAAGGAATGCCAATGAAAGGGTTTTCTCCTTTTCTGTTAATGCATGCTAATTGTGTTTGCTTAGGGTAACAGGCAGGGCAAGAAAACGACAACGACAAGGAAAACGAAAACGAAAACAACCGAGGACTCGCAGAGAGATCCTTTGGATGTACTCACCTTGACGGGTTTCTTTACGGGCACTGGACGCGAGTACTGGTGGTAGACCTGGACATGATTCGATGTGAATTTACCCAACATGTGTAGCTCGAGGTGATGTAGGCGTCGCTAGTGGGCGGAATGTCTGATGTACGCCTGGAAAGAGTTGCATGAATTATTATCAGAACGAGTTCCAAAATACATGTGCAACAAGGGTTAAGGGGTAAGAAGTCTCTTCTATACTTGCAATCCCAAAGTGTTGGGAACTTGTAATTACATATAAGTGGTGGCTTCTCTAATTAAGGATTTGACTTTTAATTACTTTCAACTATGATAAATGATTACCTAGAACAGATTTAGTCAATTACTTAATTATACTTTCTTTTGTGATAATTTCATGAAGTAGACAATGTTAACCTATGTAACTATGTAAGGGTAAAGATTCCTTTTTTATGGCTTCCTAAACATAAATGTGGTTAAAATATCACTGCCTTAAAATCACAAATATCTAATTAAAAAATATAAAAAAAATCAAAAAAACAAGAATGTGCAAATTAGACGGCAAAGAAAAACATTTAAAATGTTTACTTAAAATTTAAAATGTCAAACAAATATTGTTCTTTATGTTTGTAAACCATTTAAAACCCTTTCAAGCTGGAAGGATAACCCCTTCCATATGACCTTTTCCATTGTGACCGGGAAAAGTGCGCGGGTAGGCGACACATGGCCCAGCAGACTCCGACACCGACTCCGAATCCGTCTGTGTAGCCGTATCCGTATCCGTCTCAAGTGACAGGCCGGGCTCTGAGCTGTTCTTCATTACAGTAATGCGAGCTGGCCAGGACAGGGACAGGGACAGGGCAAAGAGCCAAAGTCCTGGACAGGACGTGAGTGGGCGGGCCAAGAAAGTGAAATAAAATAAGCGCTGGGAAACAGCAAAAGTTATGCCAAGTATTCTCGGCTAAGCATGAATCAAGTGCCATAACACGAGCACCCTGCCAGACCGGAGAAACAAAAAAAAAAAAAAATGTAAAGGAAAGGAAAAGGCGAAAAGCCAGAAAAGCGTAAGAAAGTAAAGCCCAAGGAAAAGTCCTGGGCCGCGTGCTCTTAATTTGCGGAATTCAAGACATTCGCTTTCATTCGAGATTATACTCGAGCATTATAATCCGTTGGAGCGATGGAGCGAGCGGTTCTGGGCGGGATTCATAGCCCATAGCCGAGTATGTGGTGTGCAGCGAGCACTTCAGGACAGAAAACCTAGTAGACGACAAAATCAATATCTAAATACGATTTCCACCCACATGTGATTAACTTTTGTGCAGTCAGTAAGGCACAAAATTGAGATAACGCGCCATTAAATTTATGCATGAACAAAAGACATTTTAGCCAAGTACGAAGGACCTTTTCGTCCTTTCCCTTAGCCTCCTCCCTAATGATTGCTCAAACTTATAATTGGACTTTAATAAGCAATTGCCTGGCAGGCAGTCTGCGTGTTTATTCCCAATTCAGGTTTCAGGATTATTCAGGATGCTTTAACTTGTTGTTCGATGAAAGGAGGAGAAGGCGAAGGCAAAGGAAACTCAGTGATAATGTGATTAACTGGCAGGAGCTTGAAAGCCATATCAATCGCGGATTAAGTACCGCAACTACTTGCAACAAACTTGAGTGAAACTGCCAAGTTTTCTAGCGGTTTTCATTCGCAATTTCGCTGCCATGAGACCATGAGGACTGCTCTTGAGTCCCACAATCAGTCTGCCAAGTCCGTCGACGACGAGGGCGAATGGGTGTGAAATTTATACGCCAGCCCGCATTTGCGTCACTGTTTAAAGACTTCACCCCAATGGCGCGCAAATGATTGCGTCGGAAAGGAGACAAGGATGAAAGGACCTGCCGCCTCCGGGTGAACCAGTACCAGTAGCAGTTCGGGAACAAGAACCGGAGCCATGTGCCACGGCATGTGCACAATGCCCTCCCAATATCCCTCCATCCTCTCACATCCATCTACCACATTACTTTCTTTCTGTTGTTCTCGTCATTTGTATTATAACAGCGTGATTTTAATCCTCTTAGCTTTCTCCTACAAAAAGTTTCAAGAAAGGAAACACGTATGAATTTCCGCCCTAAAAAAAATGAATAGGAAACGAGCTGGAATTTGTCAAATATTTCACAATGAATTGTAATTAAAAAGGTTTTTTTTTGGGAAATTTACCTTGGAAGATTGAGGGTTTTATTCCTAATACGATTAAGAATCAGAATTAAGCTTTGATTCTTCTTAAAAATATACAATTTTAAGTTTGAAATTCACAATATATTATAAACAAACAAAGTTAAACATTTTATATTAAATCAAAATCAGTTTTGTAGTTACTCTTATGTTTTCCAAGTACCCCAAAGACACTTAGGTAATTTCCTACCCATTTTCATAAAGGAGTAACCCTATACCCTACCCTCCCCTTAAGTGTTAATTGTATGGCCATCAGTCATTACCAATTTGAGGGTATGGGGCACCTCTGCGGACACTGTCGTCAAGTGTCAGGAGTGTTAGCCTGGCACCGGATGAATGGGTCCCTAATTGAGATAAGACTGACGCAGGCGTCAGCTGCCTCCGGCGATGAGAAATGAACCTCGGATGTGCCAACTCAAACAGAAAAAAAAAAGAAAACATAACACTTTCACTTTAGCCTGGCCATAAGTATGGCACTTTCTCTGGCGATGGCCGAGCCAAACAAATTAGCGGGGCCAAGAGCACAGCTAGTCGAGAGTCTGGCGAGTCCTGATTATTGGCAAATGCAAGCAGCAACGGCAACAGGGAAAGGATAATGGATAATGGCAAGGGTAAACTGACCCACAAAACACGATTAAGGAGCCCAAGGACGCGGCCTCGTGTTTGGGGGCAAATCTTGGTATATATGTGTGTAGGTTGTCTCTCTTTGCAATCATTCAAGCGCAGACAAATGTCCTGGTGTTTGTTTATGTCAACATTGTGTCCGCTGCCACTTTGACCCACTACACACTACACCATCTACCCTCTCACATGCTTTTCATCTTTCACTGGGTTTTTGTGATTTTTTCTCCTCTTTTTTTTTTTTTTTTTTTTATTCCTGCCAGGACATTACGAACATAATGGCTCTCATCAGCCACAAAACTGAAATCCAAGAGCAAACCAGAGCTAACTAACGAGTAGCAACGGACACAAACCGGATTGAATACTCGTTTAAACTGTCATCATTCGCCGTGTGGCATCAATGATTTGCGAGCCCCCATCCGAAAAACATTTTCCACTGGACTGGACTGGATCGGACTGGGCCCTGTAGTGGCCAGTAAAAGTAGCCAGAGATTTATTTCACTTTGACCGCATTAGCCTGAGCTCTTTCAGACCCATTCATCTTAATTAAATCTCTATCTATCGTTTGACAATAGGTTTAGCTTGGCTTTTGCATTCGCTAAAGCTGCTTTAATTTCTTTCTTTGTTTCTTTGTTAGATTTGCCCAACCAAATGATAGAATTCTAAAAGATACTTAAAAAGCGTGTCACCAATCTATAAGTAAAGTAAATTAAAATGTAGGCGTAAATCTTCTTGGCCATAAACAAATTAAGCTAATAATAAACAATAATTGTGTATAATTTTCTTGTCCCTCCTTTTTCGAGCACTCATCAATTTGGCCATTAATAAAATCGACTTATATTTTCTGGCAACTGCCGCAGAGTATAATTTATGATGGCAAATGTTCGCCATTCATCTTGATAATTTTTCAGGTTTTTCTCTAAGCAACTTGCAAGATATTCGAATTTTCTTTTTGTACCCAAATCAATCTGTAAATAAATACAAATTGTGTAAAGAAAAGTTTGATGGCATCAAGAACCCTTGGCATATTTCAGGATGCGTTCTTCAATTTGCTTGCTAAACATTCGCACTAGACTCTCGGCCACGCTGACTTGGCTATAGGCCAGGGCACAGATGGGTTTGCTATTCCGGATCTTGTCCGCGATCACCATAATCCAATCGATCTCGTGGGGGTGTGCTTGACCCTTCACGAATCGGGAAAAAATCTCCGGCAGCCAGATGGCTCCATCCCGACAGTAAGTACACTGCTTGCAGGTGTGCGTCTCAAAGAACTCGATGGAGCGCAGCATCACATCCAGAGGATCACAGTCCTTGGACATCACAATGACGGATCCACATCCAAAACCACTGCCCGCAGCAGTCAGGCAATCAAAGTCCATGAGAACCTCACTGGCGGTGGGTGGATCCAAAAGAGGAGTGGATAAGCCTCCTGGAAAAACCGCAGCCAGATTATCCCAGCCCCCTTTTACCCCACCCGCATGCCGTTCTATTAGATCCTTCAAAGGCACAGACATCTCCTCCTCTACAGTGCAGGGATTATTCACCTGACCGCTGATGCAGTAGAGCTTCGTTCCAGTATTGTAACTCCGACCTAATCCTGCCCACCACTCGGCACCTCTTCGCAAAATGGTGGGCACTACTGAAATAGACTCTGCGTTGATCACCAAACAGGGATGCCCAAAGTAACCCTTCTCCGTGAGAAAGGGCGGACGACGTCGTGGCCTACCCAGTTTACCCATTAAGCAGTTAATCATGGCAGTTTCCTCGCCACATAAGTACCGATCTCCACGCTGGGCCATCACATCGAACTTAATGCCAGTTCCACAGACATTGTCACCCAGCAAACCATGATGATATGCCTCCGCCAGGGCAAAATGCATGTTACAGGACTCATTGTAGAACCGATTCCGTACGTATACAATGGCCCTGGTGCACCCCATGGCCACGCCCACCAGGAGCATGCCTTCTATCAGTTTGTGGGGTTCATGACGCAGGATCTCCCGATCCTTGCAAGTTCCCGGTTCTCCTTCTGCGCAGTTTACGACGATAACTTTGGGTACCTTTTCGGACTTGGTCTTGTGAAGGAATTCCCATTTATGTCCGACGTAGAAGCCAGCTCCTCCACGACCACGCAGTCCACTTTTGCTAACCTGCTCCATGATCCATTCGGGACCCTGCTCCAGGAGATCCCCTGTGCGATGCCAATCTCCCCGTGCGCAAGCCCCCTGCAATCGCTAATCATGTCGTCCATAAAGATTCTGGAAAACTCGATCGCAGTCATCTAATGGACCAAATGTGGTCTTTGAATTCGGCTTATATCCCTTTGGTGGTTCGACTATCTTAGGCCTATCCGGACCCAGCTTTGTGCTTTCCGATGGCTTGGCAGCCTCCTTGCAAACAGTTTGGACCAAACGGAGTTGCTGCTTCCACAGAGATGGTTTATTGAGTTTCAGCAGCATTTTGTTGGCTTATAGAATACTATAAATGTGTACTAAAAAATCTTTAAATTAGGATGGCAATTCACTCAGGGAGTTCTTAAACTCAAACTCTTAAAAATATAAAAAAAACTATCCCAGTAAACTATTTTACCAACTGCCATCACTAATATCATTTATACCCAATCGATTTATTGTCTACGTATGCAACTTGGCTGTCAATTTACCCAAAACTTAAATAAAACTGTCTGTTGAGAAAATGATGGCAACGGGTGGTATGAGCAATGTAAGATAAATCTTGCTTCATCTTATTCAAATTTTGGGCTCAAATTAGGAATTGAAGGCCAGATCTAAACCAGCATTTTGGACCGAAATCCTTTTTTAAACGAGTTTCCTGGCCCCCAAAGACGGGCAGCAAAGTAAATATATCGGGCCAAAGTTGGCCGACGACAAATTGGAAGACTGAAAGTAGCGCAACAAATGCTGCCATAACGACAATGGGAGCACAAAAACAACAACAACAACAACAACAGCAATAGAATCAGCAATAAATTTTGGAGTATACCGGTGGCAGCAACCCCTACTCTCACATCCCTATAACCACCCCACATGCCAGATGTGAGGCAGTTTTCCCAGTGCGACGACATGTGCGAATGTGCGTATACGTAATTTTCTATGAATCGAGAAGCAAAGGCAGAGGCAGCAACAGCAGAAGCTGTGGCACAGACAGCCCCTTTCAATTTATGCAACCATCCGACAGCAATTCGCCTTTAATGGCAAGCAACAAAAGGCATCACGAAACCAGATGAACTGAAGTATGAGGACGTAGGTATACCTGGAGGAACCTGTGAGAAGGTTTCAATTAGCGGACTTTGTGTCCTCCGAAAATTGAATGGTACTCTCACGCAAATGAGTTGGCGACAAACGGATGGAGTTTTGCCTCGCGGCCATCTCATTAGGCACACTATACTAATGGGCGTCATGTGGCGGCATTCCCCCTTGGCTGGGTAACCAAAGATGCACTCCTGCCTGCATTAAGAGATTTGCAGGTAGGTGGCTGGCTGAAACCTCTCACAAATCACGGATTTAATTGGGGGAATTGTTGACTTAGGACCGCCGAAGGAATTTCAAGCGGAGTGTCTCTGAGTTACGGACACAAATTACGACAACAGTTTGTGTCTTGTTTAAAGGACACTACAGGTAGTCAGACAAGGCACTGAGAAAAATAAATATTAAGAAGAATATTAAATAAAAAGTTAAAAAAGTTAAAGTTAGATGGACTTGGAAATAGGTTTTAAGCTGAACCTAACAAAATCTTAAAGGACTACTATGAAGAAAGGTTTACACTTCGTTTTTACCTTACTTAAACATATTTTTTGCCAGTGTCTGCCTTCTCAACCATAATGCCAAAAAGGTAAACTGCAATCTCCTCACAAATAGTCGGAGTGTTGTCGCTTCCCTCGCGGGAGATGTTTGTGTTTGTTTTATGAGCTCAGTTTGCTCAGCTCTGGTTGATTTCGTTATTATTATTGCTGGGTAATGTTTTATGGCCATTTTGTGGCTGTTTTCACACCAGTCAGCCAAAGACCACAATGCCACCCACTAACCAAAAAAAAACGAATAAAACAATCACAACCAGCTGGCGCTGTGAACACTTTTCTGTGCCACAAAAAGCAAACAATCGATGAACAGCACCGGAGATTAGCTCTAATGGAGTAGCCATTCCCGTTTCTGTTTCGGTCCACAAAATAACCGAACAGATCCCATCGCGGAATTCACTCCCTTGTTTACATAAGCAAATGCATTGTGTACTCCATTTGGTAGGAGGGGATTTTGTTTTACGTGTTGGACACATTAACGATAGGATATATCAGGTACATTAAGGGTAAGTACTGTATAAGGGGTACTAGTTGATGTTTTCTACCATATTCTAGCAAGATTTTCCAACTTTTCGATATACTTAACTATATTCTGAATAGCTATTAATATTTTCTTGAATTTAAAACCCAAAAGTACCATCAATTTCCCAGAAATCCGAAACAAAACTCCTCAACTAAACCTGTCCTAGCAGCCACTTTTATTGCCCGCTATTTCCAAGGATCATTTCAAGTTCATTATAGAGTATTTAATGGTTGGAACTAGCTACATTCCTTCCCTGAATTTATAGTCGCACATGACTTTGTGCTTTCTGTCCTTGCCCCCATGTGTTGCAATGTGATTTATCAACCATTAAATGGTATGTACGAGTATGTACAATGGCAGCGAACAAAACCTGAGGACAATTAAATCCGAAATAATGAACCTTTACAATTTATCGATGATCAAACTGATAGACTAATACTCATCTATTTTTACACGCTCTCTCTTTTTTAATAAACTAATTACTAATGGCTGGAGGATAAAGGATCCACCTACTTAACACCAACAGACACTCAACTAACTGCATTTACCACACATTTGACACTTGCCACATGTGCCAACGAGTCGATATTGGGACACTAAACTAAACAGCAATCAATAGAAGCCCCAAGGACGTTGGCGCCGCCATTGACTTTAAATAAGCTAATTTACATGCACACATGGAGCTCCTGCTACTGGTGGTGGCAATTTGTAAGCGTCGTCGACAATGCCAGCAAATTTACAGCCCACGGTGGCAGTTGCAAGTGCCACAGCTGCACATTAATGGCACCCATGGTTTGGTGGCCATCCTGGCAAGCTCCAGATCCAGCACCCAGAGACCTCATACGATTGTGGTTTGTCTTCTGTCAGCCTGGATGCCTGGATGCCTGCTCCTTGGTGGGTGCTTGTATTTCCTATCAGACATCAGCTCATTATCGAATAACGAATTGAGCAGTTCATCCAACTGTTGCATCGGTTGGGTATTGGTTTTTCGGTTTAACAGAGATTTATGAATTAATTAATTAGGATTCAACATCTCCAGCCTTGCAAGCTCATACAGATTCCATGGCTTTGGGCTACGAAATTTGTAATACAAATATTTTTATTATGCAAAATTATTTCAGCTTTATTGCTGGCAGTGGTTGATTAAAGGGTCTACAAAAGACAAACTAAACTAAATATAATTTGTACCATTTTTAAAGACATTTCTAATGTTAAACATAAGCATATGTCTGGATTTACATTTTGCAAAGTTGAATTTCCAAATGGCCAAAGTTTGCTTACCAGATAAACATATGTATATTCTTGTTTAACACGCCAAAGAGCTTAATCTCTAAAATAAATATTATATAGTTTAAGCAAACAAAAGCTTAGAAAAGTTAAGTTTGCACGAGCTTCACTGTTGTTCAATGGCTCTCCAGTTTTTGTAGCACACTTTTGCGGGCAGCACATTAAAGGTGGCAACTTCAGGCATCAAAATGTAAAAGCAATCTCAGTTATGGCCAACAACAGGTACCACACACACACACACACACAGGTAACCGAGTGAACCGAAGCAGGTGAGAACCGTAAAAATTCACATTTTAAGGCACGGCGGGCGCACACATAAGCTGCAAAATGTCCGACAGTCGGAGGTCCCATAAACAAAACTGAAAGTATTTATAACATGCAAACACGCGGTGGACCATGGTCATTTGCATGCTGACCCTACATTTACATGGACTATATGTATGTACAAGTATATGTATGGTATGTAAAAAGGGGTGAAGGGTCAGCGCCTGCAAGTTAATCACGTGCCATGAAAAGTCACGCATACGGCGGCAACTGGCGACCCTTGCAAAAGGCTTTGAACATGGGCAGACAATTTGAAAAGTCGTGAAATCAGGGCAGCCGAATACATGCAAGTAAATGTGTAATAATGTACAGGAAAATGCCAAAAAAAAAAAAAATGAGAGAAAAACAAGCAGTGCAGCGAATTGAGGTTGCACAAGTTTTGGAGGTCAGAAAACAAAAGTTTAAGAACAACAAAAGCACAAAAGCTAACCAACTTCGAAACTGCAATCTGAAAAAACACACACTATCTGGCATATATCGCAGATTTAAAACGTTTTAAAGTTTATAAATTTTCATTTCATATGTCGCAAATGCAACTTCACTTAATTGCATTTAGTGAATGCTTTAAGCCAAGTTGACCATGAAAACCAGTCCAGACCAATAGTTCATTTCACTCTCCCATGTTATATGGCCAATAGCTGTGGCTATAAAAATGTCCAATTCCGACAATGCGTGTCAAGCACATGAAAACCAAAAGCATTTTATTTGCTACCATTTTACGAGCAGTTCCTTTGATGGCTATAACATGAACTAGTAGCAAACTTTCCACTATTTATAACACTCAATTACCGACCGTGATTCAGGAATTTTCTACATTATAGAAGTTATTTAAATATTTAAAGGTAATTCTAAGCAATAATAATGGGTTTTCTTTACCAATTTGATTTCTTTTTTTATACTTGAATAACCCCAAGTGCATTGCACTGCAAAAACGCAATGGGAATGCGTAAGGATTACCACTTTTTAAACACGATTTAGCAAGGTCAAACAATTTTTCCTGCCATTATGTTCTTAGCCATGTTTGAATATCCCTCCCCTCACGCTGCCTTTTGTTCGAGCCTTTTCCTTTTCACGGGGTCACGCGCATAAATAAATTTAAAAAGCTGTCCCATTCGTTGCAATGGCACGTCAACACTTTTCCTCTGGTCCGTCCACTCCAGAGACGTGTGGTGGAAATAAGTTTTTCTCTTTCTTATGCACGTAACTTTGGTTGCAAGTTTTTTGGGGCTTACCATATGCCATGTGACATGGCCAGTTTCTAATGGCTGAGCAGCATTGAGCGTCCAATCCTTTGAAATCCACTTGGAATTCGGTGGCCAAAGATGTCTGGCCATGCTCCGGATTTCTGGCCATTAAGAGGCTTATGTCCGCCATGAAGGTGTGTTTGTCGTTGTTGGGTAATGTGAAAATCTTGTTTTAACTTTAAACCGATTTTCATATTTGCAGAGTTGGCCCGAGTACGAAACACAATGGCACCCTAAGCGACCAACTGATCCCAAAACCCAAATCGCCAATATGCCTCTGCCTTTGAATAAACGGTGGGTTGTTGGGTGGACTGGTGGGTGGATTATGGGTGGATTTGTCTTTGTGGGCAGCAATTCAAGGGATTTGCATTTAACAGGGTCCGCAAATGCGGACTGCCAGGAGCTCCCAATGTTTGCTAATACATACATATTCGCCACTCAAAACGCTTTTCAAAAACACACACAATGAATTGTGAGAATTGTGAGAATGGAGGGTGAGGGCTAGGGCGAAAAGAGCCAGCCGAAGGTGCAGGAAACAGTAAAGGCAGTGGAATATAAAACCTATTACAAAATATGTTTGTGTTTCATTAAAAATTTAAGACCCTACCGCCAACAACGACGAGTAAGGAAAAAGAAAGCAAATCGCCTTGTTTATGACATGCGACGAATTTATTTTACCCAAACCAGACCTGAATTTTATATTAAAAATGCTTCTCTGATAAAGTTATAAAAACGAGCATGTTATTTATGGCCTGCGACAGAAAGCGACTAAGCGACTATTTTATATTATTCAGTAGCATTAAAAACAAAATCAAATAATAACAACCTCCTGTAACAAAATCAATATATGCCTGCTATATGGATCAAGCTAATATTATTTTAAGCTATGTGAAAAATATGAAATTGATAAAATTTCAGTAGTGGTTGGAAATTCTGATCAAATTGCGGTTTTATCTAGCAGATTTTTCTTAAGTACTCCGCTAATGA